TTGTAAAAGTTGTACCAAGCGACATGAATACCATGGTGACGTGCTCACCAGCATTGTACTTCGCGCCAAATCAGCAAGGCAACGTCGCATCGCTGACTTCTTCTGTGAATGGTATTTCTGCGAGTTCGCATCGCACGCCGCCGTCGCAGATCGCGTCGCATCGCAGATCGCAAAAGAAAATCCATGCAAGTTGTGGAGAACATAAGCTATAATGTGGGCCATGTATAGTAAATTTGCAGAAACTGCAACAACAAAGTTCACCCTGCATGGGATCCAGCCACCATGCCACCAGTTCGCGCCTTGCGTGGTTAGCTTCACGTACAATGTTATGTACGTGCACAGAACACAGGCACTGTACCGATGTACATGCACAGCCTGCTGGGTGGGATCACAGATTCGCTGAAAATCAATGAAAATTGCAAGGTTTCCACGGATAATACAAGATTCGCGGAAACCCAGGGAAACCACAGAATTAGTCGGGACTGCGTAATCATGATTATCTGCAGGGAGAGACAAGGTGAGTGAAGCCAAGTACACGCTCACCACAGGGTGTTTCACCAGGCAGTCAAGCGTTATCATAAGGACATGGACTTCCGCTATACATTTCATCAATAGAGCTTTTTCAAGGTTGGGCCAACGGTCACTTTTTGGGGTCACGGGCGAGACATTTTTGAATCGCTGGTGAACCGGCGAAGACCAGTTCACGTTCACTTTGTATGGGAATGGATGCGTGGAGGCGAAAGAAGCAGTAGAATGGCGTTCCACCTGATGTCCGACACTCGTGTTGAGTCAGAGCAGTTGCCAGGAAGCCCTTCCATGGCTTGGGCGAAACAGAACAAGCTTCAGAATCGCTCCAAGCGCTGGTGGAGACGAACCTGTCACATTTCGGATACTGTTCAATGCGTTTTGGCATGCGACTTGTTCACCAAGAACGAATGACGTCCTTGAAAAAGCTCGACTATAGTCCGACAGTGGTATCAGTGCACACTGTGAGAAGTCCATGGGTGTGCCAGTGTGGCCCAATACGCATGTTCAGGCCAGTCGTGTTGTAACCTCACTACTGTTATAAGTTAACTTTCACAACACAATCACGATGACATGTTTAATATGTGATAACGTCATATACTTTTTTTGGGCAAGAACAAATCCGTTATGAAAAGGATCTGCGGTGGTGATAAGAGAAGTGTCTTAGAAAATGGAATGGACAACTATCAAGCCGAATTACTAGTACATGTGTCACATCGGGCTCGGCAGCTGACGGTTTCTCCTGGGTTGTACGACGAACTACTACTAGCTTACGTCATGTTGGGTGAACGTGTTCCCCTCATGAGCGCGCGCAGGAGCTGCAACGTCCGCTGCGCCAGCAAGACTCCCGTGGTACATATCAATGCCATTAGTACGACAACCGTCATATTTGTATACACTTATCATTATTATCAATGCATGGAATATTGTGTCTGGTAACTGTCTCTTCGTATACGCTGTTTAGTCAATTCATAAGCCTTTAAAGCCTTTAATACGCATTTCTCCTTGTCTACTTTTGGTCAAATCTACTTAGCAACTAGCTATCTGTAATCTAATTGGTTGGCCTTTCCTACCCCTGCTTCATCTTTGTCACTTTCGACTTTTTTATCGTATATAACTCTTGCTGCTTTGGATGTAAAGTCACCCTCAACCTGATATTCGAACTCAGATCACAATCTCTCCAAAACCATCTCGATCGACTAAGGTGAGCATGTGAGCATGTGGGGCTGAATGGATACTTGGATCAACTGTATTGGTTGATGACCTGGTTGGGTTATTATGGCAATACGAATGTATATGTTTCGGCCTTAAGATCGGTATTGTATATGTCCGGCATGACACATGTACAAATAATCAGTTTCAATAAGAGAATAATTTCGATCCACCTATTTTCAAACTAAGCCACATGCACAACCTACAAGAAATTCAATGAACGCATTTTACCTCAAACAAGTGAAGATATCCTCCCAGACCAGAGAAGGTGATTTCTTTCTTGTCAAATCGAGGCTTGTCAACGGGTGGAAAATATGGTATTGGGTCTCGAGGGGCAAATAGGGCAAGCAAGTTCGGTGGCAGATACTGAGTCATCCTGCCAGCTACTACCGCTCAACGCGGTGAGGAATAGGTCCGTGAGTACTAATACAAGTAACTAATTCTCTCTCACTCTTCCAGATAATCAAGGGAAGGACCCTTCTCCTGGGAAAGACAAGGCTCAGTAGGCCGTCGTCCAGACCTTGACTCCCTGCCACTGCACTGCCACTGCTTCTTGGCCTTCCCTTTCAACAATATTAATAATTTTGTTCTCTTGTTCCTTTTTCATTTCGAGAATATTATTTTGCGCAACGGCATTATGTGCAGCATGTACGTCACGATCATAAAACGATCGGTACCGGTAGCGTGGGTACCGCGGTACCGGTAGGGACGCGCGACGTCACGCGTAGATCTACGCGCACGAGCTCGCAGTGTCATGGAGACAAGCCTGCCCAGTCACAACGCATGCGCAATGGAGTTTGCTCAGCTGTTCACCATAATTATGCATCCTCGGATTGCCTCCTGCCAGAGACCAGACTGAGTCCTGGATCAGCTGAGCGTTGCTTGTGTGACTCGACTCACTACAACTTACAAGTACAATCACTCAATCTGCGGACAGAACTGTTTCGTCCTACAAGTACAATCATGTAGATCACTGTAGATCTACTGACTGTACTGTGTCGAGTCCAGGGAGTCGAACTCAAACTAGTTTGCATGGTTTGAGTACGACTCCCTGGTCGAGTCCTTTTTTTTACATCATGTCAAGACTCACATTTGCTTTTGGAGAATCCTTTTAAATTTATACAATACAATAATACAATAATAATACTCAGGAGTAGGTTTATGACTCTTGCCTTGGTCACATGAATCATGATTGTGTAGACCATGCAATGCATGCGTGCATTCAGTGTAGACGTATGTAATCATGGTACATGTAATCAAGCACGCTCAGGATGTAGTAGGAGGTCATGATGGCTGAATCTTGCCCGAGCCTGCAGCCCAGGCCCGAGGGCTGCAGCCTGTGCAGGCAAGGGCAAGATTCAGCCATCATGATTGTCATGACACTGTTTGATGTGATTTGATTTCTTGCATCGCAACCACAAGCAGCGTACACGGCGTTCACGCAAGGGCTGAAGGGCAAGTGGACATTCCTCGCTCGCACCATGCCAGAAGCGACGGAGAATTTCCAGCCACTGGAGGAGATTATCCACGGCGAGTTTATCCCGGCGCTCACAGGACACCCCGCTCCTGATCAGGCCACCCGCTCTCTCCTCGCTCTGCCTTGTCGCCTAGGGGGCATGGGTCTAATCAACCCGTGCGATTTCGCCAGCCAATTTGATGACTCCAGGACCATCACGCAGCCATTGGTGGAGCGGATCATCGTGCAAAACACGGACCTAGGTGATGTTCACCACACCATGAAGGCAGAGAAGGCGAAGGTGCGCAGGATCCACTCCGTAAGGGAGAAGGAGACCCTAGTCGCTGTGGAAGAGAGCATCACTTCGGACTTAAAGCGGTCCAGGGAGCTGGCGGCGGAGAAGGGTGCCTCGTCGTGGCTGACATGCAAACCACTGAAGATGTTTGGCTTCATGCTATCCAAGGGCGCATTTCATGATGCGGTTTCATTGCGATATGGCTGGCCTCTGAAGCGGTTGCCCTCTGCTTGCAGCTGTGGTAAATCATTCACCGTGGCCCATGCTCTCTCCTGCTCAACCGGCGGCTACCCTAGCCTCCGCCACAACGAGGTACGCGACCTCACAGCGATCTTCCCGCCGCGGGCATCATGACCACGTTGACGTCGGGAGTTTCAGGACCGTTTGACGTCATGTCGGGAGTTTCAGGACCTTTTGACGTCATTTCAAGAATAATTTTTCGACCTTCGACCTTTCGACCTTCCCTAATATCAAGTTGATAAGGCCGAGTAAAAAAAATTACTAGATGATCGTCCTTTTTTTTGGAAAAATCGGGGAGGGCGGGAGGATTTTATTTTTATTTTTTTACTTTTTACCCTCTCATGCACACAGTGTACACAACAACATCAAGGTTTTTTTTCTCTTTTTTTCTTTTTTTTTCTTTTTTTCTTTTTCTTTCTTCAGCAGATCGATACTGACGTTGTGATATACTAGTAATAGAGAGGTTCCGGGGTACGATTTTCCGTGCCAAAATCCGTATGGGCGCTACGGATTTTTTCCAGGCGTGCTCCATACGATTTTTCGGCACGGAAAATCCGTGTGGACTGGCTTTCATACGAACCATGTTTCGTATGGAGATTTTGCGTCATCGGGTGTAGAAAGATTTTTCGCGTACAAATTCGGTACGAGAAACATCAATTTTCGCGGGAAGTTTTGATTTCGGTACAAATTTTCAAAATAAAAAGGCATAGCGCGGGAATGTGACGTGTTTGCGATCGTAACCTAGGCAATGACGGCAAACACATAAGTTCCGTACCCCGGAACTTTTCACTGCTCGAAAACGACGTATAAAAAATCCGTAGAGCCTCCACGGATTTTGGCACGAAAAATCGTACTCCGGAACCTCCCTAGTATGTGGTCCATATAGTAAAGAAAGTATTAAACAAAGCGTGCACATGTTTCCTGCATCCGCGATCGGTAAAAAACCAACGATTTCGGCAAAAACTCACGATTTAAAAAATAAAATATTTCTTGGGGCGCTGACAAAAACTGGGGCGGACGGGGACGATCATCTAGCTTTTTTTTTTACTTGGCCTAATCAAGAGTACATAACAACGGTCACGGTTACGTTGCTTCGCGATGCAAGAATTTTTTTTTTTTAACGGTCAAAAACTCCTCTTGTACGGGCAAAATAAACACAATTAATTATTTGCGAGTGCAATTCGCAACCTCGGCGCGGCCTAGCGCCTCAACAGTAGGGAGGTTTAGTCCCACGTAATCCGTGGGTACTTTACGGAAGTGGATGAAGGGCACCCACGTTGCAATGTTGTGTTTAGTCACACGGAACAAACAAAAGCATGAAGCGAAAGGCCAAAACCTGGTCAAAGACGAAGCTACCCCGGGCTAAGAAGCTCATCCAATATTTTGATTTCGTGCTTCGGAAACTGTAGCGGATTCTCGGTCACATGACCTGATTTACTTCGGTTTCAATGAAATTCTCATAGTATTGGCTTCATGAAATTCTCCGGTCTCGCGGTCACACTTATATGTATTACGACCGCTTTACCGTATCAGCATGCGCCGTTCACTTCCGCACCGTATTATCCTTATTTGCATGCGTACTACAGCTGTGTACAACTAGATTCCAGTGCGCCGCTGGCCTTCCCTTTTGGTATAGTTGTACCGTACACCGTATTCAGCAGGCGAGCAGAAGTCGCCGCTCCTTGCCTTTTTGCCTTGCTTCCATTATCTCTCTCTCTCTGGTTGTGAGCCGAACAGTAATGTTTCTGTCCTCTCTGTAATCTAAAGTAACATTGATTATGACACCAGATTCAATCGTTCGAAGTTAGTTCTAAATTCACGAATCCAGACTTTTGTATAGAATTACGTAGCGCACTGCTACAATTGGTGACCCCGTCTAGTGTTCGATCACTCGCGATCGCTCAGTGGTCTGCACGCAGCATTGAATTTTAGTATTTTACGAGCACTAGTACAGTATGAATACCTCAAACTCCGGAGCTAGCACACCTATCCGCAGCGTAGGTCGTGGCCAACTGCTGTCCAGAATCACCGGCGCTGGAACTTCCGCAGCAGGCGGTACAGCCCGCGACAGTGAGGTGGCCGCGGTCAGCTTGAACGTCAAGCTACCACCTTACTGGGCTGCTGACCCCCAGGTTTGGTTCGCACAGGTTGAATCCCTGTTTTCCACCCGTCGCATCACCAGCCAGGTGACCAAATATCAGTACGTGGTGGGATCACTGACACCAGAGTATGCGGCAGAGGTGCGTGACATCATCCTGGATCCTCCTGCTCAACAGCCGTACGACGCTCTCCGCGAGCGTCTCATTCACCGCACGCAGATGTCAGAACAGCAGCGTTTCCGCCTGCTGATTTCGGACGAAGAGCTGGGCGACAAGAAGCCCACCCAGCTATTACGCAAGCTACAGCAGTTAGTAGGTGAGAACGCCATGCCCGAAAAACTTTTGCGAGAGTTGTTTGTCAGCCGGTTGCCCCGATCGGCCAAGTCAATAGTAGCATCCTGCCCTGCATCACTGCCGCTGCAGGATCTGGCAGAAATGGCTGACAGAATAGTGGAGGCAGCTGGTCCCAGTGCGGCAGTACATGCAGTTCGCAACACTGGCGAGTCAGAGACAATGGCTGCCATTGCAGCTCTCCGGGACCAAGTTGCCGCCCTGACGACTACTGTAACCGAGCTGAAACAGCAGCACGGCCGCCCTCGCTTCCGCGGCCAACCCCGCAGTCGCTCGGTCTCACCGCATAGCAGTGGTTTATGCCATTTTCACCGCAAGTTTGGTGTGCAAGCCCGGCGGTGTGAAGCCCCGTGCTCCTGGTCGTCGGGAAATGCCCCGGCCAGCCAGTAGCGGCTCCTGTGTCTGGCCCACCTACCTCCCGCCGCCTCTATGTCCGTGACGTCACCAGCGGAACCCGTTTCCTAGTGGATACCGGTGCTGACGTCAGCCTGCTGCCAGCCACTTCTGAACACCGCCGCCACGTCGATCCGACTGGTCAGTGTCAGCTCCGTGCTGCTAATGGCTCTGCTATTCCGGCTTTCGGGCAGAGGTGTTTGACCCTTGACCTTGGTCTTAGACGAACATTCCCTTGGATATTTGTCGTTGCTGACGTGAAGGAGCCGATCCTGGGGGCTGATTTCCTCCATCGGTTCAGTCTCCAAGTCGACCTTCATGGACGCACCATCCGTGACAACTCCACTGACCTCCAGGTCAATTGCATTCCTGCCGAAACCGCATCGCTCAGCTGCTCCTTGGTTTCCGCCCCGGTGGCCACAGCACCAGCATTCACCGGCCTGCTTGCCGAGTTCCCAAGCCTCACCAAACCATGCTGTTATGACCTGCCGGTCAAGCACTCGGTGGAGCACCATATTGTGACTACCGGCCCGGCACTGCATGCCCGCACTCGTCGGCTGGCTCCAGACCGCCTGGCAACGGCCAGAGCTGAGTTCCAGCATATGCTGTCCCTGGGCATCATTCGGCCATCCTCCTCGCCCTGGTCCAGCCCTCTCCACATGGTTCCTAAACCCAATGGAGACTGGAGGCCATGTGGAGACTACCGACTCCTGAATAAAGTCACCGAACCGGATCGGTATCCGATTCCTCATATTCAGGATTTCACCAGCAGTCTCCATGGTGCTACAGTGTTTTCGAAACTGGATCTGGTCAGAGCGTATCACCAGATACCAGTAACCCCGGCCGACATTCCCAAGACTGCCATCACGACTCCGTTCGGGTTATTTGAGTTCATCAGGATGCCCTTCGGCCTCCGGAACGCGGCACAGTCATTCCAGCGGTTTATCGATTCAGTATTGCATGGCCTGGATTTCTGCTACGTCTACCTCGATGACCTCCTAATCGCCAGCTCCGACCACGCTACGCACCTGCAACATCTGCGCCTGGTGTTTGAGCGACTGCAGCAGCATGGTTTGGTGATCAACCCCGCTAAGTGCGTTTTCGGCCAGCCGTCCCTGACGTTTCTGGGCCATCTGGTTAACGCCCAGGGCATCAGCCCGCTACCGGCAAGAGTCGACGGCGTGGCTCAGTACTCCCTTCCAACATCTCGCCGCCAGCTTCGCGAGTTTCTGGGCATGGTCAACTTTTACCGGCGCTTTATTCCCCAGGCATCCGACATCCTCCAACCACTGACGGATCTGCTTGGTGGACCTCAGCGTCCGAAGAACTGTCCCCTGAAACTTGGCACTGCCGCTGTCACGGCATTCCATGCTGCCAAGGACGCGCTTGCTGCAGCAACGCTGCTCATCCACCCCATCCCGGATGCACCCCTCCAGCTCGTTGTGGATGCATCAGATGTCGGAGTTGGCGGGGCCCTTCAACAGCTTGTTGATGGGGCATGGCAGCCGCTCGCTTTCTTTTCCAAACGAATGCAACCAGCTCAGAGTCGCTACAGCACGTTCGGTCGAGAATTGCTAGCTGCGTACCTGGCAGTAAAGCATTTCCGGCATCACCTGGAAGGCCGCTGCTTCCACATTCTCACGGACCATCGCCCGTTAGTGTTCGCCATGCAAGCTGCTGGTACTAGCCACTCACCTCGTGAGCTCCGGCACCTGTCCTACGTGGCTGAATTCACGACGGATCTCCGCTTCCTGCGTGGGGCTGACAATGTTGTTGCTGACGCTCTGTCTCGCGCCACTGTTGATGCAGTAACCGCGCCGCCGGCCGCTGTCGACTTTCAGGCTCTGGCAGCCGCCCAGCAGTCTGATCCCGAGCTACTCTCCGCTCAGCAAGACACGCAGTCGTCTCTGAAGCTTCAGCCAATCCCGTACGGTTCCGCTACCCAGCCTGTGGTGTGCGACATGTCGACCGGCACTGCCCGCCCGTTTGTACCGTTGTCCTTTCGCAAGACCGTCTTCAACAGCCTGCACTCCCTTGCACATCCGGGTATTCGTGCCACTCAGCGTATGGTTTCGGCACGCTACGTCTGGCCCGGCATGCAAAAGGACGTCCGGGAATGGACCCGCTGCTGCCCCTCCTGTCAGCTGAGCAAAGTGACCCGCCACACCCAGGCTCCGCTTGGCCAGTTTCTGCCACCCGATGAGCGCTTTGACCACATCCACATTGATTTGGTCGGCCCCTTGCCTCCCTCCGGTGGTTGCACCTATCTGCTGACCTGCGTGGATCGCTTTACCCGCTGGCCAGAGGCCATTCCGATCAAGGACGCCGCCGCGGAAACAGTTGCCACCGCTTTCATCGCTGGGTGGATTGCCCGCTTCGGCGTCCCATCTGTCGTCACCACAGATCGTGGCGCCCAGTTTGAGTCCGCGCTTTTCCGCCACTTGTTGGCCCTGCTCGGCACCTGCCGGACTCGGACAACTTCCTACCGTCCACAATGCAATGGCCTCGTCGAGCGTTTCCACCGCCACCTAAAGGCTGCTCTGAAGTGCCACCCTCATCCTGGTGCCTGGAATGCAATGATGCCCCTGGTGTTGCTGGGCATTCGCGCTAGCCTGCGCGAGGAGTTCCAGTGCAGTTCCGCGGAGCTGGTCTATGGCACCACTCTCCGCTTGCCATCTGAGTTCTTCCAGCCACCGCCATCTATGCCGTCGGTGCCCGTTTACGTTCAGTTCCTCCGGGATGTATTGCAAAACATCCGGCCCTCAGCCGTTGGCCCTCGCCAGTCCAACCGCCCAGTATACATGCCGAAGGATCTGTCAACGTGCGACTTTGTGTACATCCGTACCGACAGTGTCCGCAAGCCGCTCCAACCACCGTACACTGGTCCGTTCCGTGTCCTCAAGCGTACTGACAAGCATTTCACGGTCGACGTCAAGGGCAAGTCCGACCAGGTAAGCATTGACCGCTTGAAACCCGCATATGCTCTACCTGTTACAGCTGCTGCTGCTTCTGCTCTTTCTCTGATTGTCCCGCCGGTTGCTGCTGCTGCCCCACCCCCTGCACGTGCTGTTCGCTTTGCTACCTGATCGGCTGGGCTCCTCCGTTCTTTGTCGCCGTGGGCTTTATGTCGGACCTTTTCTGGTTGCCGTGCGGTTTTCATTTTTTTCTTCCTTTATACGCTTCTTCTTCTACGTTGCGGTTGCCGTTTCTCTCCTTTCCAAAGTTATCGTTTCCTGCCTCCGGCTTGTACACTGGCAGGGGAGTAATGTAGCGGATTCTCGGTCACATGACCTGATTTACTTCGGTTTCAATGAAATTCTCATAGTATTGGCTTCATGAAATTCTCCGGTCTCGCGGTCACACTTATATGTATTACGACCGCTTTACCGTATCAGCATGCGCCGTTCACTTCCGCACCGTATTATCCTTATTTGCATGCGTACTACAGCTGTGTACAACTAGATTCCAGTGCGCCGCTGGCCTTCCCTTTTGGTATAGTTGTACCGTACACCGTATTCAGCAGGCGAGCAGAAGTCGCCGCTCCTTGCCTTTTTGCCTTGCTTCCATTATCTCTCTCTCTCTGGTTGTGAGCCGAACAGTAATGTTTCTGTCCTCTCTGTAATCTAAAGTAACATTGATTATGACACCAGATTCAATCGTTCGAAGTTAGTTCTAAATTCACGAATCCAGACTTTTGTATAGAATTACGTAGCGCACTGCTACAAAACTTATTCAGCTGAGCACCCTCACAGCTCGCACAATGCGCTCCATTCTGATTTTCACCCACGTTCTGGCGGAACGTGGGTGAGCCTCCATACACGGTATGTCGTGAATCAGAAAACGTCTGTACGTGGGTCACTGAGTATCACGTGGTGCACCCACGTAAAGTACCCACGGATTACGTGGGACTAAAACGCGGCGGGAAGATCGCCTATTCGCCATGGCCCCGGCAACGATCACGTGTCATGTAAGAAAGTATGATCAGTGAGTGCATGTATACAGTACAGTGATTACAGAACTAGATGCAGAGTCGAGTCTGACACAGAAAAATTGATTTGCAAAAGCTGAAAAAGGCGAAGCGATAAATGTGTGACTTGCTTTTGACTTTGAGTTCAGCTTGTTTCTTCTTCTTGAGTTGCAGACCTTTGTTTAGCTATGACTGAAATAAAAACCGAGCCAGATATTGATCTGTATGGAGATGAGGAGCTAATTGACACAGACGCAGGAGTATGTTGCTGTTTGAAGCCTGATAAATTGTTGGGAATTTCTGCACCTTTCTTACCACTTGCCTCTCCTGTAAAATATTTGACTTAGGATAATTCTCTTGCCGTGAATGATGACTTATTCGGGTCTGACGAAGCCCCAGATGAAATCGTGGAAGAAGAAAATGGTGAAGAAGAGGTGGAGGAAGACAATGGAGAGCCTCCTGCGAAGAGAATGAAGCTTGAGAGATCGGTAAATTTCTGTCATTCGCGTACCTTTTGAAATAATAGGCAGTCTGCTTTTGGGTGTACTTGTAGTCGGCAATGACTTATCATGCACTGTTCAAGGAATTCCCGCATACGGTTTAGGTCTTTAAATTTTGTGTTTTGTTGCTTGTGTTGTTGCTTTTCAGGATTCCGCCAGTGAGCAATCGACCCAATCAGGTGCAGGCCCTTATCTTGTGTACTTATCCACTATTCATGATATACTACGTTGATGTGTGTTTGTCCTGTTTACTTCAGTAGCAACGCTCTTTTACCTATTCGTAGTGTGGGTAGTTTTTTTTTTAGATTACAGCGGTGTTTCATAGTTTTTAAAGATCTCTTGTGCTGGCACATGAGCGGGTTTTCACTCTCCCATTACTGTAGGAATTCTTCTGATAAACGACCATTATACATTGTGCTTGCTTGAAACTCTGTTAGTCATGTTAGAGTCGCATACTTGATCAAATGTAGGCATGTAATAGGGTTCCTGCTTCGAGTCCTGGTAGTGACAGTCAATTTTTTCTTCAGACTTTCCCTTTTCCATTCCCTCAACTAATGAATAGCGAATAATAATTATGGCTCTCGTTGTATTTTAACAAGCTAGATGACACTAACAACCTGTTTATAGTGTAAATTTAGGCATAGATGCGAACTCCACATACAATGCGTATTCAGGCTTAGGGACTTGTGCACTATGCTATATAGCGTCTAAAATCTCCATGAATGCAACACACATAACTGCGCAGCTTGACTGTAGTGTTGGCATTATTCCAAACTTATTTATTCGACCTGTCGCCAATTTTTTTCGTTTTTAGAGTGTCGCGTGAAAGCACACTTATACATGTATACAGAATCCTACATGTGTACAGAATTATTTTCAGATCTGAAATGTAGATGCTACATAGAAGCATCTATTACAGCGAGCTTCACACACACACACACACACACACACACACACACACACACACACACACACACACACACACACACACACACACTCATTCTCACATACTTTTGTAGTCAGATTTATGTGGCCTTGTCCACTGTGCGCACGCCGAAATATGGCTACCTCCCAGCACATACATGTACGCCCAGGTCTAGTGTTTTTCTATTGGCCAACATGCGATGGTATCTCCTTCGTTCCTGCTTCATTGTAACCTGCTTTCTGTTTTCTGGTGAGGTGTTCGAACAGTGCACCATTTCTTTGCTTTCACCTGATACTAGTAAACTTTGAAGTGAAATACACACCTCAGTTTTGGGCCATGGGATGGTGGTTGTGTGTTTCGCAAGCCATGGCGTGTACAGTGCTTGCCATCGGCTTATGGGGAATGGGGTGCAGAGAAGGTCAGATCTCATAGCATTGAGCCATGTTAGAGTGCCAATTTCTAAAGTGCGATCCGTTGGGAAATGTTCTTTTCTGTACGGCTCTTTGTTTCTATCTGTATGCACTCCTTTCCCTTGTATTCGCTGATAAGAAATTTAGGAAGTCTCAAATGCCGATGTACATAGAGGTTATGCAGGGTGATAAGAAGCTTTCCATGTGCAATTTGCCCATGTTTAATCCTCATAGCCTTCTCTTGTACTTGGGGCATTGCTGTTGATTTTCAGATACTAGGTTTTCTTGGCGTGCTAATCTCTTTTTCTTTGTTTCAATGTGCTGTTTGCCATAACGTTAACATTTATTTCCACTGTAAAAACTGGTTTGTTCTAGTGCCTATTGACTTTGTGCTTTCACTCCATTCTGTCTCTTTTGCCTAAATATATTTCATGATAGAGGGAATACTGTATGTCGTCCTTTGCTGCTCTCTGTTTTCATTCTCCTGTTGTCCTTTCTTTTGCACCGCTACTGGCAATGGCTATGTGTGTGCTTGTGTGTGTGTCTGTACGCCAACGCTTTCCCCGGCCTGCTGCATTCCTACGTTGGGAAACAAGCAGAAGAAGTCACCGCAGCGGCGCCTGTGAACGAACTACCAGATGGCAAGGTCATGGGTGTTGCTGTCAACGGCAGGGTAAGAACAGGCAGACCTCTTCACAGCATAGCATGTGCGTTATACCTGTGTCCACTGCCTTCATTACGCATTGGTTTTGGCCTGCTTTGAGCTTTTTTCTTTACACCACTCCTTTCGCCCAGCAAATGGGTGCTTGCAAGTCTGCTGTATGCAATGTACGAATGACTTTCTTCGGCACTATGTTGTAGTTTATGTGGATCTGAAGGTGGTTGTCACTCGCTTTCGCATTTGAACTGTGACATCAGTCTATCTCTGGCCCGTTTACCCTGTTCTGACTTCGCAGTAGCAGATGTTAGTGAGCCTCTATTTTTTTCTTCAAATAATCTTGTTGGCTTAGGGTATGTCGGACAGAGTCAAAGTGTGTTTTGACGTCCATAGATGATTGGCTATCGTTGTGTGTGCGGAGGGCTTTGCGCCATTTTCTTGATATCCGTTTTGTTACTCGCTTGCTGCAACATTGTTGTTAGTTCTAGTACTAGGCCCATGTTTTGATGTGGCTTTCACTTAGGAATTAGGATGGGCTTTTTGACAGGCTACACGCTGCCGTGACCACTGTGCCACCTCTTAGTGTTCATGATGGCCTTGCTCTTATTTCAATGTTCTTATTCTCACATTCACAGTGGGCAACGGCCAGAAAGAGTGGTATTCTTGCTGCTGCTTCTGCTGCTGCTGCTGCTTCTTCTGTTGTTGTTGTTGTTGTTGTTGTTGTTGTTGTTGTTGACAAAGAAGAGACAAGAATGGGTGTTTTTGAAAATTCCGAAGGCATGAGATGGGGACAGAGAGCGAAAGAGAAGCTTGCGAATTTCTTCTGGAAGAGCTCTGAGCGACTGACTATTCTGTCGCAAGTGTCTACCCAACTTCAGTAGACTGGCCATGTAGTCTTCGGAACGGCGGTGTTCGTGTAGAGACTTTCTCGGCGGAACGCTCTTCAAACAATAGTTTCTGAACCGGCTTTAAAGCAACGTGACCGCTTCACGCTAAATACTCAAGATTTATTCAAGCTGCAGGAATATAGTATGGGGTTGCAGAGGTGTTTGTGTGGTTGAGTGCCTGTCTACTTTAATATCTCCTGGCTTTCTTGAAGCAGCAGCTAATAGGGGGAGCAAGACCAGCTACTGGACCGTCTGCACTGACTGTTCCATTTGACAACATAGTTGTGCCTGGCTTAGTCAAAACTTGTCTTTGTATTGTGGGCGTATGCGTATGTTGGCCTGTATGGGAGTGTGCGTGACCTGCTGTGTATGTGCGATTGTATGTGGCTGTGTGTATGTCCTGTGCATGGCGGTGCTGTTGAATAGATCCGTCAAGTTCCCAAGGCAGATCTTGGTCATCCCGGCGGTGTTCCGCTGGAGCTGCAGCTTGTACCTGAGTCCGCGAAGTCTGGCTCCGTGTTCGTTGGAAATCTCTCCTGGGTAGGCTTAACTTATCTGGCTCCTATCATGTTCCAGGAGTGGGCCTCGTCTTGATGTAACTATTGTTTGTTGAGCTGATTAAGCAGCATATCAGCCTGTATTTGTATTGACTGCTTCGAAGTATGTGGACTTGGTATCTCTTTTTCTCACTGCATATTAGGTGCAGGTCCATATAAGTCTAGGAATGATGTGCCTTGTGAGTACTACGGCTCCACTGCCTACTCCACGGCAGCACTCTGCCGAAATCTTCCGAAAATATCCTCTCAATGCGGCTTCTTTCCCTTTTTGTACGTCTGTCTCACTTTATTTCAATATTGTGTGCTATTCTATGCTTTGCCGACAGTGGACTCGGGATGTGGAGATAGCGAATGCTCTTGTCAATGCAGGCATTAAGGATGTCGTTTCCGTGCGTGTGTATGAGAATCGGACCAATGGCCAATCAAAGGGCTTCGCCTGTGTTGAGACCGGCTCTGAAGCCTCAGCACGAAGTGTCATGGCCAAAGTGAAAGAACTGTGAGTTTATGCTTGAAGATTCTGTAGGGAAACAGCCATACACCTCCGGCATGTTAACTGACACAAGTCTTGATTTGTCTCATTCTGATGTTGTTGTTCGTTATCACTCACTACTACAGTGCATTCGAGATCATCAGCAGGCCTATAGCCGGTGTACTTGTTCATGTTCTTGCTTTACTTTTGTGACAGGTGCTGTACATGGTGTTTGCTTGTGTGTGTGTGTGTGTGTGTGTGTGTGTGTGTGTGTGTGTGTGTGTGTGTGTGTGTGTGTGTGTGTGTGTGTGTGTGTGTGTGTGTGTGTGTGTGTGTGTGTGTGTGTGTGTGTGTGTGTGTGTGTGTGTGTGTGTGTGTGTGTGTGTGTGTGTGTGTGTGTGTGTGTGTGTGTGTGTGTGTGTGTGTGTGTGTGTGTGTGTGTGTGTGTGTGTGTGTGTGTGTGTGTGTGTGTGTGTGTGTGTGTGTGTGTGTGTGTGTGTGTGTGTGTGTGTGTGTGTGTGTGTGTGTGTGTGTGTGTGTGTGTGTGTGTGTGTGTGTGTGTGTGTGTGTGTGTGTGTGTGTGTGTGTGTGTGTGTGTGTGTGTGTGTGTGTGTGTGTGTGTGTGTGTGTGTGTGTGTGTGTGTGTGTGTGTGTGTGTGTGTGTGTGTGTGTGTGTGTGTGTGTGTGTGTGTGTGTGTGTGTGTGTGTGTGTGTGTGTGTGTGTGTGTGTGTGTGTGTGTGTGTGTGTGTGTGTGTGTGTGTGTGTGTGTGTGCGGTGTGTGTGTGTGTGCGCGCGCGCGTGTGTGCGTGCACGTTTGTGTGTGCGTGCGTGGTCATGCTCCTCAGTGCTATTCACGGACAGATTCCCATCGCTCAGCTTACAAGCCGCACGACTATTAACAGCTTTGAGGCCCTGTCCCGCAGAGGTGCGATTCTTGCCATGTCTGCTACTTAGTACATCAGTTCCTTTCTGTACGAGAGTATGATAGCTTTACCATTTGGTGTCCGAAGCGTGTGCTGAATTTTTTGGATGGCAGGGTCCTGTATAGGGAGGGCCCGAAAACCTAAAGATCCTCTGTGATCTCTCATGAGCCAGTTGCGCGTCTTGTGCCGTCTTCCCTGTTCAACTGTGTGCAATCTGTATGGTATGTAGCACAGTAGAAAGATATGTGAGTGCGTCTTCCTTCAATTTGGTGCAATCTGTATGATTTGTAGCTCGGTAGAAAGATGTCTGAAGGTGTATCCCTCAGTGTTCAGCGTGTGCGTCAGATCTTTTGTTGCTGTTCTGCTGCTCTCGGCTATGAACAGAACGCCCAGCCGAGGTTCCCCTGACAAATCGTGTTGGCCCGGTCACCGCCCAGGGACTCAAGCTCAAGTCTGGTGGTAGCAGCGGGCCATCCGCTGCCTACGTGCCCCCATCGCGCCTGTCGGCAACAAGTTCCGGTATGTGACCTGCGCTCGCTCTCACCTTGTGTACCACTCTGTTTGCTCTGTAACTTCTTGGACATTCCAGTGTCAAAAGTCCGCAATGTTTATGTTCTCTGCTTCATTTCACTTGCTATTTAGTTTGTTATTGTCTGTTATAGTATGACACTACCTGTACAAGTATGTATTGTGCATTGTCTTTTCTTTTGATACGGGGATTACAGAGTCTGAATGACCATAGTTTGCTGCCCTGCGTCTCTCCAGTTTTAGGCCGGGTGCTCACACCATGCACCGTAATTTCCCGAGTATAAGCCGCACTTTGAACACTCGAAATCCACCCGAAAAGAATGGGGGCACGGCCTATACTCCGGCGATCAAATTAACGAAGATAAATTAAAAGGTAGATGCCATCCGCTGCCTACGTGCCCCCATCGCGCCCGTCGGCAACAAGTTCCGGTATGTGACCTGCGCTCGCTCTCACCTTGTGTACCACTCTGTTTGCTCTGTAACTTCTTGGACATTCCAGTGTCAAAAGTCCGCACTGTTTATGTTCTCTGCTTCATTTCACTTGCTATTTAGTTTGTTATTGTCTGTTATAGTATGACACTACCTGTACAAGTATGTATTGTGCATTGTCTTTTCTTTTGATACGGGGATTACAGAGTCTGAATGACCATAGTTTGCTGCCCTGCGTCTCTCCAGTTTTAGGCCGGGTGCTCACACCATGCACCGTAATTTCCCGAGTATAAGCCGCACTTTGAACACTCGAAATCCACCCGAAAAGAATGGGGGCACGGCCTATACTCCGGCGATCAAATTAACGAAGATAAATTAAAAGGTAGATGTCTGTGTTTCGTGGCAAAGGGGGGGGGGGGGGGGAGGGGGAGGGGGCGGCGAATGCTCCGGAAAATCGGTATTGTAGTGCAATAACAGATCCATGGTAAATATCTAACCGGTATGGTGTGTTTTGATCTCCGCCCTGCCATCATAGGTCCGACCCCGACCAGCCGCGCAACACCTCTGCTGCAGCGCCGGGGACCCACCAACCCGCTGCCGCCACGTCCGGCTGTTCCGCGCCCTCCAGCTTGGATGCGTAAGCGTTCTCTGTCTGCTCTGTTCGTGTTTGACCGGAGCTCATGTTTGTCATATTGGATGGCTAGTGTTGGGGTGGATTAAGCGATGACATAGTTATGGTTCCAAGCATACACACTGCATTCTGTGTTCCTATGTACATGTATTGAACCATCACTTTATATTTCTGATATTCAATCTGTCCACACGTTTGAATTGCAATGTGCCTTGTCCTGAAACTAACCACGAACCTTCCAAGTTGGGAGACTGTTGGTTTGCGCATCGGAGATGTATTGGGGCTAGGCTTCAGGCCGTTGAATGTTTCAGTACTCAGTCCGTTTAGTGGCCAATAGGCGCACTTTCTGACCGTGTATTATCTAGCTACAGTGGCGGACAGTACGAGTAGTCCTAACCTGAATCCATGTGTGCTTTCCTCTTTCTGCCTCATCTGCCTTGCTGGTTTCTTGTGCAGCGCCACCGCACGGTGCTGGCTTACCACCACCGCCGTTTGACCCGCTCCTGCTGGGTGCTGCTCGTCCTCATCTTCCTCCAAACTTCCCCCTGCCGCCTGGTGCTCTACCTGGTCTAGCCGGTGCTCTGCCTGGTGGTCTAGCCGGTGCTCTGCCTGGTGGTCTGCCCGGTGCTCTGCCAGGTGCTCTACCTGGTGCGGCGGGGGCAGCAGCTGCCGCCGCCGCCGCTGCAGCACGCTTACCTTCGGTGAGACTCCCACCGACGGCTAGTACCAGGATGGCTGTTAGTGACTTTGCTTGTGTGCCTGTTGTTGCTGTTGCTGTTGTTGTTGTTGTCGTCGTTGTTGTTGTCGTCGTTGTTGTTGTCGTCGTTGTTGTTGTCGTCGTTGTTGTTGTTGTCGTCATCGTCGTCTTTGTTGTTGTTGTTGTGGAACAATATAGTGAAGCTGATGGTGAATCTTTCTGCTGGAGTCATGACTACTGGTTCATACCCATTCAGTCTCTCTCTCTCTCTCTCTCTCTCTCTCTCTCTCTCTCTCTCTCTCTCTCTCTCTCTCTCTCTCTCTCTCTCTCTCTCTCTCTCTCTCTCTCTCTCTCTCTCTCTCTGGCTGGGGCGCGCGCGCTCCCAGCCATAGGTAGCTTGCTTGTCTTAATGTCCGTAACACATGCTGCTACTGGCCCACACCCGTCCAGTCTCTCTCTCTCTCTCTCTCTCTCTCTCTCTCTCTCTCTCTCTCTCTCTCTCTCTCTCTCTCTCTCTCTCTCTCATCTCCCCAGTTGTGAGCATGCTACATACATGTATTTCACGGATTTCCTTGTAGTGGTGCACGGCTGTACCTTTGTATGGTCACTGTGTGTACTCTGCTCCCATTATTGGACTAACCTGTCGTTCCCTGCTGTCTTTCCTTTGATAGCTGCCTCCGCCGATCCCGCCACGACCGCCGGTTCCAACTTCTGCAGCCGCTGCTCATCCTCCACCAGGACTGCCAACATTCCCTCATCCACCTGCGCCTCATGTCAACCCAGCCTTCCTGGCTGCCAACAGCGCCTTGGTAAGTCAATCGGATTCTTTTTTTCAGAGTAAAATATCACGGCTGACTCTTTGTAAATCTCAATTGCCCAGCAGCAGCTAGCTCTGTCGACTTTCTTTGGTCTCATCAATGGCAGTCAGAGTGACTATCTGATCAGATGAGTATTTAATGTACACTATTACAAAATTATATTTATAATAACATCAACTGGGTGAGCGAGAATTGTGCATCGGCCCTATGCCGGATGAGTAGTGCTGCGATAAGAAGTCACCTGCCGTTAGGTCCTCCAGACTTTGCTTCCATTCCCGCTGGTCTCTGTATAGTCACGGACAGAACAGACTTGCTACGCAACCTGAGCTGGTGGATGTTTGCATTCAACAGCTCACAAACAACGCCCTGGTCGTAAAACCTGAATCATGTGAAAGTTATTTAGAACTAACTGATTTCAGCTCGTGTGGCAGAAAGCAAGATGCATTTATCCGCTTCCATAGGAATGCGACCACACTTGATGAGGCGTCAGATGCAACTAAGGCGGTGCTCATAGTTTTTCGAAGTTTTAAACTTAGTGATTACATTTCTCATTGTGCTTGGCATTGGAGAATAACAGTTAACACTTTTAATCTGTCTCTCATGACGGGGCTCTTTCAAGTATTTGGCATTGAATGCATTATCCGCATGTCAAAATAGCCCTGTCGGTTTTGGAGCACGCGTTTGACGGCATTCTATTCCTTTTTCCAGTCATGAGACACTACTGTAAAATTCCGTTAATAAGCCCCGGGCGTATACTTTGCAGAGCGTCAAAAACCGGGCGTATATTTGGGCATGGGCTTATTTTAGGGCATGGGCATTATTTCGGACGCAATCTGCAGAAGATCAATCTATCAGCAACCCACTAGTTTCAGTGAACCACCATTCACACTGAGCGCGGTACAGGTACATGCGTGACATGTTTTGCTACATTTTTTGGCAGTTTGCTACATTCCAACGGAACATCGCTGTCCTCGCGCGCCGTGACAGTGTTGAGTTCTGCACTGTGCTGCGTGCAGTTGGATGGCACGCACTCGATCGACAACTGTTCTACAGTTGGTACGCGAACGCACGCTCGCGCGCTGGTCATTTTGAGTCCACTTTACGCCCTGGGCTTATTTCGGGCATGGGCGCTGTGTACACCGCCTAAAACTGGGCTTATTATCGGACATGGGCGTTATTTAGGGTGGGCTTATTTACGGAATTTTACGGTATGCCTTGCGCTATGCCAGCTGGTGTGGTATGACCAATTGTTGCATTTGCTGCGTACTGGTATGCCAATTGGACTTGCATTTGCCTCCCCGTGTGTTTGGTGGAACTCTTTTCTCTGTCTGGTGTAGGGTGCCCCTAAACTGCCCACAACGTCCAGCACAGCCTCCCTGCCGACAGCGTCTCAGACGCATGCCGCCATGGCAGCGGTGGCAGCGAATGCCATGACTCGGTAAGCATCCTACTCTCACTGCATCCATGAGAGTGTGGGGGGGGCAGGTTTGTGAATTGCCACAAGTCTTCATCTTTTTCAGTCGTATTTTGTCCAGTGCTCGTGCTATTATAGAACACGGCCGGGGGGGGGGGGGGGGGGGGACAGCCAGTACACTCGCAGATTCATGTGCTTCTCTTGCTCATGCAGGTGCGTGGTAGTGGTATGGTTGCCTGCCCAGTGCCCAGCCAAAGTAACGTTGCACGGCACGCAGACCTTCATATGTGTATTGGCTGTACATGATAATTGTCCTACTTGTGTACATGTGTGTGTGTGTGTGTGTGTGTGTGTGTGTGTGTGTGTGTGTGTGTGTGTGTGTGTGTGTGTGTCCCGTATGGTGCAGTGGTATGTGCAGCGATTTCCAATCGATAGGTTGCGGGTTTGATTCCCGACGATTATGGTCACACACGTCTTTCTTCTCTTTCTCAGACTCTTCCTGACTTTTCTTTCATTCTCCTGGGTGGTTACCAACAGCCAGTGCATGCCGGAGTATGTGGTGTGATGTGTGTGCGGGAAAAAAATAAAATAAAAAAGACCAAAAATAGGGATTCACTGGCCAGAAAAATCACTTCAAATAGCTGTATGGTGTAGACCAGGCTGAATAGTGACGGTCAATTCTTCAGCCTTGCAAGCTGTTGAATGGTGCAATCCCAGCACAAGTTGCTATGGCTTCTGCCGTAGCATTGCTATCATCGCCTCTGGCGATGGGCGTCAAAGGTCAAAGGTCAAGGTGTGTGTGTGTGTGTGTGTGTATTGACTGTATTCTATTGCTTGTGTTAGACTGAAGTCTAACACTCTCGGCCAGGCATCTGAAGAGGAGTTGCAGGAGTCTATGAAGCGTAATCATGCCATCTCGACCAGCGCCATCCTACGCGCCATGCAGGATGCTAACGCCGGTAAGACAGTTGTTTCTCTTCTTCTTCTTCTTCTTCTTCTTCTTCTTCGAATTGCATTATATGAGTTTCTTTTTCCTTTTTTCTTTACCCGTTACTGTCTAAAAAGCAGTCGAAACGGTTTTTATCCACCATTTGATGGTGAGCATTTCCCTTCTTCTTCTTCTTCTTTTCTGGCTTCTTTCCTGCTACTGTTAGGGCCGGGTTCTACTGCGGCTCCACTTCTCCGCGGCAAGTCCCAAAGCTGCGGCTTGCAGCGGAGCAGCACGGTTCCACTGACATCAACATTCGCGGTACCGCGATCGTGCGCGTCATATTTTAGCTGACATATCACCTGCCTGCGTGCGGAGAAATCGAAAAAAATCCTCGTGTTCTGGCCTGCACAACGAATTAAAATTGGAATAAAATTCCCCTGTCTACAACTATGCAAAGTACAGGAGGAAACAGGACCGAGCCACGAGCGCGGTGAGCAGTTTTTGATCAAGCCTCGACCCGGAAGCTGGTGGTGAGCTTCACTGAGTTCGGTGATCGTGACCGCAGCTCTGCTGCCTAGCAATGTTCACATCGTAGAATCCCTGGTCTGTGTCTAATCAGTGAGCAGGCTACTTATCTTAACTAACTGTGAAGTTATATTGACAAGCTGTCGCGTGTCGCTCATCGGGAATTGATCTATGCGCCTAATTGGTTCGTTTCAAAGGAGACAAGACGATTCATGTGGACATCTGGGAGTTGCCATTGTCCTCTTGTCACAGCTCTCTCATAAAGACCATCTTGCTTTGGGCCATCTAAAGGGTGTCAGCTTTTCAGGATCATTTTCAATAAAATGTGGAATTCTCTTCCAACGGTGTTTGTGATTTATTCATCAAAAAGTGAACCATAACAAAATTATTTTTTAAGCTGGGTTTTGCTTATTTTGGCCCAGCTAGCATCGACAGTTATTGGGAACTTGTGGCCTGGCCCGAATGTAACATGGATGTGAGGAATGGAGATTTTCGGTCTCTAATCACTTTGTGGTGGGTCTGATCAATTCATCTCCCTCTGCTTTAGGAGCCACAACTGCACACGCACACGCCGTAAAAACGATTTAGCCTCAAATGTCGTATTATGTCAATATGAATGTGTTGTTGATTGCAGGTGACTTTAGTGGTGCTGTGGACACTCTGAAGACGGCCATCTCTCTTATCAAGCAGTCAATTACAGCCACAGCGGAAAGCAGTGTTGTAAGTGGCGAAAGCACGAGACTGTGGCTATTGTCAGTCGTGTGTGTGCGCGCGTGCGCGTGCGTGTGTGTGTACTACTGTGAACTATGTGTACTATCAAGAGTACATAACCCCAAGAGTGTGCAACTGCCTGCACAACCTCTATGCTGTGCTGCGACGGCAGAACTTCACATCACGTGACAGGGTTCAAAAGGTTATGCTGGCAAACAGTGCAAAGTGACCACAAGAGAGTTGTACCCAAAGCTGGGCTGCGTACAACCCAGTATCTATCATGCACTAGAGTGCACGGGTTCATCACGTGATGTGAAGTTCTGCCGTCGCAGACCCCATAGCTGGAGTTGCACACTCTTGGGGTTATGTACTCTTGGTACTATGGTATATGCAAGCCTTGCTTGATAGTTTTAAAACCATGTTTTGCCATGACAGCATGTCACAAGGCCGCTTCCAACCGGTTTGTGGTTACAGTCAGGAACACTGTTTTCCGTAAAGTGTGTCCTCCGCCTTGCGACATGCTGTCGCTGTCATGCGCTGACTGTGTACTACTGTGTACATTGCACGTCCTGATCAGGCAGTGTGTGGTAATGCAGTTGCCTCCCTGGTTGAACTGCAATGTGATGAACATTGTGGAGGATCTTGAAGTAGCCATCTGTCTACAGAGACCAGCCATCTCGGGCACCACAGCGTGTCTCAATACGTATGTTTCGGCTACATAGTAGATGACTTCCACTGCTCGAAACAGTGCTCCATACCCGCAGGGGTGGGTTGGGGGTCGTGAGTTTCACGCTGAGCACTCATCAGCCGCCATAATAACATTAGACTAGGAGATAGGCCCTGGTGCCGGTATTGTGATAGCACTCCTACAGCAGAGGCGCACGCCCAAGAACGTTGTTTCCAAGGGGTAAGCATGGGACGTTCTTATTTTTTCAGCAATCCGGCTGCGTTACTATAGCACGTTCTTAGAAACAGTGGCTGTGCGTACTGGATCATATGTATCCCACAAGCTGCCAGAAAACCAACACGGATGTTCTTAGCTTCAGGCTGTGGCGTTTTTGGTATTTCAGGCTGGACGTTCTTTGGACTCCACGTTCTTCAGCGCTCGGCTCTACTGTAAGGGGTCGTCGCAAAAGTTTTCTGTCGTCCCTGAAACGAACATCGTTCATTTCGTACTCGGACCCCTCCCCTCCCTCTGAAACGAACACAGCTTGCTATGCTGGACGACGAAAATCGCATGCATTTACATGTCATATGTACAGTGTCGGTCGACTTGCGGTTTTGGCACGCACCCCCTCCCCCCCCCCCCCCAAATGAATCATGTTCGTTTCAGGGACGACAAAAAACTTTTGCGACGACCCCCTAACTATTAGCAACCTATGGTTGCTAATGGTATGCTGGTGTGGACTGGCTATGTTTTAGCTGTGTATTGACCGCATGGCAGTGAAGGCCAATTGTTAGCTTTGTCCAAGTGCGCAGGCCAGTGTTGATAGGATGTTGTAGCCGGGTCTGCATCCTATGTCAACACCAGAAGATACGGCTTTACCCACCCGAAATCCGGCGGGAACTGATAGCAAAGCAGAACGCCTGTTTCAGTGCTCGGATGCCCTGGGGCCGAGTCTCAATACCCACATAGTGCTATAGCCCCAGCTCGGAGCTTCATGAGTACAACCAATCGCCAGCCAGGGAAATAATGACATTTTGTGTATGCTCTTTTCCTGCCCTTCTCCCACCCACAGGCTCTTATCCAGTCACTGCAGGAGTGCCTGTCAGGCATTGAGTCTCAAGCATACACAACCAAGTAAGTGTATCCTATAGAATGTTGAAGTACCATTTTCTCTCTCTCTCTCTCTCTCTCTCTCTCTCTCTCTCTCTCTCTCTCTCTCTCTCTCTCTCTCTCTCTCTCTCTCTCTCTCTCTCTGCTGAGCTGTCTCTTTTCTTTTCCTCGTGTCTCTTCGGTTCATCTCCAAAGCATAGTGAGTTGTCAGCAGGAAGTGTAATTTTGAATAAATAAAAAAATAGGTTGAGCACTGTTGACTTGAGATTCGTCTCCTCTCCGACCCCTTAACATATTATCTGATGCAACGGCCATACTCCTCGGTGATAGCAGTCTGGCCTTGGCGTCGGCTAGGGGGATGATAGAACCGATTCCAATGGTGATATGCTGATTTTCATGGCTGTGTGGTCGTACAACTTGAATCACATTCAGTGATGTAAGTGCAGTGCTGCTCAATGAAGTCTTATCGCGTAAATCTAGTACGCTCTGGTCGGTGTGCCGCTCTAGACCTGCAAGCACTGGGATGTTGACGGGTGCTGGCTGCAACGCTGACTCACTTGATTGTATTTCATTGAGCAGTACGGTGCACGTGTGTTGTAGAGGTGTTTCGCATGTGTCAGCTACTGTATAAGCTGAAATATTCATCTGGAATTTAATTTCGTCTTTTTCGTCCAAGGAGCTTTTGGACTAAATTAAATGCCGGACTACTGTCGATTTGTCCAGCTTTTCGATGCACTCTTATGGTCCATGTACGAAATTCACAACCGGACGAACTTCCTTTCTTTGGAGTTGGACGAAAGTATTGTCCGGCGAAATTTTCTTCCTATGCAGTACCCTGCTTGTGATACTATGCTTGTGTGTGCTCCGGTGTTCTTTCTCCAGGAGCTCAAGCGGTGGCAGTGGGCGCGCAAGCAACAATAGCCGCAGTGAGCGCGAACTGAGCAGCTCAATGGGCCGCGAGCGTAGTAGTCGCCGCACACCCGAGAGCATGGAGGACGACTATCACCGATCGCGCATGTCGTCTTCGCATCGCTCTGGCCACATGAGCAGCAGCAGCAGCAGCAGTAGCAGCCGACATCACGACCACCATGACATGTACAGAAGCGATCGACACGACAGTCGCCGCAGCCGACGATAACAATCTGCTATTGTTGCAGTACAGCCGATCATGGTGCTGTGAGTACATAATCATTGATGCTGGAGCCCGCTCTACTGCGCTCATTTGACTACAGGCTTGGCCTGGCTGTGTTTTCCGTCATAGCAGGCATGCCCCCTCCCCCACAGGTCCATGCTTGTGCAATACATCATCACATCATCAGTCCATTTCCTGATCGCCTATTGTATGCATTCTCTCCTTGTGTTTTGCCACTCTTGTCTTCCACTTAGCTTTGTTAGGTCCGCCGTGCTTCTGCTTAAGTCTGCTTGTAGGTTTTCAGCTGTCTCCCCAGAGCAGTTTGTTAGTGTTTTGTCTATGTGTCCTCCCCCCCCCCCCCCTGCAGTTTTTGTAAATACAAAATACCCATATGAGATTTTTAGCACCAATGCACTCAGCTTCACATAAGTATGCCCTTCTGTCTGTGTAGCATTCTCTCTTGCTCTCTCTCTCTCTCTCTCTCTCTCTCTCTCTCTCTCTCTCTCTCTCTCTCTCTCTCTCTCTCTCTCTCTCTCTCTCTCTCTCTCTCTCTCTCTCTCTCTCTCTCTACCCAGTGTCCAGTGTTGTCTATGTCCAATGTTGTCTATGTCCAGTGTTGTCTATATAATATGGGCACTGTGCATTTCTCATTCATTGCCTTTTGTAGTCACTGCTTGCTCGTCGCACTGGTTACATAGTATTCCAGTGTATACAAGATCGGAATGTGTCTGATAAGCAGTCCGCTGTATGTCTTGTGGTTTTGCGTGGCTGCCCAATGGGATGGACCAACAGTACATGAAATCCATGTAGACATGTACTCTTTATATAAATGTAATGGACATACAAGACTTCCCCTCGCAGCTGGCATTTCATAGCATGCGCCTAGGACTAGTAGGAGTTTAGCTAGGCGGGCAGTGGGAGTAGCTCATGTTGGACATGTGATAATTATTATGCTTCAAATTCTCAACTGATTCATGAGTCATGTTGTTGCAACCTGAACGAAGGCCAGGATATGAATCAGGGAGTCGTAAAATATTAGTATTTTTCGACTCCCTGATATGAATGATGAACGGCCTCTTGTGGAATGCCCGACTTGATTATTAGTTCGCTGTAAATCTGGCCTCTGTCTTAGTTATTGTATTCAAGTACGAGGCTCATACTTTGAACTGAGGTTTTTTTCATGTTCTCCGCGGCTTCTAAGCACTGAGTCTCTCTCTCTCTCTCTTTCTCCCTGTCTCTCTTTCCTGTTTAATTGTTTGCATTTTGTGGTGTTTTAAAGCCATCATCTAGAGTCCATAGCCTATGATAGGCAAAACCATGGCTGTGGACTCTTGGTTTTTTTATGCAGTGATAAGTAGCAAGATCATAGTGCATCAGGAGTTTACTGGGAGTAAACCGTTAGGCTAGGGAACCCTACACGATAACAAGAGGAGCTTATACTTTATAGTGATAACTAAGCTTAGTTGCTCTTGATTGTATGTGTAGGGCTCCCTGATACATGTGATATCAAGAGTATAATTATTATTATTATAAAGTACTTCAGTATAACCCTGGGGGGGGGGGGGGGCTATGTACTCTTGATAGCATCTGGCAGATCTACTAGTACAGTTGTGGCGTATGTGCACAAGTCATGCAGACGTACATGTAGCTATCATGCATGCACTGCTGCTTTGGCTGACTCGTTATGAAAACAGTTTCCATGCTCGACAACCATTAACCAGGCAACGATGAAAAGCTTTTTAATAAAAACTTTAAAAAAAGGTTTAGGCTTGACAAACATGACATTAAATTTTGTGACTGTTTATTATTATTATTATATATAAAACCAGTTAATTATTATTATTATTATTATTATTAAATTTTTTTTTAAATTTCGGCCAGTCGGCTACTATCATTTTCGTCTTGGGGGCTAGACAAGGGAAAGTAGCCATGTCGGGGCGTGAGCCCGCCTTTCGGCACCGGGAGTTGCAGCTCGCTCGACTTGACTCTACTGAATGCAGAGGATTAAATTTTTGATAGGGCAATCCCCACAGGCCTAAGGCCTTTTTGACAGGGTACCCTAAAAAGACTGTTGATAGTACCAAGCAGGGAGTAGTAAAATACAGTATTATTTTTACTACTCCCTGGTACCAAGAGTACATAACCCCAGCCTCAGGCCCAGGGTGCTATGTACTCTTGATAGTACCCATATCCCGGCCATAACCGTCTATCCATGCAAACTGTCGGTAGATCTACAACTAGTACAAGACTTGAAGAGTAGAATACTGCACATCAAAGACAAAGTCATTGACTGTATGTAGATCTCGAAGCCACTGCACTCAACAACGAATCAATAGAGTACAAGCGTAGATCTACCAGAACTTCGCAGAAGTAAAATAATGTGCTCCCCCGGGAGCTTACGTGCTCCTAACGATACTGCTAGCGCATAGCGACTTGTTACTCTGTGGCTCGGTTGACGTGGTGTGGTGTGTTCCACTTCTAAACCAGCTGACAGCACAGACAAGAGTAGGAGGCTAGTAGTACTAGTAGTAGTAGTACTACTACTACTACTAGTACTACTAGTAGTAGTAGTAGTAGGAGCTTTACCCTGAAAGACTGCAGGACTTCTAAAATACGTGTTTTATCCATAGCGATGTGCTCACGAATCGTCGCGATCACTTTTTGTAGTTGCACTTGTATTAAATGTTATGGATTCTCCACAGGCCTTTATTAGCCTAAATCGAGGGAGTGCCCTTCATGCATGCTCAACCAGCAGGCAGCAGCCTGGCAGTGGTAACCGCCTTGTCCACCGCACTGAGTGTATGTGAACTCGTAGAGGCCAGTGGAAAATGGGTGGTGGCCTGATCACCTGGACCAGATCGAGCCGTTCATACCTTTGTATTATGTACATGTATCAGTTTTTTTTCTCTCTCCCTCTTGTTGTATCATAATTATTATCAGTACTACAGTAAGTCATGTACAATCAATTATACAATCAATTATCATGTACATGTACAGTTGCACATGTTTGCAGTTTACATACAGGGTTAATTATGCCCTAACTTATGGTCCGTTACACGCCCGATTGGTAGAGAGACTCACCTCCTCTTCCCTGCAGCCTGACTTGTGTCCAGTTGTGGGGTCTGCATTCGCCACTAAGTCATAGTGATGGCCTGCGGATGCGAAGGATAGCTTGTGTGTTTCTGAACATTCAAGTGATGCTAACGCGGACCCCACGAAATTATTAGTTGTCATGTAGGGTAGATCTACGTGCCGTCGTTGGTCGTGCTTGGTCGGCTAGCCGGCTGTGCATGTGTATTGTGGATCTTGACTGACAGTCATGCCATTGAACCAGGCCTTTCCGTGACCACTCCGCTATCACAATGTCAATACTGTAGTGTATAATGTATGTGTCATGTGTGGTCATGTACGTGTACGTGTTGACATGCACATGACACGATCGCATTGTGATGATGTCCGGACGATATACGTGTACATCAGCCATGTACTGACTGACAGTCTGTATCCTGTATCCTGACTCATACTATTACCAGTAGTAGTAGTACCATGGCAGCTACATTGTAGACTACATGTACAATCATGCAGCCATTATCAAGCATGCTGCACTGGTCAGCTACTATGCTCTGGTATGACCATGATGACCAGCGCTAGTGGGAGCTAGCCTAGGACATGGCTGTCATGGGATGGACCCACAGTGCCAAACTCCCACATGCGCAGGCCACACGTCACGGATGTTGTGTGAACGTCCCCAAAATAACTAAACCTTTTTGATTCATTTTGCTAGCCGCGACCAAACATGCATCTGGCGCTTTGCCTTGGCTTTGGAGTTTGGTCTGCTCAGACGCAAATCCCTGCGTGCGCGTGCGGATCGGAGTCAGTGTCGACCAGGCCATGATCCAAGGAGTCTTTAAAAAACCCTTTACGACACCTTGGCGTCCACTTACTACAAGGAACGGTTAGTTACAGGTTATGTGGCTGCCTTGGTCTACTGACTGTCTGGAGAAGTCGAACTCGTAGATCTACTCGTAAGTCGGGTCCCACCGGTCTACCGCGAGGCGAAGGTACGATCTACGTAGATCTACCGTGATGTCACGCATGTGTGTGCGTGTGGCCGTACCGGCCGTAGACTTGCCAGCACCGTCAGCAGGACCCTAATCCCTATAATCCCTATGCTAGTACACGTACAATCTGAATCAGTCATTACCGATATGGTCGGATTGATGTGAGTGACAAGGCTAGCCTTCGGACTCGTGCGGAGCGGCTCGAACTGCGCGCAGTGACGGACAAGAAAGAAGTGTACTTCAAGTAGGTTCTCGGTAGCTACCCCGGTCCTGTCGCTCGTATCAGTTTTGCGGCCGGCCAGATCCACGGCAAATGTTCAGCCCCTAGCCCTGTCTCCGGACCGTCCGTGCGAAGAAGTTCCCGCTCGCAATGTTATCGTTGGCGTGGCTACATCGATAGCCAATATGGAGGTTGTCTTGGTGTCTCAATTGCTTGAATGAAAGAAGTCCTCGCGGAATCTGCTCAGTGCTTGCTTTGGATTTCTGACAGGGGCGGTTGCGGATGACCGCATTAGCAACACAACTGCTGAACTACGTACACATGGACGTAGTTACCTAGTGACGTCCGTGTGAAATCTGATAGTGACATTGGGCAGCGGAGAGTGATAATTATGATAGTTTCAGCCTCCGGTGTTATAATTATTCGTCTGTTTGTGCGAAGAAGCTGAAGCAAACTGGAGGGGAGAGAGGTTTGTGGAAAGTAGAAGGCGGCTCAGCCACGGTAGCCACTGCCAGGGAGTCTTCGCAGGGAAGCAGCACATTTGTGCAAGCGCGTTCGTGTATGCGTGCTCAGCAGCCACAGTGTGTGCAGGAAGCACAGAATAAGAAGAGCAGCGCCGTGCGAGACCCGGACCCGCACTGCTCCTCGATATCAGACCAGCTTTTGCTGAGTAGATCTACGAGTCGAGTGCAGGTTGCGCCAGGTGCTGCATGACGCCACAAGCTATACAGGGAGGTAGACCTACGACTTGGACGCACCTGCCCCGTTCGCATTCTTCCCTGCTTCCCAACCGGGCAGCTGCATTGGTCACGGTGGTGAACGCTACAGCACAGCGATTATAATAATGGTTGATACAGTGTGCAATAACAATAACTAGGAGTGCTGAGTGCTTGTTATTGTCATACTGGTTTACACAGGGACATAGGCAGTGCTACATACCTATGTTCCTAGCTGAACCAAGCACACCCAGCTGTACGGGCAACAGCTGTAACAGCCAGCACACTAACACATGGAGCAGTGGACTAAGCCGACATGAATACAGTTGCAGCCAGGCAGTGCGGCATGCTTATTTCCTGTCCCCGACCAGCTTAGAAAAGGATCTTGCTTGGACTAACACAACCAATCCACTGCCGCTGCTCCACCGCTCCTCATGCTCTTCCGTCCACCCCAAAGGACTGCTGGAAACTCGGAAAATAGCGTCAGTCCAGTGTGTCAGTGCTTGAGGGTGAAGAGAACAGAGTATACGGTGCCTGCTACTTCACACTGTGTGTAAGCAATGCCCAGTGAGGCCATCCAAGGAAGCTCTGGACGTGGCCACGTTCGGTGCCCATGCAAACCGGATTGCCAGAATCGAACCACTTGCTATGGTGCATACTGCCGCGTTCGGTGAGGACACGGTGCTCTTTTGCGTGCTGACGTGTGTGTGTGTATGTGTGTGGAAGTGTGTGTGTGTTTGCGTGCTCGTGTGTTCATGTGTGTGTGTACATTTTTGTGTGTGTGTGCGTGCGTGTGTGTGCGCGTGTGTGTGTGTGTGTGTGTGTGTGTGTGTGTGTGTGTGTGTGTGTGTGTGTCGGAAGGCTACCCTCTTGCCGAAGCATTTTGGAAGTTGGACTAGTTTCGGCTCCACAATCCAGTGTGTCGTTACAATTATAGCTTTCATGGCTGAGGTTGTTGGTACGTCTGTTGGCTCTGGGTTCCCAGTACCCAATTGCCAAGGCTGGTTGGTAAAATAACTCCAGTTTCACTTCAAGGTACCAGTACATCTAGTGTCTGCTTCTATCAAAGCAGCATGCTGCCTATACTGGTTACCCCAGCAAGCGTACGGTGTGCATAGGTAACTGTCTTGGCCGTCCTATTCCGATGTACTCCGTGTGGTATAGACCAGGTGTGCATGGGAGGGGGGGGGGGGGGTTGATTCACATGGCTTCGCCAGTTGTGTGGATTAGACAGTTATCTGGTGCTTGTCTTGATCTGTTTCAATCAGAATCAGATCCACTATCGTTGCTATAAAGAGAAAATCTGTGGGTGCACATCCAGTGCATTTGCAGATTTGCGACGGGCGTATACATGGCACATGGTGTGTGTGTGTGTGTGTGTGTGTGTGTGTGTGTGTGTGTGTGTATGTGTGCATGCCGGAGTATGTGGTGTGATGTGTGTGTGGGAAAAGTGAAAAAGACCAAAACGTGGAGATTAACTGGCCAGAAAAAGCCACTTCATTGCTGTGTGGTTTAGACCAGGCTGAATAGTGACGGTCAATTCTTCAGCTTTGCAAGCTGTTGAATGGTGCAATCCCAGCACAAGTTGCTATGGCTTCTGCTGTAGCATCGCTATCATCGCCTCCGGCGATGGACGTCAAATGGTCAAATGTTGTGAGAATTATTGGCGTGCGGTTGTGGAAAAGTGGCATGCTACCGTCGCCAAGGACGGGGATATTGGTATCCAGGTGTCGCAGTTCTGCAGAGACTGCGTGTTCAATACGCGCCTCAGAGAGTGTCGCAGAGTGACTATAACGGAGTGTCAGTTTGAGGACGATTCGTCGCTGTTCGCCAAAACCTACGGTGATGCTGAAAGGGCCTTGGCCTCGTTTCGGGAGGCTGCAGCATCTTTTGGCCTGTCAGTCAATCTGGGCAAAACTAAGTTCATGCCTATGGGCGTTGGTGTGGTGGCGTCGGATATGGTGCCTTTGGGTGGAACCGTCGAATGCGTGGACAGCTTTCGCTATCTTGGCTGCCAGATCACTCCTGATGCTAGGAGTAGCTTTGATGTCTCTCGCAGGATCGCCGCAGCTTCGGGTGCATTTGGCACCTTGAAGAAGGCTGTGTTTGCGAACCCCGAGTTTCCTATCGGTCTCAAGCGTGTTGTGTACGGAGTCACTGTGTTGGCGGTACTCCTCTATGGTGCTGAGAACTGGACACCGAGGCAACGGGATCTCCAGCGTCTGGAGTCGTTTCACCTGCGATCTATACGCATGGTCCTGAGCATCAGTCGGGCGCGCCAGATGGACGAGCACGTGACAACCCTTCAGGTACGGCAGTGGTGGGGAGACATGGAGCAGGTCTCTGACAAGGTCCGGCGCCGTCGTCTCCAATGGCTGGGCCACCTGGCTCGCATGGATGACCGTATTCCCCGCCAATTGCTCTTTGGTGCCTTGCCGTCTAAACGACCTCCACATGGCTGGAAAGACCCAGTCAAACATGACCTGGCGGCGGTGTCCATTGGCATGAATGAGTGGCTTGACACAGCAGATGATAGGTCTGAGTGGAGAACCAGGTGTCAGGATGGAGTCTACAACGTGGTATGCTCTCGTGTACAACCTGCCGTGAAACCACTCCTGTGTATGGTCTGCACACGCCATTTCAGCCGCCCTCAAGACATCGCTAGACATAGTTGCACCTCCCGTCGCTCCGCAAAAGCAAAAAACAAACATTGAAACAGCCGTTCACGTCCCACCGGGCTCGCAGGGCCTCATGCCGCGTCCCGAAGACAGCACTCCTTCAAGTCGCCCCGTTTGGGGTCACATAGCCAATCGTGGCAGTGGGCGAAGGAAGGAAGGAGGAAGGTGTGTGTGTGTGTGTGTGTGTGTGTGTGTGTGTGTGTGTGTGTGTGTGTGTGTGTGTGTGTGTGTGTGTGTGTGTGTGAGTCATAGCTGTGTGGTGTAGACCAGGCTGAATAGTGGCGGTCAATTCTTCAGCCTTGCAAGCTGTTGAATGGTGCAATCCCGGCACAAGTTGCTATGGCTTCTGCTATAGCATCGCTATCATCGCCTCTGGCGATGGGCGTCCAATGGTCCAATGGTGAGTGAGAGAGAGGAGAGAGAGAGGGGGGAGCATGCCAATGGCACTCTGAAGGCATGTAGTGCTCACTGTGTGCAGCAGCCCCTGTCACACGTGTTGTTAATACCATCTCTATGCCGCCAAAACCTAAAAGAATACCGTAACCTGGCTGCAGTGAACCCTGTAATTCTAGGAAATACAAGGTATATCCAGAGAATTATGAAAGTTAAGCCCACTAGCACTGGGGAATATCTGAAAGACAAGAAGTGACCTTGCTGAGAATTGCAGAAAAACGGCGTGTACATGTTAAAGCACTCCCGGATGTCAATGGCTGTAATTGTTTTGCTTTTGTTTTAACTGCAGGGATATTGATGGAGAGCTGGTGTTCGGCTGTAAAACAGTCTTAACATTTGCAAATGGCTTTGTCGTAGGACCCGCCACACGGCCGCCGTCCTGCGACAATGAGCCAGACGACCCACCCGTGAAAAAGTGCTGCTACGAGAATATGTGCACAGAAAATTATAGTGAGTATGTTCAGCACCTTCATGATGGAATACTAAGTACTACAGTCAGTTTTGCGTATAACGACACTCGGCGGGGCATCAGAAAAGTGTCCTTTTTCGCGAAGTTCCCTTATACCCGAAGTCTCTTATTATGTATTACAGCTAGATGGGACTTACACTTTGCTCTGGGCATGGAAATTCTGTCGTTATTCGCGAATTGTCGTTATATCCGCAGTCGTTATTAGCGAAGTTGACTGTGTTAGCTACTTGACCGCTTTAATGCACTACCCGCTATCATTCGATCCCAGCGTACCTTGCCTGCTTTTCGCGCTAGCTGCTCACAATTTCTCCTTGGGCACCCTGTAAGAACGCCATAGGCCTGTTGGGTATACCCAGGTAAAATAAATACTTCTACTACTACTACTACTTGAATACAGGGCTGCTCAATGAAATCCAATCGCATTAGTCAAGTTTGCACCCTGCCGCAGTTCACGTGCACGTATTTTCAGGTCTAGAGCTGCACAACACCCAGCCCATACTTGGCCCATGAGATTGGATTTCACTGAGCACCGCTGTAGTATAGGAGTGTCACTGTGCGCATCATGTGCTGCAGTACTGCCGGTATGCAGTGCAACTCATGTGGGCAAAGACGCTTAGCAGTGAATGCCGAGCAATATGGATTGTACATTAATACCCCCCCCCCCCCCCCAACACACACACACACACACACACACACCTGCCACCACACACGTTTTTACTTCTGGCTTGGGACCAGACAACGCGTAACTTTGCTGCCCAGACTTGGAACTTCGTTATTTCCTCAGTCGGAGACAATGTTCATTTGCCCCAAGAGCTGGCCTGAGCAAAGTTACTGTAAGGAATGATTTTCAATGTGATATTCTTGAGGTGGTCATTCAGGTGCAAAAACAACCTCCGGGAATGTTATGGGATTTTTCAAGTCTTCGTTGTGCTGGGTTGACAACTGTATTCAAATGCAACCAGTAGTGTGTTTTGAACCCACAGCTTGATACATAAGCCAGCTTGAAGCTAGTCGGGCTAAAAATGCACTGGCACTAAGTGTAAACTCAGCTCGTGTAACGAGTCCCCTCTCCCACAATGAAAATTGCTTCTTCTTGTCGATATTTGCTCATAGCTGCTACACCGACAACAACTGCAACAACTGCTGCAACAACTGCAACAACTGCTACAACAACTGCAACAACTGCTCTCGCATCCACTTCATCCAGCATAACATCCACTGTATCAACATCGCTTGCTGTGACCATCTCAATGCCACTGGTAGCAGCATTCGTGCTATTCAGTCTTGCCGCGTTCTTGGTCTACAAGCTGTATCGCCGCTCTGGTGCTGTTCCGCCGGACGACAAGTTGTCGAGAAGCTCCTCCATGGCAGGTGGGCAATGCATTACTGTGGAGGAAACAATCCATTTGTGCAATACCATTGTGTGCGGACATCTTCACACGGAAATATTCAGGGTCTATAGTCTATACATGCTTAGAAGTATCACATGTGCCTTTTTGAGCAACTCTTAAGTATGATGGCCAAAGCACTCTATCTGAAATTCTGAGTGCCACATCCCAGCACAAGGAGAACGTAAGATCAGAAAAGTACACAACAATGCGAAACTCAACCCCCGCCCGCGGCAGACCTATCCACAGAACATTGGACTGGATGAGCGCAACGAGAACGAGAGCACTGCGGATGCAAAGAATGCAACAAAATTTAAAAATATTCACTTTCGTCCGAGGATACTGTGTTCCGGGCTGCTGCAAGCTTGTACAGTCAACTTCGCGTATAACGACACTCGGCGGGGCATCAGAAAAGTATCCTTATTCGCAAAGTGTCGTTATACCCGAAGTCACATTATATGTATTACAGTTGGATGGGACTTTGCTCTGGGCATGGAAATTCTGTCGTTACTCGCGAATTGTCGTTATATCCGCAGTCGTTATTACCGAAATTGACTGTACTTGTAGTTCAGATTTCCTATCATGAGCATCTCTGCTGATTCTCTGGATGATTGTTGTGCATCTGTGTCCGAATTGCTATGCAGGTGGGGATGATGAGGCAGGTTTAAGCTCCGGAGGTGCATTGTCCAGTGGGCGACAGGGAGTCGGCAGACTAGCTGCGCGTAGTCTAGCTGATGCCATTGATTTGGACAAGACTATCTCACTCGGCTGTGGCGCGTACGGAACGGTAAGGCTGCAAGTGCACAATATGCAAGCGGATGCTGTTTTGCGGGAATCTGTTTTATCCTGGGATTCCAAGTCGGTATCTTCCCACGGATCAACAGACTTAATGCCTGGTAGTCTTGATCACAGTTTTCTACATTGGGAGTTGTTTTTATAATTTTATTGTAAAGATTTGGAAAGGTGCAGCTCATGTTTTAAACGATATGTGATTCCCTCGCAAATGTTGTACAGCTGTATTGAAGGAAGGCAGCAATGCCTGAACCTATGGTGAAGTAAAATAAAAATAACGTAACATATTGTGGAACCGCCGTATAAATTTCGAAGTACCATCTGAAGCCGGGTTTGCACTAGCGGCCGGTTCATTGCTCGAAACACCGACACCACAATGCCGACATGAGGTCGGCCAACTGTGTCGGATGTGTTAGCCTGCCCGTTCACGTAGCCTCGTGCATTTTTGAGTTCCGGGCAAGTCGTACGTGTGTGTGTGTGTGAACATTTTCACACACGAAAATGGGCCTAAACTTGTCGAAAACATGTATGACACCTCACCTCAGTTCACGCTACGTGATTTTTGCTCCGATTTTGACAATTTTTCGCACGGCTTCATGTCGGCCGAAAATTCTGCCCAGTGCGGGCTCGCCTTTGCAATGTTATTTTGGGAGGATTTTTCGACACGCCGGTTAAGTTCTGCATGCGCTGGAATGGAGCGCATGTGCAGTTTCTATGCGCATGTTAGATGTGCACATGACACAGCTGTGCTTCTCCTTTTCCCACTTCCTTAGGTCTACAAGGGTGTGTGGCGAGACCGGCAGGTAGCAGTCAAACTGTTCACTGATGAACGTGCTTTTCGCTGGGAGGTAAGTGGACAACTAGGCCCATTGGAAGCACTAACTACTCAGTCAAATTACATGATGGATGGGTCACATGACATAATGGATGAGTCACATGACATAATGGATGGATCACATGACATTATGGATGAGTCACATGACATAATGGATGAGTCACATGACATAATGGATGGGTCACATGACATAATGGATGAGTCACATGCATGACATTACGGGTGATAGTGAAGTGGTTGATGGGTGTTGCTGAGCTCCTCCTGCTAGTGAGAGATCAGTGCTACATGTAGAGGGTCACCACCGAGGGGGGGGGGGGGGGGGGGGAGCGGAGGGTTGAGGTAGTTTTGAAGTTGAAAATTTAGAAGAGAATATTGTGTTGTATGGTGGCGTGGAAATATTCTATACGTAATATGAGATACTTCTAACCAGGGGCATCGGAAGGTATTTTAGTGTGGTACGGTCAGCCATCTGAAGTGCAATTTACTCGTGGGGGAGTGGTGGCTGAGCCAAACATTTCGGAAATTTAGATCCCAGTTGAGTGTATTTTATTGATTCACAGGGTACCTGGGGCAAAAAGTGGTACGGTCAATGCCGTAGTGACCGTAGCGTGTCCGACGCCCTGCTAACGTTAACACATTGTGACACCAAGTCAAAGTTGATATGCCATCTCCTGTCCTCTCACCGGTGGAGGTTAGAAGACTCGACTCGTTGTTATCGAGATGAGTGTACTGTGCTGAAAGCCCCTTTTCCGCATCCACTCAGCGCAGTGTTTGCTTGTCCCATTGGTTGTTACTAGTAGACTGAATCATGACGTAGACGAATATGTCCGTGCTCTGTTTCTGTGCCCGTGCTACACAGCATGACATCTTGTCTGTGTTTAACCTCAGTCACCGATCTATAGTGGAGTTCTTTGGTGCGGACATGGTGTGCGGTGAGTCGTCCATCACACAGTACTGGCTGATCACGGAGTACTATCAGCTGGGCTCTCTCCAGCGCTACCTTTGTGAGGAGGCGTTCTCGCTTGTTGACACCAGCAAGCCGTGTAGTGCGGGTCGTGCTCCTGAAAGAGCTACATCTGTGAGGCACTGTACATGTGATCTTGGTGACCATGGTAATAGAGAATGCAGTCGACGTTGCTCCTCCAATACCGGCCAGCAGCCCGGGAGCCCGAGTGCGGTATTTCCACAGCACGAACGAGAGCTGCTGAGCCTCGTTCGCACCATTGTCTCCGGCGTTGATTACCTGCACACGTCCGTAAGCCGTCGGATGGCTGTGCTGGGAGACGTCGCAAGGACACCACACTGCAAGCAAGGAGCACCATACAGTTCCGGTATTCCGGCAGCGGATCACCCGGGATTCGCCAAGCCCATCATGGCTCACCGCGACCTCAAGTCGGCAAACGTTCTGGTGCGCAGCGACCGCACATGTGTTCTGGCTGATTTTAGCTTGGCTGCCTTCTTGGACCCATCGTCAAACCGTGTTCAACATCCTCTGCACTTGGCCAAGGTATGATATGGATAATACTGAATAGTAGCACACACTTCAGGCTCTTCAACAACATGCTTTTCACAAGTAAACTTAAAGAGCTGGATATTGAATATGATAGCAGTGCCAGCTCAGTTCTTTCTTAAGTACCAGTACTAAGATCTGCTGGGATCATTGTCCAGTGCTGCTTCATGTGATCTCTCAACAGTGCCGCTCCATGCGTTTGTAGTGTGCACTTGACAGCAGAGTGATTGGCCATGGGACTGCACTGTGGATGCCCGTCTTTTTGAAATGCGGCATGTGAGGAGCCTGAAGTTTGTTCTGTTCTTAAGTGTGATTACCATGACTTCTGTCTCCAAGCAAACGTTATACTCTTTAGGACATACTTGAGTATCATAATCCCAGTCAAGTTGTATCGGTGACGTAAATAATATTCTCTCAGTGTGAGGTAAGAAATCGTCCGACGTTCATTCTGCTCTTTCCACTCTTTCCATTCATGCAGCAACACGGAACGAATCGATATCTGCCTCCTGAAATCCTGAGTGGCACGGCGGGCAATGACATGAAGTCAATGCATCAGCAGGATATCTATTCGATGGGATTAACCCTGTGGGAGATTGTCAACTGCTGCCCTGTAAAAGGTGAGTGTGCTCGCCACAGCACGGGTGTAATTATAACACTCCTCAGCCATGGCTACAGAGCTGCTCTGATCAGTGGACCCTAGCTTTATCAATCCAGCTTATGTGCACACTGTTGCCAATGAGGCTACTCAATTCAGGGCTATCACGTTTCTTTTGGAAGAAATCTGGAAGGTGTCCGTGGGTGCCCCTCGGCCAGGGGCGAGGGATAAGGAGGCATGGCCCCCTTTATAAACCAAGGTATTTTTAAAAGGATTTCAAGAACCCGATACAACAGCCTATAGATTAGAGCACTTCCGTGGATAATCATAATGCTTGAAAGTAAAGGTTGTCTCTTCTCTCTTTTGTTCACATGTCGCCGCTCTGCTTGCAGGCCGAATGAATGCCACCTATGCTCTGCCGTATGGCCAGGAACTGAACAAGGGCAATCCCAGCATTGATGAGGTCAGGCAGATAGTCTGTGACTATGCTTTGCGACCGGCCATGCCCAACCAATGGAGCCAAAGCCAAGTAGGGTACCTTCTGTTATTCTTGCTGTAGTGGTACTTTTACATATTTTTAAGGCAGTGTTCTTTTTCTGGAAGTGTATTTTTGGAACTGTCCCCAAAGGAACTCTGTCAGCCAATAGCACCCCCTCTGTTTATCAGTCTGTCAATTAAGCAGGTCACTCTAAGCACACCAAAGGACACAGCCACTGTGATAGTGGAAATCGCTCTTCGCGTTATGGGCGCAGAGAGTTTGAGGAAGTTTCGGGGAAGTCGCTAGACAAATGGCTTGGCTAGTTAGGTCGGAGAAGAAGCTGTTGATTAACCTCTTAGTTTACCTTTGTACGCTAACCTATTAGTTGTCCAAGAAGCCGGTGTGCAATCGTGTGTGTTGGTGTACTCAGTCAGTGGCAGGGGTATTTCCCTACAGTCCAGTGCGTGTGTGCACTTCCATAGGGGTATACCTAACACTGGGAATTGAGTTATGTGCTGTCTACATCCACGTGTCCTCCTACAGACCCTGACCAAGCTCCAGTCCATCTTAAAGTCCTCCTGGGATGCCGACCCGCAGCGAAGACCCACCAGTACAGCAGTGGCACGGCAGGTTGAGGGCCTGCGCTCCTCGCTGCCGGATGCCGCGATGCCCTGCCACGGCATGGGCAGCCGATCGTCGGCATCGCCCAGGCCACCGGCATGTGCTGAGAGTTTTGCAGCACTACAGGGTGACGTGCATGGCTGCCCCGGAAAAGATCCAAGCACACCAGCAGCACTTCCGGCAAGTATGGCGTCCGTGTGCTGGAACGCCGATCAGTCCCACTCCGATGGGCCATCCAACGACTCCTCTCAGACTGGTGCAAACAACTCACATGCGTCACCGCCATTCATGCAGGTTAAGCCAACTTTTGTGTCAGTCGAAGTCTGAGCTGTACGTGCATCAGTCAGCTGCTTTCACGCAATAAGAACGAAGGAGGGCCCGAAATCCCATATCCTTTTTAAAATCAAGTTCAGCTCTTCTTACTTATCCAACGTCTCCTGTGGGAATATTTGTATTTGCACAAGCTTCACGTTGCCTCTGATAAAGCTTCGTAAGAAGTACTTTGAGCCAGGGAGTCGTAAAGCACCATAACTCCCCGCGTTGAGCCTAGTGATCCGTATACTATTGACTCATTATACTTTGAAAAGGAACGTGATCATGAGTTTCTAATTAATCCACGTCCATGATTACATAGAAAACCCTACATCATCACCAAACACATCCATGATGATAATATGCCTTCCGAAGCAGTTTCATGGCAGCCGCAGAGTGAGCTGCCTATCAGTCACGGTAGGGTGACGATTCGACAATTCTACTTTGAAAGCTAACACGCAGTAGTTCCAACTGCTTGAAATGTCAAAGTCTGGAGAATATTTAATCTGATCTTGCCAAGTCCACTGCCATATTAGCCACTTAGGGCTAGCACGTGATATCACATAATGCTTTTTATTAATGGTGCAGTTAATACCGGGCTGGAGCTATGCCAATTTCCTTATGGAACTCGGTTGAGCACAAAGTCAACTTTACTCTTTATTTAGAAAGGAAAAGGATACATTTCATTTATTGTTGGCTTAACATCCGAGTTTCTAACTCTTTATTAATTTTATTATGGACTGCCGCAGTGTTTGGTGTGGCTTCTCATTTCTGCCACATGCCAACAGGGCTGGTTTTGTAACTGTTTCGAGTCAGCAAAGTTTGCAGAAGCTTTTGTGACACTGCGGCAGAGTGATGATATTAACTCCCTATCTGGATAGGTAGCTGTTTCCATTTTCTTACACGACGTACTCGTATACAGTGTAATTAGCTATGTGCGCACTGTGACTAGGCACACTCATGCTTAGCCTGGACAATGTCCAGAGCATGGGCATGTGTACCTATCACCAAGTTATCAACTGATTACTTGTTCCACATTTTAGTAATAATTATATTGACACCGAATATGAGAATAATCTGAACTGAGAATGCACTAGCTCACTAGTACTAGCACTTCTTTTCCAATCATTCAACAACTCAACCTTTTCTGATGAGGCCCGCTCAATGACCGAAACAGCTGTCAGAAGGAATACAATTTCAGTACTCCAAAGGACCCTCTTGTTGCTGTTGTGGGAAATGTATGTGGTCTGTCGCAGAGAAAAAGAGTGGTGGTGGTGGCGGCGGCGGCGGCGGTGGTAAAGTCAAGTTTCTTTGACCATGGCTGTGTGTTGGAGCAAGACATGCCTTGGATACTTACACATTCCTGTTATCCAGAGTACTCTAATTTCAGAATTTTCGGTGCTCAATATTTTCGGTATGAGGGCAACAGGCTAGGTTAGGTGAACAGAAATTTTCGGTACAGAGAAGCAGTTCCCTATTGGATTATGTGTGTTAGTGTTTGTTTGGTGTATTGAAATTTTAGGTATGAAACAGACGCACCGAAAGTACCGAAAATAAATGTACACCGAAAATTTGTGAAATTACAGTATTTACTGTACACGTACAAGTATACTGTAATGTATTATAGTTGTCCCATCCGCTTATTAATTTAAAGTGAGAGCGGAAGCGAACTGCCTAATTTGACGGTACTTGTACATTGATGTATCATGGTACTTTTCAACATACAGTGGATCGGCTCTCGTAATATTTTGTTGCAAACTTTGCAGTTCCGAGTTTCGTGCACAGTGCAGCTAGTGTGCAATCATCAGTAGGCACAAATATCCAAAGATGCAGACCACAGCATTTATGGGAATAATCTTTCAATTTATTTAGGTGGGATACATGAGGAAACAAGTGCAAGGCTTAGCGGGACCTGAGCCTGACGTGCAGTGTTCGGGCTGCACTATGCTTATGCCTGTGGTAGTGTCTCTCTCACTGCTAGCCTGCTAGGTGCTGGATGCCTCAGTAGTGACGGCAGAACCAGTGAAGCCGGTGAGATGAGTTACAATTGGATAGGTGCGATGGCTGCACTCTTGTCCGCATGATGCCGTGCCGGTCTGCAAGAAGGCTTCACGGTCCAGCGAGAAGAACTACCGACCAGTCTCACTGCGGTCCACATCTGCTATTTATGGTGATGGAATCCGTTATCAACCGCCAGCTGATGAACGTCTGGGAGGGACACATGTGCACAGTCTCCTGTCACCAAGACCATTCGTGGCATTCGGATTCCGACTTGGTCCACGCCACTCTATAGCTCTAATCTACTTTTTGAAGTACTAACGACCCTCCGTCATCACTGACGGTCAGTCACTTTGCCTTCTGGTCTTGGGGATGTGTGGAAGTGCTTGCTGTAGACATAGCTCAGCTCAGGGCCTTTCATAACTTAGGTCTCACATACCGGCGTGCTACACAGGTTGTGCAATATTGGCGTCCAGGGTTCTCTTCAAGTCTAGCCTGGCTTATTTTTAAATATGCCAGGTTAGAAGAGAAAAGGGACTAAAGTATCTCACAGACCGCTCACTGCAAGTGGCCATCTGTGGCCAGAGCTCCAACTGGTTACCAATCTCTGCAGGGTTGCCACAACTGGCACAAAGAAGTATGCTCGGCCAATCAGCGTTCCTTGTGTTCAGACATCGCGATGGTGACGGTCGCCTGGCACCAGGAACTGAAATGGGAACATTTGCAGACAACACCACTCCGAGGCTGTACGCTTAAGTGTACGAGCACTCGCAGACCTCGTGAACCAAGCAGAGAACCTGCAAGCTTCTGTCAATGCCCTGCATGTTTGGGGATCCGCGAAGTGGGCGAGTTTTAAAGTGTGAGCCTTCCGAATCGTAACTTCTCTACATCTCCTGCCATCGGCAGCCTTGGCTCATGCCTGCTACCTGGTACGTTTGGTGGTGAGGTCATCCCTCAGCCTGAGCAACAAATGAAGCTCCTGGGAATCACGCTTGACTCCAAGCTCACCGTTGGCGCCTACCTCCGGACAGTTGCCGCCCGGTCGAACTCCCGCATGGGACTGCTGCGCAAGGTCGCTAGAGTCCTGGACGGTCCTGGCAAGCTTGTTGTGTACCGGTCCGTGGCTTTGTAACTTGTAAGACCACTACTTGAGTACGCTCCCCTTCACTGGATGGTGGCTACTCCCACCAACCTCAAGCACCTTCGGTGATGGGCCCTGCACATCCGGAGGCCCAACGTGCTGCTGCAGGGCCTCAAGGCAAGGCAGACCGTGGCAGCATTGTCGTTCCCGGTGTACAAGCTGCTGTGCCTAAATGCCCCTGTCGAGCCCGTAAATATCGGCAAACCGCTGGTCATCCATACCGACTAGTTCACCCTCGCTCTGAACTGCTCTGAATTCCCTTCAGGCTTCAGCGTACAATAGCCCCTCCCCATTCTGTCTTCTCTTCTCTCCCTAGGGCCTATGATAGACTCTTATGGTGCACAAGCTCGCGGTAACCATGGTAACCGGTCGTGCGGAGACCCGATGATAGGTCGGCTGAGGTTGGCTTTCCTCACCAGACACCAGTACAGGTTCCTTCTTGAAGCCCCTACTCTTCCCATTCAAATCTTTATTTTCACGATGGCCGCTGTTGTTGGTGTTGTCCTGCTGTATAACTAGGGAGGTTTAGTTCCCACGGAACGGAAACGCGTACGTGGGTGATCCACGTAAAGTGGATGAAGGGCACCCACGTTGCAATGTTGTGTTTAGTCACACGGAACAAACAAAAGCATGAAGCGAAAGGCCCAAACCTGGTCAAAGACGAAGCTACCCGGGCTTAAGAAGCGCATCCAATATTTTGATTTCGTGCTTCGGAAACTTCTTCAGCTGAGCACCTTCACAGCTTGCACAATGCACTCCATTCTGATTTTCACCCACGTTCTGGTGGAACGTGGGTGAGCCTCCATACACAGTATGTCGTGAACCAGAAAACGTCTGTACGTGGGTCACTGAGTATCACGTGGTACACACACGTAAAGTACCCACGGATTACGTGGGACTAAACCTCCCTATTATGTTGCGATGTGACTTCTCTCCGGAGCTCCCCTCCATCTCCGAAGTATAACACATACAATTTTGTAGATGACTGTACTCTTGCCTTGCTTGGTCACGTAAGGCCATCCAGAATTAATTCGTTGTTTCGGGTCACCCGACCGACCGTCTTTTTTCACCCGACCGCAAAATGTTTTTTTTTTATAGTGCATGGAAATGTACACTACAGACTAGACTATGTACACACGCGACCCTAATAATAGTAGTCCAGATATCGACCTCAGATTGAAGCCATGGCTAGCCAAATGACAGGATGCAGCGTTTGGTGACGACGTTGTCTTCTAATTCTATCTCCGATCCGCAATCGGTCCTGAAACAGCATCAGCTCCGCCACCTTGTCGCTATTTACAGAAGTAAGGTGAGAGCTGCTGGCCGGTCAGACTCGTTTGCCAGCGAGGCGAAGATCTGGTCCTGGAGCCGTGGAGGGGACCTGGATCTGATGGGACAATGACTGCGCTGGATTGTCTACACTACAGTCAAATTTGATCGACTGGCTAGATGGACAAAAGCTATTCGATGTACATATGTACGTAACCAAAATAAAAAATGAAATAAAATAAAAAATAAACCCGACCGACCGACCCTGGCCTGGTACGGATATGCCGGATGCGTGCAGCGTGAAGTGACCCGAAACAACGAATTAAAGGGGCACTCCGGCTTCATTTTCGACGCCGAGTTTTCGATGCCAAGACGAAGGTAGGTGAAAGAGAAGACCCCTCGAACAAGAACGAGTCTCCAGAAGCGATCGAGTCGAGCAGGAAGACGACTTTTAGAATTTCGCCGAGCGTCGCGAGCGCTGATGACGTAATGAGGGATTAGCTTGCCAGGGAAATGCATCTGCGCACATACATTTCACATACTTTTTGGCCAATTTTCAATCGAAGGGGAGGTTGTTTTCTATGTTCTCTCAACGTCGTGAGCGATCCCATCTTCTATACCCTTCCAGGTACCCTGAAGGTCCTCCAGAGGAGAATTTATCTCCAGCGAAGCGTTGTTGATCCGCTAAATTCGTCTCGAGACATATTCACCCAGTGCAGTGCTGATAAATGTAGAATGTTGAATCTGTGATAATTGTTGACGATGGAGAGAGAGAGGCTGATAGCCGCTGTCGCAGGGCCCCGGAGAGTGAAGCTGCTGGAAGTAACAACGGGGAGCCCGTTTGTATCACCTGAACAACCAGACTTCAAAGCAGCTTGACCAAATCGGAGGGTGCCTCGTTGCTTATCGTGAATATTACACCGACATGAATTACTACAAGTACACTGGTGAGTTTTATCTTGTTTTGTTCGTATGCTAGTACCCTGGCCTGGAGTTCTCGTTAGCAAATTCCTATTCCCTGGCGTTTTCTAAACATTCCGTGTAGTACTGAATACGTGATCAAGTATTCCGATTTGGGTAGATGTGGAATTTGGACATGTATTTTATAAAAAAATTCTATTTTCCCAATAGAGCGTTTGTAGTGAAATGGTTGCCCAAATACAACGAAATTGATTCTGCAGTTCTACAACTTGTACTGAATCCAGTCAAAGTAATTAATGATTCTTCATGACAGTTGGGGTCAATGAAATCTGATCCAGGCATAACGAATAGTGATGCCTGCCACCCCGAGAACGAATGCCCATTTGGTGGGGGATACCAAAGTACTAGAAAGTGGTGCGTGTTTCAATGTGGCATGGAAGTTTTATAATATGATCTCTGGTCAATACAACATACGATAGCCATCATGAATTGCAGGCCTCGAACGCAACTCAGACTAGAATTGGCAGTTCCCTAAGTTTATAATTCCATGGCCCCAGCTGTGGTGATAGAAGTTTGTTTGCACATTATTGTTATAGTCGATAGGTTTATACTGATGGCCACAAACCACGGCTGTTCGTGTTCATGAGCTTAGAGATTTCTCTCCACTATCTCTGTTGTGCATACAGGTCTGTCCAATATGCATTGACGGTATTGGGTATGGTATCTGCTCTGAGAAGGGAATCGCTGGAGCCACAGTCCCATGAAACAGAGAGGAGCCATCTTTCCAAGCTGATACCTGATGTGTACCGACGGAATTCTCATGAGATACCTCACGGACTACGTGTGGTGTGTACTTCATAGTACTCCTTCGACTACTATCTAGAATCAAGTCGACTGAAACAAGTTCAAACAACTCTGGCTTCAAACGAACCGTCGATTAGACAAACAAAACATTCTCTCATATACTGGAGCACTCTGACAACTCACGACCTATTCCTAACGATTGCCATCGCTTATTAATATGTAGAGTGCTGATTGGAATGTGCTCACAATCTCAACAATTCAGTGCTATAATTGTTTGAACAATGTGTTAGAACTTATTCCACTTTTCTCCGTGAGCTGTCCTATTCCACAATGGTTCATGCCACCATTATTTCTGGTAGTATCCATGTGCATAATTCCAAGACCATCTCGGATTCTTCAGCAATTTGTGCCACGGCAAAAGACAATGCTTGACTCGGTCACTGGGGCAGTCAAACTTCCCATCACAAATGAACTTCAATTTCTCATCTGTTTCAAGTACAGTGCGTATCGGTTATAGTGTGGTCGTATACAAGAATATACTGCTTACAAGAATGAACACTCATTTTTTCATAATCATAACACATATTTTATGTGTATATTTATTCTTACAAGCAGTATTATCACATAGTAGAATATATCGGCCCTAAGAATGGATTTTGTGTAGCAAAATATGCCAGATTAGTGCAAAGTGTATCGCCTGTAGTAATAACATCTGTGCTCTGTGCATACTCAATACAATAATATTCAACACAAAAAGAGAGTTATGTCCAAGGGAGCATTGGAGAATCACTTTTTCTGTTCAGTCGGACTCTTTCTTCCGACTTCTCTCGTATCCGCTGCTCCGCAGTCGCCTAGCACGACCGCGAGTCTGATTGATCCGTGTGTACGTGTATCATGTGTACGTGTCTACATGCCAAACGTGCGCGCATACATGTACATGTACATGTATGATGGCACACGTGCATATGATATGTCACACGTGATTTATCGTGTGTAAGAAATATCGGCAATAAGAATCAAATGTCGTTTTTCAAACACCCACGCTATAACCGATACCTACTGTATATGTACTGCCATGACTTGACCATGCTTCATCCACAGCTGGGCGAAGATTGTGGCATCGAATTCCATAGCGCACCTTCTTGCTGCCATGCAGGAGTATGTGGAGAGAAGTGAACATATTTTACTAAAAAACAACAGCCACTGAAGAGGATAGCAATAGCCTTGGGTGAATTTCCTGCAGGTACACGTTGTTGGTAGGTCTACTGGTCGGTCTTCATATCGTCAAGTTCAGAAATCACCTGTACTACACATCTTGTAGAAGGGATCCTGATCGAATAATTTTCTGGTCATAAAATTCACTAAACTGAGGGCGAGACAAAAATAGTCAGTACTCCCCGATTCCGTCAAGCTGCTTTGAAGTCTGGATGCACATGTGATGCTAACAAGCTCCCCGTTGTAACTTCCAGCAGCTTCACTTTCCCTGCGACAGCGACTGTCAACCTCTCTCTCCATCGTCAACAATTATCACAGATTCAACATTCTACATTTATCAGCACTGCACTGGGTGAATGTGTCTCGAGACGAATTTAGCGGATCAACAACGCTTCGCTGGAGATAAATTCTCCTCTGGAGGACCTTCAGGGTACCTGGAAGGGTATAGAGTCTGGGATCGCTCACGACGTTGAGAGAACATAGAAAACAACCTCCCCTTCGATTGAAAATTGGCCAAAAAGTATGTGAAATGTATGTGCGCAGATTAGGCTTTTCCACATTATGTTTTGCATAATTTTTGCATCTTGGGGGTAAAAATGAATCCTGTTGTAAAAATGCATCTTTCGTGATTTTTGCCAGATTTTCTTCAAAAACAATAACGTTTGCGTGATTTTTGCCAGATTTTCTTCAAAAATAACAAATTTGGCGTGATTTTTGCCAGATTTTCTTCAAAAACAACAATTTTTGCAAGTGTTAGCTAAACTTTAGCCTACAGGCATTTTCTTCTGCTGGCAAGACTTGACCTTGCCCCGCACCTGACGTAACCTGACTCTTGTCAGTCTCGAAATATGCCCGGCAGGCGGCAGTGCATGATGATGTGCATGCATGCATAAGCACGGGTACATGTCCTGTAGGTTCCCTGATGCCAACATGTACACTGTACATGACTGTACCGGTACATGCTTCGAAGCAGGGAGTCGTAAAATACCGGTATTTTACGACTCCCTGCTTCGAATGAATTATTTGGCAGCCATCTTGTTGCCATGGCAACGGGTGAATAATTGTCGCACATTGGGTGATTTCAAGAGTACATGAAAACCATGTACTCTTGGTGATTTTTTGAATTTTTTTAGATCTATCCATTTTTGAGAATAACATCATTCCCCCAAAAAATCGAGTTTCACATCCACATCTTTCCAATATTAGAGAGGTTCCGCACTACGTAAAGTTGAGCAACTTTACGTTAGTGGGCGGGAAAAACCCGTGAATTCGCGAGTTTACACTCCACTTACGGAAAGTTGTCTACGGAGAGTACGTACAGTGCGTTTTTTTATAATAGACTCTGAAAACCTTGAGAACGTACTCAAGGACACTTTTGAGAAAATGTCATGCGAGTTGCGTCACGAAAATCTGCGCGCGAAATTCGAAAAACCAGGTGCGACTCGTGGCATTTCGCCATCTTGTTCAGAGTGTCCTTCGAGCTCCTTGCCTCGTGGCCGGAGGAATCATTTTGTTGCTGACTGCACTGCTCTGTGGCCCTATTTTGCTTTTTCTCGAGTGTCTTTTCGTTCGTGGCAACTTGTTCTCTCGACATGCCACATAGTTATAACAAAACGCGAACGGGCCATGGTACATGGTGGTGTCTGTTTTACATTTTTTTGCGAAGACGAGGAGAACAATGGCTGGGCATCGAATTGGTCCCAAGTATTCCATTCGTCATGCTGCTGTTGCGTGTGGCGTCAGCATTTCCACCATGAACAGATGTACCAGGGATGCTGACGGCGAAAATCAGCGTGCTGCGTTGGCCAGTGATGAAGGCAACGAGAGTGACAATCCCCGATGTGAGACTCGTGCCATGAAACCACTCAACCCTGACGGATTTGCTTTGGACTGTATAAGAAGTAATTTACGGATTCTATGCTGCGAAGGAGGACCCAACACTGGACAAAGTTCCTGCTCGCTGCAGAGAAACCATCGACGATTTTCCAGACATGAGCAAAACTAGCTCTTGGGAAAATGTTGCGTTCCATGGGATTCCAGTGTGGCAAGACCAGAGGTATCACACAAATAATGATGGAACAGCACAGGATTGTGTCATGGCGGCATCGCTACCTGTGAGACATACCTGGATGAGACGTGGGTCAATGCGTATCACACAGGTACTAGGAGGTGGTACGACAATGGTGACAGGAGTGTATAGGCAAGCAACCAAATGAAGCACCATCAGGTAAAGGCAAGCGCGTTATTGTTCTGCATACTGGTGGACGGGACAGATTCGTGAAAAACTGCGCCGATGTGTTCGTGACTGGAGGCCGGCGCCAACGATGATATACGTCGTCGGCTGTCCGAGCACATCTGTTCACTGTGTAATACTGTCGTCACAAGTGCAACACAAAACACGGAATTATTGGGGCCGTTTCGTTCCTCGCTGGTCTTCTACTATTCGCACATGTTGACCCAGACACAACTGTGACTTATTTGCATTGTGTGTGTGTGTGTGTTTGTGTGTTTGTAAAACTGCTCATGCTTCCTTTTTGTTAGTCTCTTTATGGGAGCTGTGTGAATTGCCTTTGTGATTTGTTGTGGTGTTTGAATTTTCACTGCATTCTTTCAGGGATCGAGGGAAGTTTCCTACTTGCATGCTGGAATGTTTTGATTTATTGAGCTAATTGCAATGCAGGATTTGAATTATTCAGTACAGTTTGCCACAATAAGTCGTGAAAAGCCACGACTCACTGGTTTCCTACAAAGGTTAGGAGAACTGCAGACAGCAGTGCACAACTGCACAGCCATGTGCATGTACATGTACATGCATGCGCTGTACTACAGTATACCGAAAAAGAAAAAAAAGAATCAAGATGAACTGTACTGGATTCGAACTCATGCCGGGCACCATGCAAGTGATGAGCTTTCCTAGCTAAAACTTCCGTTTTAAAAATCAAAATCCACTGAAAACCATTTAAAACCGGATTTCCAGCCGAAACCCGGCCGAATATCTAACTTTGACAATTATTATTATTCCGACTCCCAAACTTAATTTTCTTCGATCCAAGACCCACACAAACGCAGCTGTGAAGAAAAAATTTCAAATTTGGAATGAGAACAAACTAAAAAATCAAAATCGACAATGGTCTGTTATAAAAAAACGCACTGTAGATAGGGCTCTGATAACGTAGCTGGTCCGTAAGTGGATTGGGGTACAAATTTATGACTCTCTCCGCATGTCGATCTGGTCGTACACTGCCGCATTCGGAGTTGCCAAGGGCAGCTACGTGATTTGAAAACTCCGTATGGCGGAACACAGATCCGCATGCAGTTTACGTTAGACTTTCCGTAGATCGACTACGTTTTTTACTAACGTAATTACGTTATGCGGAACCTCTCTATTTTTTCGAATAATGTGGAAAAGCCTAGCGCGCTAGCGCAGATGCATTTCCACTGGCAAGCTAATCCCTCATTACGTCATCAGCGCTCGCTCGGCGAAATAATTCTAAAAGTCGTCTTCCTGCTCGACTCGATCGCTTCTGTAGTTCTGATCTGGAGTATCGTTCTTGTTCGAGGGGTCTTCTCTTTCACCTACCTTCGTCTTGGCATCGAAAACTTGGTGTCGAAAATGAAGCCGGACTGCCGGAGTGCCCCTTTAATTCTAGGTGGCGTAACGAGTTACGTCGTTGGCGTGACATGTACATGTCGACATCGACATGAGAGATGGAAATGACGTAGACATCTGTGATCACGGTTTGAGACACAAGATATGACGTGACCGTGTGAACGGGCATGCTTTTTTTGTAATTCAAAAAGTAAATTTTAGGCGTTTCTAGAGATCGAAGCGCAGCAAAGGAGTCGAGCTTTTCGTTCAGCTCTTTTTTCTTGATGAAGTTGATCTAGACGTAGCATCATTTTCTTGGTAGGACTGTAGTATCTTTTCTTGTTTTCATGTTGTGATCGAATATCAGTCTCGGGAAACAATATTGACTGGAGTTCCTCGATAATTTGGTACACTGTAGTGAAAATCGATGGTTGCTGAGAGAAAGCATTGTAATTACTTGAAACTGGACTTGGCAAGATTGGAGACTGCATGCTGAGCGGAACTGATGGTTGATAGGATTTGAGTGATGGAGGATCCTGAGACGCGCATCCGTGCGCTGACTGAGCACGCGAACGCCGTGGAAGTGGACGCGGCCGTCAGTCCCAAATTATATTTTCGCTCTGGGGTGCAGATGATCACCACAGCTGGCATTTATTATGACGAGGGCAACTGGACAGCAGCACTCATTCTCTATATGAAGTATATCGTCCTGTTCGTGGAGAGGCTTCCCAAGCATCCTCAGTATAAATCACCACCAGGCTTGGCTGATCATAAGAAGACCACCAAATCTAATCTCACGACAGTGGCCTTTCCGCGTGCCGAGGAGCTGAAATCCAAGCTGAGGCAGAAGTACAGGAATGAGTATGCATCTTGGAAAGCTGCTGAAGATGCCCGACTGCAGCGTGAGGCAGAAGAACAGCAGCGACTCCAAGAGGAGGAGCAGCAGGCGGAGATTGCACGCCAGCAGAGACTCGCCGCCATTGAAGAAGAGAGACAGCTTGCATTGCACAAGAAACAGTACGAGCTAGCTCAGCAGCATGAACAGGAGCTGCAGCGGCAGCACCAACTGGAGGAGGAGAGGCAGCGGGGGCTGGAAATGGAGCGTCAGGACAGCCTCCGACGTGTCGAGGCCGAGCGCGCCCGCCGGGAAGAGGAGCGGCAGCAAGCACTGGCTGCGGCATCGCTTACCTTGGCCGAGTCCAATCCACCGTCGTATAGCTCGGTAGCACTATCGCCCACTGCACCACCAATATCTAGTATTCAATCACAGGGTGAAACAACCAGCAATTCTCTCACCTCGTCCACCGTGTCTATGGGTAGCGCACGACCAACGATAGACCGCAGCTTGAAACCATTGAAGCCAGAAGTGGAGTCTGATGAGGGCGAGCCGGCTGGCGTCGCGCCGAACGGGTACCGCTGGCTTCGAGTGCCGCTGGACATTCCGCAGAAATTCTTGCAGTGCGCGGCGGCCAACACCCAGCGCAACCTGGAGTTCTGCGGTATACTGTGCGGCAGGCTTCAGAGGAATGTCTTCTCCATTACTCACGTGATCATACCGAAGCAGACATCCACAGCCGACTCGTGCACCATGCTGAACGAAGAAGACTTGTTCGACATTCAGGACCAGAACTCGCTGATCACGCTCGGCTGGATTCACACTCACCCGACGCAGACTAGTTTCTTGTCTAGCGTAGATCTACACACGCAGTTCTCATATCAAGTCATGATGGACGAAGCCGTGGCTATCGTGTGTGCTCCGCGCTACAACCAAACTGGCTTGTATTCGCTGACTACGCAGGGCATGCGAGATATTCGCCAGTGCAAGGAGAAAGGTTTCCATCCCCACTCGCAGCAGCCGCCGCTGTTCGAAGACTGTGCGCACACTCTTGTGCAGTCCGATCTCCAGTCGACGTTCATTGATTTGCGTAGTTAGCGTGTGTTCTTAAATTTTGCTGTACGTGTGAGCGTGCGTGTGTGTGTGTGTGTGTGCGCGTGTGTGTGTGTGTACGTGTGTGTGTGTGTGTGTGTGTGTGTGTGTGCACGCGTGTGTTACGGTGTGTTAACCTTTTTTTCTCAAACCTTCTTGTACATTGCTGATTGCATTGCATTGCATGGCTGTCTGTATTGCTATTTAGTAGACCAATCTGTTGCCTCTCTGTTTGTCTTGCTGTCGATTTATAGTCCGTTCTCTACGCACATTGTAGCAATATTTTTTTCTGTTGAGATTGCCCCACCGAAGCCCTATTTTAACTAACGCCGATTTTACTTTTACCCAATTGCTTATGCTGCTATTGCTACTCGGCACTCTGCTGGGCACCCATTGCACCTTGTTCTGTCCCGGTGCACCGTGGCTCAGCTAGTATCGGGGGACATGCTTTTACACTGTTGATTGTTGAGATGTTGTATGAACTACGGTATGTTTATACAATGTTACCTAGCTGTCAGATATCCTGTATAGTAGATCTACTGTTGTCAGGTGACAGAAACTGCTTGGATTCAGTGTAGTCCATTACTGCCATGCTGGAGCTGGTCTCAGCCAATTCTGTCAAGTCTATCTTATATTTTTTGTGAGACTACTGAAGTGGGTATTGTGGACAACTGGTAACTACACGGAGTATGTGGCTGTTTGCCTATGCTGAAGGATAGCTTTTTGGATAGCAGGCAGCAGTTTTCCCTGATTCTGAAATTCCGGTAGACTATTATTTCAACTGGATGTGTTTGAGCACGTTCGTTACCAAGGCAAGTACTTTCAATCCCGGCTTCTATTATGGGGATACAACTCAGCCAGTTTCTTTTGGGGGGGGGGGGAGTATATGTGTAATATGCTTCATGTACATGTACTCGGTACCTACTGTATCTAGCATGCATGCAAAATAAATAAATGCAGACTCATGAACACACTGCACTGGTGTATATTAAAGGGGAAGTTAAGGCAAAAATTAAAATTTCACCAGTTGTAGTCTTCGGGGTGCTGAGTCGAATGGTCGTGGTCCGAGGAAGCTGAGACGCTCCCTTCCTACTTGAATCCCAATCGAACTCGCGCACTTCCACCTAAACTGGGTGACTGCGCCCTACTAGATGGGGATTTGTATGCAAAATGTCACTAAAAGCGCCGTTTCGTTCTTATAAAAGGACGGATGACCGCGATTGGCCCATATGTTGTAGTCTTTTGGATGCCGAGTCGACTGGTTTTGGTCCGAAAAGGCTGCGATGCAGCGTTCCTCCTTTATTCCCAATCGAACATGGTTGAACAAGCGGTCACGTGCTCCTGCGTACGCTAGTCACCTGGTCACCGTGCCTGCAGGGTACAACTTACTAGCCTGTTTGACCTTTTTTGGGTGCAGTCCTGTCACTCGAGTTGAACCTTGGTGTGAAAGTAAGTTGTCGCCTGCTGGCGTGGTGACCAGGTGATTTGGGCACCCAGGAGCACGTGACCGCTTGTTCAACCATGTTCGATTGGGAATAAAGGAGGAACGCTGCATCGCAGCCTTTTCGGACCAAAACCAGTCGACTCGGCGTCCAAAAGACTACAACATATGGGCCAATCGCGGTCATCCGTGCTTTTATAAGAACGAAATGGCGCTTTTAGTGACATTTTGCATACAAATCCCCATCTAGTAGGGCGCAGTCACCCAGTTTCAGTGGAAGTGCGCGAGTTCAATTGGGATTCAAGTAGGAAGGGAGCGTCTCAGCTTCCTCGGACCACGACCATTCGACTCAGCACCCCGAAGACTACAACTGGTGAAATTTTAATTTTTGCCTTAACTTCCCCTTTAATTTTTTTCAGGAGTTTACTTGCCTCATCAGTTGAGCTTGAATAGGCAGAGGAAGATTGCGCCTGAAGAGAACCACTTATACAAGTAGTTATAGCAAGAGTACATGAAAAGGGTTTCATGTACTCTTGGTTATAGTGCAGTGCTCTCCAGGCACAAACATCACCAGGGATACATGTACACACTTACAGAGACGCTCCGTTTCCAGCGCGACAAACAGCTCGTGAGCACCAGATTGCAGCGTGAGTCAGTGTCGCTCATGGAGGTGCTGAACAAGCGCTGAGGACCGTTGGCCATTCACAATGTTGCTGCCTCCAAACCATCTCGCAAGCCCGCGTTGGGGACAACAATTATGTGAAGAAGAGGTTGGTGCGACTTCGGGTGAATTCCCCGAAACACGACGTATTTAGCAGCGAATGTTGCTTTCTTGCAAGTTTGCCGAATGGATGGTTCGATGAACTTCTCGTGTGTTCTGGATGGCAGTCGTGAGTCAGTCAAGTCGACAGGAAAACCGCGAGCTCCCATGTAGGGAGCAACACACAATTCCCCAAGTATCGCCGAAGTCGCACCAACCCGAGTTACGGAGTCTTCTTCAGTTTTCACATTGTTGTCCCCAGCCCGGGCTTGCGAATTAGATGGTTTGGAGGCAACAACGTTGTGAATGGCCAACGGTCCTCAGCGCTTGTTCGGCACCTCCATGAGCGACACTGACTCACGCTGCTATCTGGTATTATTCACGAGCTGTTTGTCACGCTGGAAACGGAGCGTCTCTGTAAGTTTGTATCCCTGGTGATCAAGTGATGTTTGTGCATGGAGAGCACTATACATGTATAAGTGGTGCTCTTGACTTCAGGCACAATCTTCTTCAGCCTACTCAAGCTCAACTGATGAGGGGTGAATTCCCCGGAACACTGTGTATTGACTATTGAGCAGGGAGTGGTGCTTTCTTGCAGGTTTGCCGAGTGGAAGGTTCGATGGACTTCTCGTGTGTTCTGGATGGCAGTCGTGACTCAGTCAAGTGAGAATTTAAGTCGGCAGGAAAACCGCGAGCTCCCATGCAGGGAGCAACCACATGATTGCGTTTAACTTTTTAAAAGTGACAGGAATGGCAAAAAAAAGGCAAAACGTGTTGTGATGCTCGTTGATGAAACCAAGACTACATATCCACTTACGTAATCAGTGGTTATGACTGTTGTCTTGGTGAAACTCAGTGTGTTGTCTTTGAAGCACATGGTATAACTTTACTTTGTCTGTAGCACGACCCACGGCTTTAATCAGTTGACCAGCCGTCAACTAGCTAAACTCGTTTGTCCAAATGTTGTAAATATTCAGCACTCGGACAGTCAGTGAAGAAATCCAGCCTATTTTTCTGCCTGACTTGGAGCTTCAGGAGGAGGATTTCCTCCTCATCCCCTAACCCCTCATGAGTCATGATGAAGCTCCTTTGTGCTCTTGACTACAACCAAGAGTTCATAACCCCCAGAGGCAGTGTTAGGGACAGGGCTCTTGCGGTTCCCACGACCTACAACAGTAGTTAGTTACCACGGTGCCAGGGAGGGGTGTTTTACTATTCCCTGGTTGCCACACATGTCTCAGCAGATTATGTGACATGGGAATATTATTGTTTTTGATCAATTTGCCGGGGCTATGTTGTCTTCGACTACGAGCAGATCCACTGCGTATGCGCGTGTGATATCAAGACTTGACGAGAGTCTGTAAGCAATTTCTTCTTTTTATGTGGGGGGGGGGGAGGGGTGCACTCTCCGGCCGACGTTCTTCGTCACATCAACAGCAGTGTGGCCAACATTGGCAATACGGCTCTTCAGTGTGACAAAAGGCTCTTCTGCGACAAGCAGTAAACTGCTGTTGGTGTGTCGTGAATCATTTTACTACTGTTGGCGTAAAAGGATCATAACCCACTGCCAAGAGTATAATTATAAGCTCCTTGGGAGCTTACCAACTTCATCCTTGGGAGCTTACAGTAATTATTATACTCTTGCCACTACTGATATTGTTATGTCTCGCGAGGTGACTATGAAAGTATGATCTTTAGAGCCTAGACTACTGGTGGTACAATTATTTACTTGTATGCCCACTGGACCTTCTAATGTACCACGGACATTGACCATTGTACAATTATACGCACCTTTCAGGGTGAATACATGTGTAAACTCGGGTGGTGAGCCTCAATCATTGGACCTTTCCTAGCAGTGAGCCTTCCAACTTAGTTGGAAGGTTGTTGCCTGCTGGTGTGTGCCTCGTAGATGTGCTGGAGCTACATGTACATGTACATAATCATTGTAGGAGTCAGATCGTTGAGATGTCTCAATACATGTGCTCAGCTCCTGTGGCGTCGGTTGTGTGCTTTGTTGTCGGACTCGTTGACTGTATTATGATCGGGTTCAAGTACTTTGGTGGACAGTTAGTCATAACTCGTAACATCTTTGTCCTTCCTTTCAGTGTGATGTTGTCACACCTGCCAGCCGTTGCAAACTGAGATCGAGACATACATTGTACAGTACCAAGGTATGAAAATGTATACAAATCTAGTGAGGAATGCGACAAATGCACTTTTGGGTGCCTAGTACCACCCTGGCCCTGCGATAATGGGACGATCCCGGGACTCCCGGCCAAATTGGGATGGTTGGTAGGCACTTGTGTTGTACTTGTGTTGTACATGTGTTGTACATGTGTCATGTACTTACCGCGGTATTCTCGATCATGTGTTGGGAATTCTGTTACCTCTACTTCATTTCCACAGCAATTCTCTCATACATATACGGTATGAAGGAGTGCTGTTCACCGTGGTTCATACGTTCTGGCAGTACTCTTACAACCTTCACAGATAGTGATAGAAGCTTATTATTTTACTCTAAAGATACCACTGACGGTCCGTGACCGAGTAGGCATTGGCGGATAATGCTCGAAAAGGTGGCAGATTCTGCTCGAAAAGCAGTGAAATTGGCAGAACCATACAAACCTTATGGCGGGCAATTCCTCGAATTCTGCTCTATTTTTTTATCCACATACCAAACATGCATGAAACTTACCAGAAAAAGTACCGAATTCTGCCAATTTTTCTGCCGGCATTATCCGCAAAGGCCTATCCGTGACTGCAGACGGCATAAAAGCAGGGATGCTGAGAGAAACATCTTACTATAAAGTCTTAGTACTGGACAGCTGCGCATCTAGACTAGAGTGGTCACTGGTGGTTGATTTCCCCCTTTCAGAAGAATGGCAGGTAGAGTTACATGTACGTACCAAAGTATTGTACATGTACATGTACAATACTTTCCCGCACATACCTGTACATGACATGTAAAAAACGACCCTGGACGATTCCACAGAAATCCATCATTATTCTCTCCACATTCACGATGATCCCTAATAAAATATTGACAGGGTGACACTCTTTGTTGTTTGACGTAAAGTAGTTATACGTGCCATTACGTGGCCGACCGGTCGACCATGCCATGCCTTCATGCTTGCTGTCCACGTGGCGATCCACAGTGGCAATCTGGCTTTCGCCATCGTTTTCTCCCCCATACTATCCTGCGCAGACACGTACTGCAGTATTCAATGCGCAACTCCCTCCGACAAGTTGAAGTATTCCTCTCGACTCCAGGCCGTGCTCTTGACGTAGTTGTTCCACAGAGTTCTGCGAGATTCCTCCACGAAATGCACAGCTACCTGGGAGGCGATGACAGCTACGACCGTACATACAGCAGCATGCAGCCGCAGGGCTGGACAGACAACTGTCATCCGACACTTTGTCAAGACAGACGCCCACACGCCTGCTCGCCACGTCTACAGACTCTAAATCCTCTCTCTTCTTTCGAGTCTCCATACCAGGATTCCGTGACACACAGTCACTTGCGCTTGCCACAAAACACGAGCGTTTGATCGATGTCTGGGGACACCACGTGGCACAAGTAGCCCGCTGGAGCTAGAGTAGAGCGCCCTGTTGTCGGTGCTTGATCTACAAAGCAGCACGCATGCGCCAGGCGACACGTCGCGGCCAAGGCAACGAAGATGGAGTGCACACGCCACGTCAAATCTGCGCTGCCTGGGCGAATAAAAGGGACGAGAAATCCATGGCAAAGTCAAGTCAGTCCGATAGAGTACACATTGGTTGCGATACCAAATCTACACTCTCATTGTTAGCTTCCAGTCGTTCACCTTTCTTTTGTTCTCATCGCTAGATCGCGTTCTTCCGAAGCAGAATACATTGGTAAAGTCTAAAGATGCGATCGCTAACTTTGCTGTGTGTAACGGCGCTATGTGCAGCGTGCATCGTCGCGTTACCGAGTCGTCCGAAAAAGGGCACCGGAGCAGATCGCGTGCACGATTCGCAGCCATCTGATGAGGCGCACCACGCTGGATCAGAGCACAACTCAAACTATGATCATGACGCTTTCCTGGGCAGCGAGGAGGCGAAGAAATTCCAGGCGTTGACTCCAGAACAATCTAGAGAGCGGCTGAGGTAAGATTAATTTGTTGTGTGTTGCTTGAACTTAGCCAATCTAAAGTGAGCTTGCACGGGTCTTGTCCATTATTGCTTGTTGCGATGGGTGATTTGTGACTTGGAAATAATACATCTCACGGATTCTGCTTGACTGTTGTTTTCCCTTGAAAAATGACACTCATACCGAAGGGGGTTAAAATTGTAGGGGTGCGCGAGGGTTTAGGCTGGTCTTGGGTGCTTCGCGATTCGGGCTTAACAAGGGGATTCCCCTCGGGCTTGAGTGAAGTAATCGAGTACAGTCTACAGACGGTACAGTCGTACTCCAACATACGTAAAGCACACTCGATTTCAGGACAGCTTGTGTTTCGACCTTCCTAGTAGTTAACCTAGATTGTATCATTTGAGGTTGTAGTGATTTTGCCAAACTGATTATTGCCGCGTGAAATCTAAAAAACAGCACTGTACACAAATAGTGCACCCCGGTCCACTAGCGGCGTCAGCATGCACGTTTGCAGTCATCAACAGGCGAATGCAGACCAATAGATTGTCAATCAGACCAAGTGCTGCGCTGTTGCCTGTGCCGACCAAGAAGACACCAGGGAACAGCGTGGTGGGAATTTGAAGATTAACAGAGTGAGATAGATGTAGATGCATCATGGCATGTAATGCATGTACTTCATATAATATGAACACGGCGCATCCTCCGTATTCAGTTGAATGGCCACGTCCAACTTGCTGTGTTACAATACATTAGTTGTATCCGCATGCAGTAAGTAACCATAGTAAAGTTCTCACATTCACGTTGCCACCAGCGGTGCTCGTGAAATTCCTCTTGTCAGACCGTTACAAGATATGTGTATGCGTGTTCTTCTTTTTCCGATTGCTTGCTTTAGAAAACTGGTGCCCCGTGTTGATGTTGACAAGGACGGATATGTCACTGAGGATGAGCTGAAAAACTGGGTAAGCTTGAGTCCTTTGTCCTTACACGATCATCATCATCCACACTGCACGAGTCAAGTCTTCAAATCATGCCTTTCTAAATTCTAGTTAGCCTTATGGTGTGTATACTGTTGTGATCGTGATCATGCATGTCCTGTCATCATCTTCATCATCAGCAGCAGCAGCAGCAGCATTGTATAATGGAGTTTCATCAATGAATCTTTGTTGCTCTTTGTTGCAGGTTCGCTTCACTCAACACCGCTACATCATGGAGGACGTGGGTCGCCAGTGGACCACTCACGACATTGATCAGGACGGCATGCTCACCTGGCCAGAGTACAGAAACACCACATACGGACCGCTCACAGGTAAGGCTCGGATCTTCCTTCACACCAGACTGTACTCACAGAAAACATTCTCAGTATGGGCTTGGTGGAAGCATATATGCAGGTACCTTTTTTGTTTGTGCATGATTGTACTGAGCTTAGATTGTTTTCAGATGTTTTCTCTATTTTCCTCACAACCATGTCCTGGGGAGCACCAATACACAGGAGAAAAGATTGCTTTTTGAGACGTTTGATTGTTTTGCATCTTTGCGTGTACTCACAGAACAACAAATGGAGCAGCCAGAGAACGCACAGTACAAGAAGCTCTTCCATCGTGACCAGAACAGATGGAGAAAGGCGGACTCTAACAACGATCAGTCCCTCACGAAAGAGGAGTACGCTTCCTTCCTTCATCCTGAGGAGTACGAACACATGAAGGTCCTAGTTGTGGATGTAAGTCAAAGAAATTGCATTGAAGTTTGTGCAGCAGGCAACTTCAAGTATATTGTAAACAATAGGAGACACGTTGACTATATGCTAGGCGACTCCATGCATGCACCGGCTTTTGGGTGTCACCAGGGTTGATCACAGTCATGACGGTGGCCTAATCGGGTGTAATTGTGGTTCTTGTGTCTTACAGGAAACTCTTGAGGACATTGACAAGGACAAGGATGGTTCCATTTCACTTCAGGAGTACATTGGTAAGTCCGGACAATTGTCACTAGCTGTTGCATTTCTCCTGCAGCACAGAATGTTGGTTTGTATCTCAACATTGTGTTAGTCAGCTGCCCCAGTATGGACATCCATGTACATCTGATGGTAGTGAATGGTCAGTTTGAGCCGTTTGGGATAGACGATGAGAGATTGCCGACAATGAGGCCCATTCTTTCCTTTATAGAGCACATAGCAAACCTGATTCTCCATGTCTCAAAGGTTGCTCCTGACACAGACTGCATGTGTATCATTGTGCAAAGGGCTCATGGATACAGGAGAATGGTCCTCCTGGTCTCTTTCGAGTTTGATGATAATATGGTTGTGTTTATCATCTGACATCGCTATGTTTTGCATTTCGAATGATTCATACAATCTTCAGATGACATGTACCCGCCCAGCGAGCACAAGGACAGTGCAACTGAACCTGACTGGGTCAAGTCAGAACGTGAGCAGTTCGGAACTTATCGCGACAAGGTAACTTCTTCTTTCCGCATTGATTGTCCTTTTTTGTCATCGATTCGCGAAATGACAATACACAGTGACACACATACATGCAGCTGTGAGTCTAGTTCAGACCTCGTGCTCATCTTGTGATCTATCGCTTTAGTTCTAATCCAACGGAGATGTTACAGTGAGTGAATGGTGGTTAATAGTTAACTTCTAGGTGCTCCAACCACCGAGCCGTTTTTTTGTGCCAGTTCTTGCCGCATTGGCCTTTCAGTTTTGTCCTTTTCTGGCATACCCGGGTCATTATATATTATGTGTCAAAGCTTGCAATTTAATTGGGGGGATGTAATACCAAGGTGATAAATACATGCTACACATGCTTCCAGCCAGCTGAATGTTAATTTTGTTTTGCTGTGCTCGATCTACCATATGTGTGTGTGTGTTTTAGAACAAGGATGGCAAGATGGACCGTGAGGAGGTCAAGGACTGGATCATCCCCCCAGACTACGATCATGCCGAAGCCGAGGCCAAGCATCTCATCTATGAGTCTGACACCGGCGAGAAGGACGGCAAGCTGACTGCTGATGAGATTGTCGACAAGTACGACTTGTTCGCTGGAAGCCAGGCCACCGACTATGGCGAGGCTTTGAACCGTCACGAGGAGTTCTAAACACTGGTCATGTCCTTTCACAGCGATATTCAAAAACAAATTTCTACTCTCTTTAGAAAAATTTTAAATGCGATCTTGCAAATCCTGAAGACGCTATCAGCTATAATTTATGGCCTAGCTCAGCTTGTCTGTTCGATGTGTGCTCCTGTAAACATGTGCCACTGTTTATCTCTGCTGCAATGCTGTATATCATATTTGTCAGTTTGCTCAAATGTCTCTACTCTTAGACCAGCTGCTGGTCAGCCTCTGCCCCTGCCTTGAGTAACATTATATTCTTGAGTTTCTTCTGACCCACGGCCCCTCACTCTCCACCCTACATTCTCCCATTAACCCCTTGCAAAGAAAGACCAAAATAACTATGCTCTGCCGCCTAGCACACTCACTTTTCACATGCGCTATAAAATTGTCGGGACCTACCGCTTTTGCCACCTATAAGCTGCTTTTAGCTGCCACTAGAGTATACCAATTGTTCTTTAATTGCTCTATCCGTAGAATGGGATTGCGAATCAGTCCCAATCAATCTTCTGCTGCTATTCCTTGCACTAGTATCCTAATTTAAGAATTACTTAAAAACAATGAGAGATTCCCGAGTTTAAATGGCTGGTACGGCGTATGCAGTGCAAGTGCTGGGATGAGCTGTGTTTTTAAAACCCTTTTTTTTCCTGCATTAAAATTTAGGTCAGAATACTAGCCAATTTCTTGCCTTGTTTCCGGCATAACTCGAGTTCTAATCAGCTGGCTTCACAATCTTTCCCTAGAACACCCTCTAGCTCTGCAAAGCGGAGCAGAATGAGCTCAAATTCCACTTCACTGCGATCAGAAATATATCCAATGCGAAGGCACTTCATATACAGTAGTGTCAAGGGCTGCCGCTGGATATGTGATACTGATTTCTTTGTCAAAGAGTGTGGCCGGATCAATGACATACACCAATGATTATGTTGCCAACTATGAATATGACCAAGGGATATAACCCCGGCACCCCGGGGCTTATGGTTATTATTATACTCTTGATAAAAACAGAGAGGTTCCAGGCTGTCCAAGAGAGTGCTCAATACCGAGAGGTAGAGCTGGTTCAAACAATAGGAGGACAGAGAAAGTGTTTTTACTCCGAGTTTCACGCACTAAGCGATCACCAGAAAACAGTTTTCTGATGATTGCTTAGTGCGTGAAACTCGGAGTAAAAACACTTTCTCTGTTTTATACTCTTCGATAAAGACGCAACACGACATCTATCTACTGGGAAGATGACGACGCGCGCTGCGATGTCCGCTGAGTTTAGTGGTCATCAATACTGACTGTAGATCTACCATGATTACGAGTACCGTCGTCTAGTCTACTTCAAAATACGTAGATCTACGTGTATTGTAGATCACACTATCACTTATCACTATCAGTACGAGTACAATAATTATTATTAATTTTATTTGACAGCTTGTATAGCGTCGCTAGCTTCTTGGGTAGATCTACCAGGAATTTTTACTTCTGCTTTTATTTCCTCGACACTGTGACTCGAGATAAAGAGCGTCGCCAAGAAAGATGCTACAACTACTAGAACGTGCTGGCTCAGCAGCGTAGACATTACAAAAATTAATACCATCGCAGGGTGCAGAACAGCGCTTTCTTCATCTCAGGCGCTGGATAGCTCACAAGTGACAAGAGGACTGTCGATACTTGGAGCATGAACTGTGCACTTTGGCTCATGTCACACATGTAAGATGAATTTGAGTTGAAACAGAGTTGGGTTTATCAAACTTCTCAAGTCATGTACATGATTGTAATGCACCACTTCTGAAGTGTACCTCATTCTTGACAACATTTATGTAAGTGATAAGAAAGCACAACAAACAGTAGCCTCATTATGAGGAGTCATTTTCGAACGTTCTGTTCTAGTTCTTCTTTCTTTTTGGACAGTCATCGCAGCAGGATTGTCCAAGTAGTACTGTACAAAGATCAAAGATAAAACATCGATAGTAACCACATCTTCGGAATGCCTACCGACATACCGTAGAATCCCGCAGATGCGTCCGTGGGTTTATCTCATTCGAAAGGTCTATCGGTTAGGCTTATTATGTGGACATGGGCTCGCGAGCCACTCAACTTGGCAAGATACCCATCAACAAAACACAGCCTAGTACTAGTGCTAGCCCATGTCTACAAAACAAAGAAGCGAAATGAGCGTAAACAAATTCAAGTTATTCAACTAAATCCATGGGCGTGTATGCCATTCCCACTGAGTTGCGTGCTCTCTTTGTCTGCTGGGATTTGTGCCCAGTTGTGGGCTTATATGTGGATGGGCTTGTCCGCTGGCCCCGCTTCTATGGTAGTCACATGGATCAGTCTGCATTTTGAGGATGCCAACTGGTGGAGAATGGTAGTCACTACGGATTGTGCAGTGGCGTAGCTCGGAAAGACTGCACGAACGAAATTTTCCGCTGTGTGAGTGGGTAGTGGAGGGTCACAGTGCCTATACTAACTTTGGCCTTGGCCCAGCAGCAAGCTGGGTAGCTACATTGCAGGGCACTGAGATCAAGCATGTCCAGCACTGGATTTCAGTAGAGTCAAGCCGTGACGATGGGAACTTTTGAGTTTCGAGGGTATTCGTACCAGCCAGGTCAACTACTGGATTATGTCTGTTAGTCAGTTCAGTGGACACTATGGCAAACAACGGATAGCTTGTAAACCTTTGGTCCTTCATTTTTCAATTTAATTTATATGTATTATTAAAATGCATAGGACGTACCACTCAGCTACAGTCCTGGTCAAGGAAATCCAATCTCATGAGTATGATAGCGCCGAGGGCTATGCGACCCTAGCCGATCACAAACACTGCTCTGCTCACTTGAGTGCAGTGCTGCTCTATTCATGAGGTTGGATTTCTCTGGTCAGAACTGTAGTTCATCTGATACAATCATGCCATTATGTTCTTATCTGGAGTATGGCTTGAAATTAATGGCGTCAGAAGTCAACAAATAGGGACATGTTTTAATAACGATTTCTCGGTTAGCTCTTTGGCCATAGCAAAGTACAGCATGTGGCGAGTAAGCCCCTCATATCGCACACATGTGTGATCTTTCAGTCTTTACCAGGAGTGGGTGCCCGATTGTGAGGGCCCAGTCCAGTCATTCTCGGGCCCTGCGGATGTGGATGTGTCACCCTGCTGTGAAGGAAATCCATACACATGTAGAGGCGACGGTTTCAAATAGGACATAGGTTGCAAACCGGAACGGACTCAATGTTCACTTTCTCTCTTGGTATTTTGATTAGAAAACATAATTATTATGTCACAGTGAGACTACGATGTGTTATACTCTGAGCCAAAATTTCATGGCTCAGCGATGACCAGAAGCGCCATACCATGCGTTTGAGTTTTGACGTGTTGCTTCGCACTGCGACTTGAGCTTTACGACTTTCAAAAAATCAACTTCTTGTCGCAGGTAAACAGCGGCTCGCCTCTCGCCAATAAAGCACCTTATACCAATGAAAACTAATGGAAGCACACACAAGGTTTATTGTTACTCTGTACTGGCCGTCGTGGAGCGACAGCAATTACCTAATTTCAGACCCAGAGTGAATTTGACGTGCACTTTAAAACCTGTCCGGTTTGGAGCCACCTCTGATTTGAAGCGAAAAGTTGGGGAACTTGGAGGCACTGGGTCAACACAAAGGAGTGGGGTCAATTCGATTGACTCTGGCCTCAGAGCAAACTTCAACATGCCAATTTCCTTCCACAAACATATTCCGAGTGAACAATCAACGCGGATGGTCGGTTTGGGTCTATACAAATTTGGCTGTCGAGCCGTTCCGGTATCAAACCGTCGCCTCTACATGACGTATGTATGGATCCATGCAAAAAATACTTGGATCCAAAAGTCAGCATTGTCATGACTCCGGGCTGTCACTTTCAAACCCTACTGCGTGCAAGATCTTGAGCCTGTACTGTCCCAGTCTTGCACAACTCACTGCTCAGTGTAGTGCCACCAAAAGGCACAAGTGTACCAAAGTATGGTCTCGCAACTGCCCCCGAACACTACTGCATACAAGACTCCAGCACCCAGTTATAGCACTGCATGTCATCTCCTGCTACTCATGTTACTGTTCAAAGTGGAGATGGTGAATATGCAATAATACGTATTGTGTCAAAGGATACGACACTTTCGAGAGAATAGCAAGTTCATGGGTTAAAAATAATGACTTTGGCACACATCGGTGAGAATTATTCAGACGTGTCAGACGGAATGAACCAATACGATCTATTCATGCTGGCATGTTGACAGGTCAAGAGCTAATTCATGCTCAGTGGAGCTGTGAGGATAAAACCTAAATCATTTGACCCTTTCGCAAAGAAGAGAATAAGAGGAGAATACTCTTTGCATTAGCAGATTGGTCGGCCCTGATTGGGAGAGAATACTAGTACAGTCATGTTACTCTGGAGAATTAGCCGTGTATTTGTGTGTGTGGGGGGGGGGGGGGTTGCGTGTGTGTGTGCGTGTGTGTGTGTGTGTGTGCTTGCATGTGGGTGGATGTGTTCCTACGTGCGTTAGTGTTTGTGTTTTTCTGTGTTGCATGGCATATATATATACAAGGAGCCATTCTATTCATCCATTCCACCGAGCTCTGCGATAGGATCTTCAGTGGATCCTCCCCGATCACTGTAACTGCCGCACTCTGTGACTAAGTCGGTACATGTGGTGCCCGCACTTGTTTGTCGTATGAAATAACTCTCAGTATCGGATCCATCAGCCGTTGGGGTGATTTCTGTAAAGTCAAACACCGTCGCACCCGGCCGCCTTGCGTCACTTGTCAAGCCTCTCAGCTGCGTTGACGGAAGGCGCCGTTCAATATCTGTTGAATCTTTCCCCATCCACGTATTGACCCGCTTCAGTACAGCCTTTCTGTTCTTGTTCTGGTCGTTGAACTTCTTCTGCATGGCCCAGGATGCGAAACGCAACAGCGCCTTGAACTGGATGCGATCTCTACGATTCCGGATGGATTCTACCATTCTGTCTCCCATGCCCGATGCCCAGAAGAGGATGTTGACAAACAGAGCAACACCGCTCAAGGCTGTGACCAGGGAAGATTCCCATTCCGTTCCAATCGCCACGGACATGGTATTGCTCAAGTCACGGTTTGATTGAAATAGCTTGCAGCACGTGGCAAACAGGCAGCCCTCAAGCAAGACAATGGCTCTCGCCTCTCGGAGTCTCTGCAGCTGAACACACGTATTGGGACGGATTGGCTGCTCGCAAGGGCCTATAAGTATAAGGCTATAAAGCCTTTTGCGAAAGCTGTGACAATGTGTTGCAGAAGAGGTTTTGACTTTGAGTTCGAGCAGAAACCGAGACAAGATGGAAACGGAACCGAAATTGAACGGCAAGCAACAACCAATTGTTTCCATGCATACCGCATTACTGGTACTTTCGGCATGCAGACAGTTGAAGCTGTTGTCTGTGTTGATCTCCAAATCCAAGCTCGAAGAAGGACAAGCTGAAAGAAGCAACGATTCAAGTCCAAGTACAGTGCGGAAAGAAGTTCCAAGTTCAAAGGTCAGGACTAACGGTGCAAAGGTCATGTCCGCAATCATGAATTAGCGGGAGTATAATCATGGACAGGTAGATCTACACTACAACTTGTATACAAGTACAGCAGTGCAGTACGAGCAGGCATGTGGGTGGAAATAATAATTAATTATTTGCTCTGTCAAAGACTGGGGAAATGGGGCCACACAAATGCCTTGTACAGTGCTGGCAACTGAAATCCGACCCCCTGATCTGAGCGGTGGGTTCACATTCTTTGCGATGTGAGCGCACCACTCAGGGGGTCGGATTTCAGTTGCCAGCAGTGTAGATCTATAGGTACCAAATCTACACAGCTAGCTGTGCGACCAGCTGGCAAGAGGCCGCTTAGATGTGTGTAGCCCGTACCCAAGGCCAGGGCGTGGGATTTAGGAAGCAGGGAGTACTAAAAAAACGGTTTTACTTTTTAGTACTCCCTGGTAGGAAGAAGCCAAAAGACACCGTCAATCACGGTTTAGCCCCAGTGGCAGACACCTTCCAGACACGGGCAGCATAGAACAGCTTTGAGAAAATCAATCAGTCCCGACAATTTAGATAGTAATAGGAAGACAGGAGCTTTTACCTGGGAGGAGGCACCGGCGGATTATGCCGGCATACTTACTGGCATAATTTAGTGGTTGAACATTTGGAGCATAACTTGGCATCCCATTTCGGAGGTAGGAGCTTAACTACATCGGATTGTACTACAGTTCTAGTATGTAGGCTACACAATTGTGATCAATGCACCTGAGTAGTGCTGGTGGTCTGCATGGTAGACTCTACTCAGTAAAGGGTTCGGAGGTCATGCAGATAGTGTTTTCAATGAAAAGCAGGGTAGAAATAATGGCAATACAGTATTGTATGCTCAAACTCGTCTCCTTCAAAGTTCTTTCTCACATTGAATGATACAGACAGTACATGTAGCAGAAGATGCGAGTGAATCCGCCTTTATCAGGGATCCCGGCGCGAACGAGATAGTGACGGGTAGTCCGCAAAACGCTGCATACAGTCATGTACATGTACATGTACCTTCGGCATGTTACGTAGTCATGACCTCTGGACTTTAGCAGCCATGACTGCGCAGCCGGGACGGATATACAATGTAGCTCTAATAATTAAACAAATTGAGGTATAGTTGAAGTTCGGTCATGATGGAAGTAGAGATGGAGCTACGGGAGAGATGAGCTGATTAATCGCAGGGTGAGGTTGACAACGCTTGGGCGAATATGACGATTGCGAAGACAGTTTAACCGTGATGATACTTTTCAAAGGTAACTCAAACTAATTCGGTAATGAAAAAATCTTTTTACAAAAAAAGGAGTCAACTAATGAACTGAAGAAGTAATGTTTTCTCTTTTCCATGTTTATCTCTAGCATGCATGGACACCTAGAACCTTGGTATGGGGATACTCATGTATTTTGTTGTACATGTACATGTACTTATAGCCACCTGCAAGTACCAAAAAGGCACAATTTTCCGAACTTTGAGGCTCCAAAAGTACAACAAAGTGGATATGTATCCCCGCGTGCCAAAGCATAATATTATGAGGAATTTGTGAGCATAATGCGAGAATCCATGAAAGCACAATTCCATGATTTCGCGAGCATAATCCGCCGGAGCCTACCTGGGAGACATTTTATTTCGAATCACTCAAAGGGTATGCCAGTATCTACAACTTGAAGTCATGTTGCTGGTTTGTAATGTGTGGAGTTGTCCCTCCAAACATCAGCAAGAATTCAATATGATGTACAACTAATTTATCGGTGTTGGCATGTCCTCCAAAACGAATATCTAACTTCATCGATTGCCCCATCACACAGTTACTCGTGAATAACATGGGGTGAACGTTTTTTTAGTGTTCTGCATCTGCCCCCCCCCCCCCCCCCCCACCACCGGATGTTTAATGCAATCCTTTTCTGGCACACAAATCCATACTCTCAGAGGTCTTGCATGCGGCGGCTATCACTGAATAGCCTATCGTTTTAAAAACCACGACTAAATGGTGATGAAAAGAATGAACGTAAAACTGTTCTAGATTGTCACTACACCAGAAAATCATATTTCAGTTAAGAGACTCTGTAGCAGCAGATTTTAGCAGGCAGATCTCGACTAGCAAGGACACTAAATAGCTTGTAAGTAGTTCTGTAGCCGGTATAGTCATGCAGCATCATTGTCATAGCATGCCGCGTGATGCACACAGCTGCAGGCAATAGATCAGCATGGTAATATCTGTACGATAGATGGGCAACATAGCAACTAGTTAGCAGACACATTCTTTCAAAATGTGGTATTTCAAGAAGTATGTGACTATATTGAGTATATTCTGTTGTCGAAATGTTGAACAGGTATTCTTATTCCCATATATTTTTAGTTGACGAGGAAATAAAACACGTACAGTGCATTCTATAATAATACTGTAATTATTATTTGGCAAGCCATGCATGAGAATGAAATCTATAAATGTGTATCCAGTTAGTGCTGTACTAGTATATACTGCGGCCCTACAGAACATAGGGGCACGGGTGATGCCGGGAAAGGTTCTCGCCGCGATGGCTATGATATTTGATAATTTTTTCCGTAGTTGTTATCCCAGTAGCTGCGGCCATCGGCAGTCTGGAAGCACACTGCAAACTCGACCTTCGAATGGCGATGAGTTGGGCCGTCGAGGATAAACTCAGCTTCAAACTCATCCACATCACCGGAAATGGAGTGCGAGTACGAAGCTGGCACGTCTCGATGTGTGTTCCAACTATCACGGGTCAGCCGGATGAAAACGGTCTTCTCCAGGCACACGTTGGTGACGCACACGTACGCTAGCAACTTATTATCTCTGTTGGTCATTGCGGAAAGGCGTACATGGTTACGGCTGAGCTGAATGGAAAAGTCTGCACAGAGTCTGGGCTGTTCCTGATCAAGAGAGTACCTACGATGTTGCAGCGGAATGGTGTTTGCTGCTGCTGCACACGGAGATGGAAGAGACAAGAGCAGCAAATGCTGTTGTCTTAAGCTGGACTGACGATTCGAGAACCGCGATGGCGGGCTGTGCGATGCTTTCCTTATTCGAGCCGGGATCTCGAAATGCCCGCTGACGAGCGGATCGGAGAACGAGACAGACTTACTGCTGACAGTTAAATCTGATTCAGACTTGCTCATGCGCAGTATGGACTTCTTCGCTCTGAACGTTTCCGGTGTTGATGGGTAGGATACCGTGTGGCGCTTTGCTGCAGACCTCCGTGATAGGCTCTGCCGGTAGACCGTGCCACTCATGCGGAAAGCTGAATGACCTTCCTCGCTGCCAAATGCAGCAACAGTGTGCATCTTGGTGACAGTGCAGCTGTCATCTGCATATGGTATCCCGATGGTATCGGTCAGTTGTGGGTCAACTCCTGGGCAGTTAGTCTCAGCATCAGCGCTGTCACAGTTAACCGTAGAGGATGCCTCTGAGTTTCCCATTGATGAGATTGTGAGTGAAGAGAAGCTCTCCACGCTGGAGTTAATAGCAGTGGAGAAATCCTCGGGACTGCTTGCTTCCGACCACCTTCGCGGTTCGCATTCACCATCAGTAAACACTTCTCCATCACTCACATCATCCTCAATACCATTCTTCCTTTCTGTTGTTACACTATCGCTGGGACAGTGAGGTTGGGAGTGCACTGTCAACTCATTGATCCGCGTTTCCATTGATGTGTGAATCTCAAGACGGGATATGGTGCTTACAGAAGTTTGCACACAATGGGAGCTATCACCGCTCGTCTTGCACGGATACAGAGTCGATATCACTGGTGAACAGCGCGCCTCTCGGCTCAATAGCCCAAGCTTATCCGTCAGCATTGGTGCCACCCAGCAGTGCTCTCCATCGTGAGGCATGATGACCGCGCGCCTGGCTGTTTGCAGATCTCCTTCACTACTGATCCTGTCTCCACTCTGAATTGCCTTACATGTCTCAACTGCAAAGACAGAAAGGAGACCAGTCGTCGACTCCTACTGCATAGCTGCCGGAGCAGTGGTTCCTCGGATGTACAATTTCTTGAAACTGACTGAGGGATGCTCGTCCTATGCTGTTTATAGCGAGCTTCTCAAGACAGAGCACCCCGGTTGATCATGGAGCAGGATGGCTTGGGATGTCCACAGTCTACCAGACATGTTTTGCAGAGCAGTCCATGTGAAGGCCACGAGAACATTGCATGTTGCCAGGCCATTCAGACAAAATAGACAGTTGCTGACAAGTGTGTAAACTGTCACTGATGCTTGCTTGCATGGGACTATGTGTAGCGCACATGGGGATCTGAGAGCCACATCCATTGCCACGTGAAAGCACAGTGCATATCCAGGGTACCTGCACCATTGGGCACTGGCAATAGCCTTTGGCTTCGTTCAGTGCACGTGAAAACCTTTCCAGTTTCCATGCCGTAGACTGCAAGCAACAGAGCGAACGCTGATCAGGTGAACAATCACAGCACACTCGATGGGTCCGTTGTTGTGTACTTCTGGCCTGACATTTGGCAGGTCAGCAACAACAGGTCAACACCTCAGTCCTCCTCTTACTAGTCTTAGCTACTGACGGCCCTTTCCATGAGTCCTTTTCCGGCGATTCGTTGACACGACGTTGTCGGAGGACACTCACGCGTAGCATTACGAAATAGGCCTATGACGCAGTCCCAGCAGCAACTTGGCAGAAATCTCCGGACCGGCAGGAGGCGAGCTGCAACGCGTCCCTTCATCGCTTGACAGGCGCTGTCGATATGTCACATCTCACGAGGTTGTGCACGAGGACGTGACTGAACGGCGCCACCACAATACCTCCAGACTGCATTACTACTAGTACCTGCACAAGCCGCAGTTCTCCTCCTCTACTCTGAGTATTTTCCCGAACTGATGAATTACGCAACCAGTTACCTGTCCGTTCTACTAGGGAGTTGCGGACGGCAACGTAACTACTTGCTACAGTAGTCAGCAGGTGCCTGTACTGTGCGACAACAAACTAATTACTTGCACTCTTGTTTATCTTGCGTAAGAAGGAAGATTCAACATCAGTCAACGACGTTGATTGATTCTTGTTGGCCTGATCTCCACTCTTAGTCTTACGCAAGCGCAAGATAAACACAGGAGTTACCATGGTTACGTGCAGCCTCAGACCTGCATGCACAGACTGTTGAGGTCACTGTCACAGTGTCAGTCTGTCACGCAGACCATTCAATGGCATTCATGCAGATTGAAGTAATTAGTTAGAACACAAAACTACAATGTATAATAAATTATTTTTAAAAGAGGTCGGAGGCGGATAATAAAACGAAGGTAAGTATTAGGTCGCAAGTATCCACGCAAACACACATCCAGTCAAATAAGGCATTTGGCATAAAGTATCCGAACGTTTTCGGTCCATATACAAAAACATTGCAATAACATTTTGCGCACGAGAAAAATCCATCTTCGTGTCGATGGCAGCATCTGCTCTTGGCACAGACTCAGTCAATGACTCAGTCAATGACTACGTCACAGGACAATCATGCATGATGATCCTGTAGTGCATCGTGGAGCATGTGTGAAATGTCTTGGGAGGATGTCTGGTCGACTAAACGTCCCTGAGTTCCGAGAGTCCCTAAAAATACCGGCCCAAAAACGTATCTATGATAATTATAATAAAGGCATGATAAGACCTATTGCCGAGTGAGGACAAACACGGAAACCGGCAATGCATGCACGTGTGGCTACTAACAGCATACAATCTACAGTGCCAGTGTAACCCTTCCGCCGGTGGAGAAAGCAGAACTTATCGATACAAAGCTTGCGGCACGCCGTGGATGATGGACATGTGTGATCGTAATTATGTACACAGCTCATAACAACTGCCTACTACATTGTACTTGTAGCTTTGCTGTTCTAACTACTTGTATTATAATGCTAGCGGGATGTGTAAAACGGTATAAATAGTATACATGTATCATGTGTATAGTTGAAGTTTGGCAGAACACACTGCACTTGCCTAGCCTAGCGCCTATGCACTATTTCCTGTACATAGCTGCATAAGCTGGAGATAACTGTATACAGTACTTCATCATGATGATACTAGCATACTGGGTGGACTGCATGGGTGAATCAGTGCAATAAACTTATGCTATAATTACAAGCAGTGGAAAAAACCCACAATACCCCCTATACAATAGCTAGCATCACCACAGCTATCAGGCCACATAGATGCAGCACAATGCATGGAAAAGTTGTTGTGCTGAACTTCAAACAATGCAACACGGGCAGTCATGTACGGAAAGGTTTCTTGTTCTGCGGCGAATGTGATCCCTTACCATGCCGACTCGCTAGGCGTGCCGGGAGGGGGCGGGAAGGACCGGCGTGATATCTTCTCCATTTTCAGTAGAGAGGCGTTTGTAACTGGACTGCTGCTGATCGGAGCAGCGCTGGGTCCGGCGGTGTGGCTACCAGCACCACCAGCAGCTCCACTGATCAGCGTGTCACTCATCATCACAAAGCTCTCTTTGCGATGCTCATGCTCACGTCCAGCAACGTGCTCATCGTTCGACTCGCGCACACAGTACAGCACTGACTCCATGCTGGTCGCCGGGACACGGGTTGCCATGCCGGCTTGGTTGCTAAGCAACGCCACTCTCGAGCCCGGCCGGGTGCTGGCGGCAGATGTAGGCGCAGAGCTGCTTCCATTGCCTTGGCTACCCGCGTTGGTTGGGTTCTTCGGCGCCAGGATGGGAGAGCGAGCATTGGAAGGATTGCGTGTCCGTACAATCTCACAGCTGTTAGCTCGGCGAAGTGTAGCGGGTGCCGGGGTCGAGAACAGCATTCCACCCTCCTCCTGGTGTTGCTTCAGCGCCAGTATCACAATAGAAATCACCTGCAACAGTGCCGCAAGGACATGAAACCAAACACGAGCATTCTAAGTTTCAATTGGCTCAGAACAATAAAGTTGGGTACGGGGTATTTTGTCAAACCTTATGTTAATTATTTCTACAGTTCCATTGCACAAGTACTGTCAGACTTTGCTTCATCCAGTTCCCTTATGCTGCTTTTTCCCTTATGCTGCGATCGCACATGACACGTTTCGGCTGGAAATTCACATGTAGACAATTCTTCTAATTTTCTGCCCAAAGTTCATCTCCATCTTGCTGATAAACTCGACAATGCCATCACAATTTCCCGCCTCAGTCACCTTGAGAGTTTGTATCATCTTGCATGCCTTGCAGCCAGCTATTCTGATTCCTGGGTTAGAGGGCTCTGCCCCCGGGTACCAAATACTGTCTGACCAGCTGAAGTGTGGGTATCGCTACTACTAACGTTAGAGTAGCACTGCCGCAAGTTGAGCAGTGGAAGTGCGGGTATTGAGCACTGTTTGAGCAGTGGGACTTTGCCGGGGTAATAAGGTTTGAGCAGTGAAGTTAACTACTGTGTACATCCTGTGTGTGTGAATGTGCTCTGACCCGCACATAGATATGCTTATGGCTTTCCACAGAACAAACGGTTTGGGTCAATGCATGCCTGACTGTGCAACTGTGTTGGTACCAGTGATTAGAGAACAACTGTGTGCAGTTGAACCTAGTCTCAGGTGAAACATATGCAAGGCTTTCAGTGCATGCAAAACTGCACCATCATCATTTCTCACTTACGAACATAAAGACAGTAGCATACAGCACACCACAGTAAAGGATATGATGTAGTGACATGTATACATCTACATTACAAGCACACAGGAGAGAACACAAGAGCACAGCACTGCAGATTCTCAGAGAGCAGCACAGCATAGACTGACACAAAGTAGTGTCCCAGGACCCTGCTGAAACTTTTTTTAAAGTAAGGAACAAACTTACGGTTGCTCCTCCCACCTAAAGAAAGTATCACATACCCAATGCTGTACACAGCAAGCTGTTTCGGCCATAAAGGCCTCATAAGTACAGCTACGAGCTAAGTAGGCTGAGCTACAAGCCATGGTGCAAAGGAGGCACCACAGACATCAAGATAGCTCGTCGCTCCAGCGCCAGAGTGCTCAAGCTACAAAAAGTAGCGGGCATTGCGCGATGCAGCAGCACTACAGCAGCCCACTGAGAGTGCTCAACAAGACGAAAACCGAGAAAGTATCTAATATCAATTAAAAAAAAATGCAAATACATGCAGGAATCCCTCCTTCCCCTCATTATGTTATTTCTATAGCTTAGAACCTTCCAAGTTGGAAGGCTGTTGGAGTGCGCATCCAAGATGTGCTAGAGCTGTTAGCCAGTTAGTTGTAGCATGTCAGTACCGTCGGTCAGTGCCGTGCAATGTTATCGCAGGAGCTGATTGTTTAGTAACTGGTGGTTTCAGTGGACATTATAGCGTAACTTGTAGTTCCTTGGTCCATTTTTCTTCTTCTATACATGTAGGAATACAGGGGCGTCGCACACGGTACGGTCACTACGGTATTGACCGTACCACTTTTTGCCCCAGATACCCTGTGAATCAACAAAATACACTGATCTGGGATCTAAAATTCCAAAATTTTCGGCTCAGCCACCACTCCCCCACGAGTAAATTGTACTTCTGATGGATGACCGTACCACACTAAAATACCTTCCGACGTTGCCCCTGTAATACATTGTATTTACTGTGGTAGTGGTTCTCATAAGGGTTATTACACACTACTTCGCAATGGCTTGGGATACACTATATAATTTCCATAACCGGTGTTTCCAAGTGACTTTCTTCCATCAATGGATGAGTCGTCACTAAAACTAAGTAAAAGGATTCATCCAAAACCACTGCGATACCATTGCAATGCAGTGTGTCGTCATACTGGACTAGAAAGGATTAGCTGAGAATTAAGTTAATAGGACCAAAAATGGACCATTTATAACTCACCAGTTTGTAAATTGTTGGATTCATAGGTGCGTAGTGCTTTGCTGGTGAAGCCAATGGCCAACACGAGGACGGGAAGTGCCACCAGGTGAATGGTGAGAGCCTTGTATTGGACCAAGAACAAACAGCATGCGAGCAATGGCAGATTTAAATGGATAAATGAAAGCAAGCTTATCACGGAAAACACATACGCACAGCTATGTGTGCACATGAGCATTGCCACACTGGTTCCAATATGATACACCATCTCACAATAAGGAACTTTCTCCGTTTAAGGGGGGGGGGGGGGGAGCTTCAGGGCTGAACGAAAACTTCAGAACTTGCCTTTTTTGGTCACTGAATCAATCGGTCTTGCTCGGAGGGATCTGCAGTGCATATTTCAGGAAATATTCCCAACTAAGCTCCCGGCCATGGCCAGAACTCACGGCAAGGAAATGTAGTCCTGAAAGTCGTTTATTGACGCAATCAGTCCGTCCACTTTTGATCACACATGTAGAATCTGTGCACTTCAACCGTGAGCATCTTTTGGAGTGGTGCACCCAGGGGCCACAACGTACATGTAGCCACAAATTCAAACATCCAAATGCAGAATGCACATTTACGGAAAAATATCTCATGAGCGCAGTACCTGAGCCTCGGCAGACGAAGATCATTCACCAATGCAGCTCCCAGAACAGCACTACCAGCAAAAGAAATTTAAAAATAAACTTCAGATTTCGCTTGAGACTTAGTTAGACTGAGTTTTCAGTATCCATAGCAACGCCACCACCCTGCAAAGATCAAAGGTGCATATGCAGCTCCTAAAGCGGTGGGAGGTGGGTAGATCAGCCCACGTATTTACCCAGCAGATAGACTGACTAATCCGCCGCATCGCCATGGCCCACTCACCGTGTGCTCTTGACGTTGCCGGAGTGACACCAGAGCTGCCAGCATAACAAGGCCAGACCCCAGTAAGGACGGCAGGAGACTATCGATGATGAGAATATGTCGGGGATGGACCTCTTCCAGCTGTAACAGAGACATATTCGGGCCAAGACATACGTTGGAAAATTGGGAAATTGCCCAGAGAATCTGCCAGAGGGCTCACACGCACACAGACACGTACACTGCCAATTGTGGCGGCACACCATTACAATGCAGCATGTCAATCTTCTTTTCAAATGGTCCGACAGTCGCCTCTTCCTACAAATACCGGATGTGATTTTGAAGTGCACTTCTTACTTACCCATGCTGAGCAGGTGACGTTGACTTCTGAGCAGCGCTGCAAACGATAGTCGTTGTGGGAATCTGCCAGGATTGCTGCAAAGGCTGTACTGGCGGCAGCAAAAATCTGTCGAGAAACCAGAAGAGGTCGGGCAGAATGAAGGAAATGAGCTGTCTGAATTTATATTTGGTCCAGATATGCAACAATAGACAAAGATGGAACAAGGTCAATATACTCATTGTTGGGAAGGCCGTCGTGGCCATGTGTTTTTTTATGATGTATTTACTATTTATTCAATATTTCCCTCATGATGTGAAATATGGAATGGCTCAGAAATTCAGTTTATTTTGGAACGCAATTTCGCGTACATGTAGTGATTTAGCCTACAGTTAGTTCACGAGTTATTTCGTAGGTTGTTTGTTTCTTGCGTTGCACAGTGCAAGACAAGAATTTGCACAACTGCACAAGAGTATTGACGTTGACTCTCAAAATGATTCTTGGTCGCATTTTGTTTGTTTCTTCTAAGTTTTGACAAAGGGACATGTATTTTCGTTTTGTCTTTTCTCGCAGTGTTTCCTTTCATTTCTAAGCCGCGACGCCGTCGCGTACTGCGGTACGACGGGTCACGTGCTGCCAACCTACTGCATTCTTTATTCACCAGTTTTCACAGCTACACTGCATGCATTATAATGCATTGTATAATGACTCATGATTATTTTTTGCTCTGCGCTGAATCCCGTACTAGTATAGTGTAGGGCTTTTTCAGAGTTTGCTTTCGATGAGGCTGGGCAAGTTCAGTTCTTCGAAAGGAAGAGAAAGAGTTGTCTTTTTGTTGTTTGCGAAATATCTATTTTACTACCACGAAGTGTTCCCGTTGCGTGTGAGAACCTGCATGACAAATTGGTAGCAGAGGATGGTTGTCAAGTAGTGGTTCCTTCACCAAGCGCAGTGTGGTAGTGAGTAGCATTTCGGGTTTTCGCTGGACAACATGGATCTTGAGGAGTGCAAGAAGGCGAAGGCCAAGGCCAAGTTCCATGTCACACGAAATCGAAACTTGTTGCTCAGCAGGATCTACGAAGAGGATGCGACCTCGAAAGAGATCAAGAGGTTGTTAGATGACGTGACTGAGAGTGTTCACAACGCTGTGGATGTGTGTCTAAAACTGGTAACTCGGTACGCAGAATTAGGACTACCCACAGAAAAAGTGCACGAGGAGATAGAGGTCATCAACGTCGACTACAGCGATGCTGTCAGCAAGACCAGCGACGTGCTGGCAGAAATAAGCAAGAGGCCAAGTCGAGCCAGAACGGGTGAAAGTTCGCCAGCTTCCATCACCAGAGCCAAGAACATAAGATTAGTAAAGGCAATGTTGACGCAGAGCTTGGAGAATCCCAGAGCAAGTGGGAGGATGTTGACACCGCCACACTCTCCTAGCAAGGCCCTTGAGGAAAAACAGAACATGTGTGCTGAGAAGAGTCTCAGTCGTTTTGGGAATGTGTCTGCATCCAGTGTCAGCCAGAGTGCGACTGTTGAGGGGACTACCCAGCCGCCAGCCGTTTCCTCGGGAGCACCTCTGAGAGCAAATGCATCGGCACTCCCCCTGGGAACTCCAAGTGGTGACCATCGTGATAGACAGGACGAACCGCCTGGAGCTGACATGGTAAGCGTCAGTGACAGCCAGCCAATTGTGTCGTCGTCAAGTGCAACCATGGCAACCAATGTGAGTACAGACAAGTCACGCACAATCAAGGTGTCCTTTCCGGTCTCTTTGTCGTCTGTACCTACGTTACCGTTTACGGCGGAGCTCTTGTCAAAAGTTCACCCGGTTGCCATGGCAACCGCCGAAACCATGGCAACACCGCTGAACATTGGTCATCAGTCTGCAGGGAGTAACCAGGCAAGTGGCATTGCTCAGTCTGGCGTGCAGCAGGCACCGGTATCTACGTCGGCAGCTTCGGCAAGAAACGTAATCACTGCCCCTAACCGTAGTTCAAGTGGGGTCAGTGTACCACCCAGAGCATTGTCGGCCACGACCATACTCGTGCAGTCAGCCCAGACGCAACCAACTCCTGCAGTGCAGCCTGCTCGTGGGATGCAACCAACTCCAGCCGTGCAGCCTCGTGCAGTTGCAAGTCATACTCTCTCGGCTTCTACACCTGCATTTGTGCCGGGATCAGGAAATTTGTACGTTCCACCGCCGACCCATTCTGGACATCCATTCTCATTTGGAACACCACCGGGTTTCTTGTCGGCACCCGACTTCCCGACGCACGTCTTGCCGAATCAGTCTGGAATAATGTCTACCCCACCAGCGACCCAACCGGTCATGCAACAAATACCAGTTGGTCAGCCAGGTCACGCGTCACACCGTGAAGATTATGGTCTTGTGCAGCCGAGCAGTCTTCCAGTTGCCATGACATCGCCGAGTGGTCTACCAGTGCAAGCGAGTAGTTCTGGTAGAATCGAATTGTACCGACATTTAGAGAAAGTGTCAATTCCAACGTTCAAGGGCGACAAGCGGCAATATGAGACGTGGAAGGCGGCGTTTGAGATGTGCATTGGCTGCGCTAACATTCCGGATGGGCTGAAGTTATTACAGCTCCGAAAATACCTCGCGGGCGATGCACTACGGTCTATCGACACTCTTGGCTACTCGGCCGAGGCGTATGAGGCAGCACGTCGTAGGCTGGAACGCAAGTTCGGTGGTCAGCGATGTCTAGTTGCAGTGCATCTAGAAGCCCTTGAGAAGTTCCCAGCGATGAGATCTGCAAACGCCCAGGAGTTGGAGCGTTTTGCGGAGCTACTCGATGTCGCTGTGGTGAATTTGAAGGCGAGTGGTCAGACACAGGAGTTGGCTAACGGGACATTTTATGTCCGGCTAACACAGAAGCTGGGGGTGTCTCTTCTGCTGAGCTACCAGAAGTGGATACACCAGACAAGCACCTCTGAATCTGTCGAAGCGCTTCTGCAATGGGTGGAGCTGGAAAGCGAGTTCCAAGTACGAGCCCAGGAGACGATCCAAGGTATCTCCACGGCAACTCCAGTAGGGTCCACTCAAACAGCAAAGAGTCACCCGCTGAAGGGCCAGGCCAGTCATGGTGGAGTGAAGCATCAGGCATTCTTCGCTGACAAGCCCAAGAAGGCCCAGTGCAGCAGCAGTTGCCCGATCTGCACGAAGGTCCATCCCATTTGGAAATGCCTAGAGTATCGGAAGCTGTCAATTGCAGAGCGTTGGCAGAAGGCCCGGACGCTCAAGCTTTGCTACCGGTGCCTTAACTCTGGTCATTTGGGAAATAACTGTCCCAGGTCGCAGCCCTGTGGTGCAGACGGTTGTACAGAGACCCACAACGCGTTGCTGCACGGAAAGTCTAGTACTACTACAGACTCGAATGGAGCCTCACAGAAGCCAGTGCTCCAGTCTAGCGCCTCCACGGAGGGGGGTGACACCAGTTCCATGGCCACACATATGAGTAGTGTCGGCGTTAGAGCTGTTGCACTGCGAACCGTTCCCGTCATACTTCGCCACGGCGACAAGAATGTCACGGTCAACGCGCTGCTGGACGACGGCAGCACGCAGTCTTACCTTAATTGCGACGTTGCGGCACAGCTGGAGCTTAGCGCTCCCACACAAGAAGTGTCAGTGAGCACGCTGAACGGCCGCATCGAGACCCTAGAGACCATGCCAGTCGACTGCCACATCGAGAGTCTGGATGGCAGATTTATCACACAGTTCTCTGCTCTGACTGCCAAGAATGTCACCGGTAACCTTACACCTCATGATTGGTCGGTAGATCAGACATGGTATCCGCACCTCAACGGCATCGAGTTTCCGCAATGCCAAAAGAAGCGAGTAGAGGCGCTGATCGGCCTTGACCACGCTAGTCTCCACAGGTGTATGGAGGAAGTCTATGGTGAGGCTCATGAGCCATTCGCACGCAGAACGCCACTCGGGTGGACATGCGTTGGCAGGAGCACCAGACCGCAACAGACGACAAATTTCACCCGCACATACTTCGGAAAGGACGTCGACCTGAATGCACTGGTGAGAAGGATGTGGGAGGTGGAGGAACTTCCCCAGTCGTACAAATTCTGTGCAGATGATCAAGCCGTTTTTGATCAGACGGTCCAGTCGATGACCTACAAGAACGGAAGATACCAGGTTTCGGAGCCGTGGATCAAGAGACCACCTCCGGACAACTACAGTCGAGAAACTGCAATGAAGCGGCTCATCGCAGCAGAGAGACGCCTGGCGAAGGAGCCAGACGTCGCTGAGGAATACCGAACCGTGATTCGCCGTCACTTAGAACAAGGGTATATCAGCAAGATCAGCAACGCAAGTGATGGCGACGGCTGGTATCTGCCGCACTTTGCTGTTGTACGAGCTGGGGCTACATCCACAAAGGTGCGTGTGGTCTTTGATGCAGCAGCAAAGACGAAAGGCAAGTGTCTGAATGACTACATCAGCACTGGGCCCAAACTACAACGGGACCTCACCGACGTTCTCCTGCGGTTTCGGCGACACCCAAACGCACTGGTAGCCGACGTGGCAGAGATGTATCTACAAATCGAGTTGGAAGAGGATGACCGACAGTTCCATCGATTTCTTTGGCGAGAAGATACGGAGGACCAACCGGCCGTCTACCAGTACAATAGAGTGGTGTTCGGGATCAATGCATCTCCATTCTTAGCTCAACTGGTCTCGCAAGAGCATGCGCGGCGGAACCAGGAGGAGTTTCCTATGGCAGCAGAAACCGTGTTGAAGTCCACGTACATGGACGATTCAATGGACTCGACAAAGTCAACAGAGCTAGCGATTCAGCTGTACCACGAGCTTACGGCGCTGTGGGGTCTCGCTGGAATGCATGTGCGAAAATGGATTTCCAACAATGTTGAGGTGCTCGCCGAAGTCCCCGAGGAGGACCGAGCCAAGGAAGTGGACCTCGCTAATGGAATCCTGCCGACGACCAAGACTCTCGGAGTTAAGTGGCGAGCAGAGGAAGACGAGTTCCTGATTCATGTCAAGCCGCCATCAGACATTGTCACCAAGAGAGCGTTCTTGAAGAACCTAGCCACATTGTTTGATCCGATCGGATTCGTACTGCCATTCACCATAGTTGGTCGGATGTTGTTCCAGAAGATGTGGCTAGCAGGTGCTGACTGGGACGACTCTCTGCCGCCAGAGCTAGGCGCAGAGGCGCAAAAGTGGTGTGCCGACATGGATGCACTCCAGGATGTCCGAGTTCACCAGTGTCTTCAACGCGATGAAGAGGTGGTGGAGACTCAGCTACATGTATTCTGCGATGCCTCGCAAGATGCATATGGAGCAGTCGCTTATCTCTGTCATGTGTACCAGGATGGTACGAGGTCCAGTCGATTCGTCATGGCTCGAGCCAAAGTGGCGCCGTTATCAGCTGTTAGCATCCCCCGACTCGAGCTAATGGGAGCAGTCATCGGATGTCGTCTTGGTGTATCCGTAGCCAAGACACTCGCCATTGCAATGGAGAATGTCGTGTTCTGGAGTGACAGCATGGATGTCCAAGTGGTGGAAAGAGTACCCGGATCTCTGTGTCGGTGACATCGTCCTCGTTGTGTCAGCTGATACCCCCGTGGCAAGTGGCCTCTTGGACGGGTGTTGGAGGTCTACCCTGGTTCTGACGGCAGAGTGCGTGTCGCTAAGCTCCAGGTCGGAGGCAAGCAGGTAACCAGGTCAGTTGTACGGCTATGTCCGGTTGTGAAAGGCTGACAGTCCGTACGCACGTTTTAAATGGACTTATCGCCATCTTTAGTCAGTTCGATCTCTTTTCTCATTTTACTCATTCTTTGATACGGATGTATCAAGGAGGGGGGTATGTTGGGAAGGCCGTCGTGGCCATGTGTTTTTTTATGATGTATTTACTATTTATTCAATATTTCCCTCATGATGTGAAATATGGAATGGCTCAGAAATTCAGTTTATTTTGGAACGCAATTTCGCGTACATGTAGTGATTTAGCCTACAGTTAGTTCACGAGTTATTTCGTAGGTTGTTTGTTTCTTGCGTTGCACAGTGCAAGACAAGAATTTGCACAACTGCACAAGAGTATTGACGTTGACTCTCAAAATGATTCTTGGTCGCATTTTGTTTGTTTCTTCTAAGTTTTGACAAAGGGACATGTATTTTCGTTTTGTCTTTTCTCGCAGTGTTTCCTTTCATTTCTAAGCCGCGACGCCGTCGCGTACTGCGGTACGACGGGTCACGTGCTGCCAACCTACTGCATTCTTTATTCACCAGTTTTCACAGCTACACTGCATGCATTATAATGCATTGTATAATGACTCATGATTATTTTTTGCTCTGCGCTGAATCCCGTACTAGTATAGTGTAGGGCTTTTTCAGAGTTTGCTTTCGATGAGGCTGGGCAAGTTCAGTTCTTCGAAAGGAAGAGAAAGAGTTGTCTTTTTGTTGTTTGCGAAATATCTATTTTACTACCACGAAGTGTTCCCGTTGCGTGTGAGAACCTGCATGACACTCATCATTGGCATTGAGAACTATAGTTTTTCAAAGTCTGGGTACTATGATCACAATCTCAAAGGCCTCCAATGAAATGATAGGTACAGTGTCAGTTTGTCAAGCCTCGCCAAGGTTTCCTTTACTCATTCGTATTTTCATTGAGAAATGCGCTGAAAGAATTTACCTGTACTGCACTAGAAACTTAGGGTGTGTTCTTAAATCCTCTCGGAAAAGTTGGTGATTCTCGGAAAGGTTCGAGAGCTGTTCTTATAACCTCTCCGAATTTTAGGAGGCTCTCCAAAGCTCTCCAAGCTTCAGAGGTGGTTGAAACTTGGAGATTCCCACGGTTTGGGATCAGCGCATGCAAACTACAGCTAAAAGCATGTGTTGATCATAAGTGTACGCATTTCCCTGTTTGCACACGCACAATGCGTACTACATTCGTGGCACTCAAGATCACGGCCCCTTTGGGGCTTCATATTGCTTCACACGTGCAAAATATCTCCGAATTCTTGGAGACCCGTTCTTGCATTATACCACTTTCTTCGACTTCTCTTTTCTTCTTCTCCGAGAAGCTAGAGAATATACATGTAAGAACGCACCCTTAGTAGGAAGTGATCAGATGTAATCATCGGTCGAATGATAGCATTTCCATTCAAACTCAACAGTCCTTGCAAGAAGCAGTACCCTGCTTAGTACTACTGCCATTTAGGACTGCGGCCAGAATGCTAATGGTGGCAGTGTGAGGTGTGAAAATGCCCCCCCCCCCCTCCCCCCGTCCAACTCCTGAGCTGCAAAGCCAGCACTATAGTATAGGTTGAGAGAGTGCCCAGAGGAGAATTTTCTAACCAAAATACCACAACGCACCAATCTCTCTCTCTCTCTCTTTCTCCCAAAACATCTCTCGACCTAACTAATACTTGAAGCAGCCTCATCCACTGTACCTACTTATCCGATCAGAATGCTGCGGTATTCACTGGAACGGTGCGGCCTTCGACATCCGACTTGTTGTAGTTCGACTTGGTGCCTATTAAAGTTGAGCTTCCGAAGCTATTTCCTTTTCTCCTATTTTGCTATTATAATAGTATTTGCAACTTCCTCTCTTCTTTCCATCACCAAGTTCCAACTCTAAGACTTGTTGATTTCGGCTCTACTATAGCCTGTACAGTATAGCCTATAGCCACCGCTTGTCAACTGGTGACCTTCTTCCGGTCTGCAAGCCGTGGCCTCTCTGATCGTCGTGGCAAGACCTAACGTAACGTCGTTATTCGACCCTGAATTGTTTGTTTGATCACAGTCTTCCTGCAGCAGGATTATACTTTATAGCAAGAACTCGCAGCAAGGCAAAAGTGTGAACTGCCGCCGAGTATGTCCTCCGTCGACATTAGCACTCAGCGACATGCTACTTGCTAACACCAGCACAAACACGGTTTACATCAACTTGAAGACGCTAATAATAATAATATTTATAAGTGATGGCCGCTAGCAATGGTGTCACCGATTATGTGGGCTACTGCAGTAGTTGGAGATGTGGGCGAGGATCGGATCAACACAGGAAACGAGGGACGCACCATACCAGTGCAGAGCGGGGCGAGACCAACTGTCCGCACCTTGCGGAGCACAGCTCCGTCTGCGCTCGTTGTTATTTTCTCAGCCCACAACTAACTTGTTACTTACTTGTTACTTACTTGGCACAAGCTTAGAAGGACAACGTCATGTACAGCATCACAACGATTCTTGGTTCAGTGTCAGTGAAATGCCTTACCAGTGTCGCTGCGAACAGTGCCTTCGTGCAGCACAGCAGGCAACGTCGAGTTCCCATGACTTCCGTATGAACGACTGCTTTCTTTTTCAGTCTCAGCGCAATACTGCCAATAGTCGTTCGTTGTCCTCAAGCTCACAGCTTGTATTGCGCTTGGTGGACGTACTAGTAATGGTAGAACAGGTCCAGGAAGTAAGATTACTGAGTTTTGAACTATAAACGCTACGTGTGTTGAGCAGGATGAACGTGTGTTGCGTACTCCACTTCGTCGGTGTGTTTCTCTCCTTCGACTTCGTGCTTGTCTTGTGCAAGCTGTGCTAGTGTTGTGCGCATTTCAAAAACTAAAGCCGTAAAGGTAACTGTCACAAGAGTCGAGAGCTGAGTCCAGGTGGCACTGCACTGACAAGCTTTTTTCGTGAACGACTCGTATGTGGTGCACCGCCACCGCGTACCGGCGGTCAGTTTCACAATCCGTGTTACGCATTGTCTCGTTAGTGATACATGTGCATGCACGGCATGGTGAGTGGTAGAGCCTAGGCCCTAGAGGTCGGTGAAGAAACCCGACACTCACTGTGGGAACGGAATCCAGCTGGTATGGAGGTGGTACATGGTGCACCGGTGATGAAAGCCTGAGACTCAGTGAGAGGCAGCCCCAGGCCCAGGTACGTCTGATCTGTTTGTTTTGTGCTTACATGTATGAATCAGTTCTCAAGTCTGGAAAGTCTATAAAAAACCTACAATGGCATGTACTTGTACTTGTTGTAGTTTGTATTCACAGTTCACACCTACTACTGTGCTGATTCCATAGCAGAAAAAAATCTAGATCTGAACATACCAGTATGTATTCGTTTGGAGGAAAAGTTTCGGAAATATGAGACAACCTGTTTAGTTGAGAGTAATCTGATACCTTACCTTCACATCATACTTCGAAGTAGGAATCTGTTATGCGTTGATTCACGGTTTATGAAAAGGTAAGAATCAAGACCACGCCCTGGGCTGGAACACCAGGATTGGATTTTCCTTGCATGCCAAGCACAATGTAAACGTCAGGTTTGTAGGCCAACGAAAACCGCAGGCAGTATTAAAGGACTTGCATAATAATAATGGAACCAATCTGGTGTGGGCCTGGACTGGGGGGAGTGGTAGTTCAAGACAAACAGAATGCATAATACAAGCATGTTATGTACCGTCAATGAACAATCAAATCCCAAGGTACTGCTGCTCTGGGCATGCCGTAGAAGTGTTGAAAGGACTGCAAACCACGGACACATCATTTCACATGAATGCAGTCTGCAGCCAATACTATAATCACTGGGGGATGTTCTCACTCAGTGACTGGGTCTCTGTTCACATGACAGGGCATTTGATCTGGATCACACAAGCCTAATTCACTCCTCTGAATCATTCAGCACTGCTCCATCCGCTCAAATGGCCGACTGCGGTCCCAAAGACTAAGTGAAGCTCACCCTTCTTGCATTCCATAAAATACCAATACATGTATGCCCCACAACACATACATGTAAGTAATGCCTTCAGTACAGATGACCACAGTTACAGGAGTTTTCTTTGAAGAGGGGACCCACAATCACATGCATCAGACATCAACTCTGACTCTGACTGACCCTCTGGCTTTGGCATGTAAAAATCATCCGTGACACAAATACAAAACCATCAATCATGACTTGTGCCCTTGACTGCATGTCACAGTACTGTAGCATACAAGTACAGTCGTCATCATGTACATGTACATGACTTGTACAATGTATGTACACTACTACTACGTCACTACACTGTATGAGTGTTGAGACGGAGCAAAAGGTTCAGATCTACATGTACATGTACATGGTTGTACAGTCCGACTTACAGGTTACGATAGTAGACTGAGACGTCCATTGTTCCTAGGCTACAATGTACATCATGACTTGTACATGTAGGTACACAGCACGCAGGGGCGTAGGCCAAAGGACAAGCTACGGACCATGGCATTTTTTGCCCCAACCTTCTTGTGAAGAAATGTGGTGATTTGGGCTCTAAATTCCTAAATTCATCAGGGGATGGAATGATACCTTAGATGGCTGACCATACCACCCTAGTATGCATTTACCCCTGATACGTCACCATGGGGTCACTGATAACGAAATTCTACTATGCCTTCTAGTGGCAACGTGAATCCAACAGTCAGTCCAATGTCTTGCTGTTACCCCCTCAGGGCCCCTGTGCTGCGCTACCTGCAGAGTTCTGCGGCCTACTGCACTGCATATGCTGGCTCGTGACCCACCCTCCAGTTACTACAGCATGACCGAGGAATAGCGGATCGCGTCCGGCCCCCGATCATCCAATCTCCAGTACTGCAGTGTGTCGACTTGCAAAGATGTGCCGCATGTGGGGTGAGCATATTCTCCGCAGTATACCAACTTTATAGTGTATCGACTCTACACTATCAACTCTACAGAGTATTGCCTTTACACTGTGTCGGCCGCTCTAGTTTCCACATCATTATTGTCGTACTGGCTCCGTATGAAGTTCCGCAGCTGCCCACTCAGCTCTTCCATGGTGACTAGCTGTTCCATCACAATGTTCTCATTCTCGTACGCGTTAAAGTCTATGCCGACATCTGCAACATGATCATAGAGCTCTCGAGCCATGGTGAATGACAGATCTGCACGCAGCGCTGTACCGTTCCAGCGAAACTGAAATAATTTAGCACACAAAAAGGACACAGGAAAATCATTTTTTTTTTAGCGGAAAAAGGACACCACAAGAAAAATCAAATGCTATCGACAATGCTGTCACGCTGGCGAATAACATGGAACAATAGCACTGAGCTGTGCACCACTGCTTGCAGTGACGTTTAGAAAAGCCTCGCAAGCTACTATGAGCATCGGCCAATATCGCCAAAAACACGGTATACATGTACAACCATGAATATGTATGTGTGCTAATAGCAGGTTGTGTTCCCCATCATAATAATCATTAGTCGCCTCTGCTCTCTACAATTCCGTTTCTTTCATAATTTTCTTGGTAAGATTGTGTTTGAGGCAAAACCAGAACATTTAATATTGACAACCCCGCCAACTGCAGTCCAAACTTACTCACCCACTCCGTGTACCTGTAGAGATCTGTGCGTATACTGTAGCCCATGTAGTCGATCTTGTGCTTGTCCGTGTACTCACATCCAGTCATGTCGGTTTGGTTCTTGCCGCACCTGACACACGTGTACGGTCGCAACAACACGATGCAGTGTGAGTGTTACACGATGCAATATGAGTGTTTAACACTCTCTTAGTATTGACTCCTACTGATTGTTGCTATACCTAAGCAGTCAAATATTCCTGCATATTTCACTCCTTAGGGCTGTATTGACTGCATATCATTTTGAGCCGTGCTTTGCATTGTGAGTGGCCCCGTAATCACAATATACACCTGTTGCACATCTTAGATCACATGACCACACGGGGCAGCCATGTTGGTTCCAACTACGCCGCCGTCAATGTCTGCCATGATTTTGGATCATGTCTTAGGTCACATGGTGTCGACCATGTTGGTTCCATGCCATGATCGCTTTCTAGTTTCTACACAAAATTGGTCACGTGACCAAGATGTGATACCACTCTACTGAGCATATAATAATGCCATGTGCATAACTCGTGTACTGACCTAACACACAGACGGATATACTACTAAGTTGTGTACACCATAGGCTTAGCAGGCAACAAGAACAGCGAAGCTTCAGTATATCTCCAAGGTCCACACAGATAATTATGTACTCTATCGCCGAGGTACTCTGCATGTATCATAGTATCCAAGGTCAAATGACTGGTACAGTCAACTTCGCTAATAACGACTGTGGATATAACGACAATCCGCGAATAACGACATAATTTTCATGCCCAGAGCAAAGTCCCAACCAACTGTGACGCATATAATGAGACTTAGGGAGTTCGGGTATAACGTCACTTCGCGAATAAGGACACTTTTCTGATGCCCCTCCGAGTGTCGTTATAAGCAAAGTTGACTGTACACCGCTACACAGTGTCCCCAAATTAGCAATTCATCGCCCATAGGATGTTATAAGCTGGGCACACTCTACTGAAATTTGTACTACTTGTACTTGGAATCAAAATGCACACTGTGGGGGCATGACATGATACCGGACGGTGGGGCATGACATGATACCGGACGGTGGGGCATGACATGATACCGGACGGTGGGGCATGACATGATACCGGACGGTGGGGCATGTCATGATACCGGACGGTGGGGCATGACATGATACCGGACGGTGGGGCATGTCGAGACTACACAAATTAGTACTGGCTAGTCTTGTAGTGAACATGTTTGGTGCATTCTCTCATTCATATCTTTTCCCATGGCGTCTGTATATTTTCTTACTTAGGTAATTGTGAGAAGGCCGCCACCTTCACACCGGGCACGTCTGAGTGGAACACGGGCGCTTGGCTCTTGCCGTCGACGTGAGTCGGAACGGGAAGACCTGTGCAGGACATGCCAGAGGTGACAAACTGACAATGAAGACACGGACCGAGAGAGCCTGACCGGAAATGATGACAGAAACCCAGGGACCACGTCCGCGGTTCTGCATACTAGTAAGCAGGTACTGCATTCGTACCTGAACGCTGGTGCATCGAGTACAGCTCCTGTCTACTCTTGGTCTTGATACCTGATTGGTAAGTGCATCAGGGAAATGGTAATGCCTTTTTTAGAATGATCTATTATGAGCCCTTTACTACATCCTCAACCTGTCACCACCATGCGCTCTTTAATAGCCGAAGCTATGCATGAAGCATCATTGAAACACACCAGCACAGCAAGGACACTCACGTTGACAGATACTGTTTACACCTGTCCTCTAGACAGTTGTTTCGCTCCTTTGAGCTCACATGATCAGTAGAGGATTTAGAGATACCGTACTAGTATGTTATTTAATAGCATGAGCCCATGCAATCGTACCCATCACCACCTGAAGCGAATAAAAAGGACAATATCAGAGCAAGATCTTTCCCCCTGTACTCAAACTCCACGCACACAACACTCATTGCAATGTGCTGTGACCTTCGGCAGCCAGCCCCATTGCACGAGAAAACCCATCTGTAGGAAACATAGTGGTGCTCACATAAAGTCTGGAAGCTGTGTGATAAACACCCTTACCAGCCAGTTCAGCAAGTGTTGGGTATACATCAACTAGCTCTGCCAGTGCAGTTGTGTGCGTGCCCGAACATCGCTCAACGTCGGGCACATGAACCATCCATGGTACTCTCACGCCCAGCTCAAAGTTGGACGTCTTGCACCACATGTTGTGCTGAGCAAGGAAGCAATGTGAAAGCCATCCTGGTTCAGGCATGGAACTATAGTTACGATTGTACTGCGGCGATACCGTTACAATTGTACTGCGGCGATACCGTTAGCTGAACTTTCAACATCAGTAATTCACCCAAAAACAGTCCAGTGCAGCTTATACTTCGATGGTCAAATGAACGGTGATAAACAGAGTCAACTTCAGTATTTCGTGACAAAATCAGGGTGGCGGCTTATACTCTGGAAAATACGGTAGTCACTGAGATGGAAGGGGGGGGGGGGGTGACATTGAGCCAATAGTGATGGCATGGCTTTCGATATACGTACAATAGTTATCGGCATGTGACGTGTCCAATATCCCGGGTGGTATCAAGAAGCAAGGTCAGGGGCGTCGGAAGGTATTTTAGTGTGGTACAGTCAGCCATCTGAAGTACAATTTTCTCGTGGGGGGTGGGGGTGGTGGCTGAGCGGAAAATTTTGGAAATTTAGAGCCCAAATCAGTGCATTTTATTGATTCACAGGGTACTTGGGGCAAATAGTGGTACGGTCAATACCGTAGTGACCGTACCGTGTCCGACGCCCCTTGGATGGTGGGTCTTCAATTAAATGGTCCATGCTATGGTGGTGGTAGTGTGGCAGAGACAGCAGGGCGGTGGTGATGTGCCAGTGGAGTTGGAAAACCAACTGTGCAGTGCAGTGCAGTGTAGTGGAGTTCGGGAATTAAGTTATTGATGAAAGGGAATGATCTCCCATTCATGTCGAGCCAGTTTCACTTTCTTGACTCCGGACTAAATTCTACGGCCATGGACTAACATTCAGAGTACTAATTAGTAATCACAGTTACGTGTACATGCAGACTTACTTCTCCAAGCTGCCAGCCATGATCTGCATGAAACGAGACAATGGTGTTCTCCTCCAAACCAAGTTCCCTCAGCTCGGCTAACAGCTTGCCGACCAGCGAGTCAGTGAAGCTTATTGCGGCGTAGTATCCACGCCGAAGACGACGTGCTTCGTCATCCTCCATGGGTGTCAGCCAATCGCGGGCTTGTGTTACGTCCTGGATGGCAATATCACGGCAACAGACCAAGCAAGTAGGTTAAACCCCTTCATCATTTATTGAGAGGCTAGCCATATGGTTTGACGGGACGGCAGGAATGCATGTGTATCTGGTGAAGTACAATAGAGACCAAACAAACACCAACGGGCTACCCATAACCACACTACCACAGCGCAGGATGTAACGTTGATAGTGCTAATCGCGTACGGCAATGCCTAAGAGCTGGTGACGTAAATAATTTCTAGTGGAGGTCCTAGTATCCAACAGACTCATCGGATGTTGTTTTCGATTGGTCAGGCAGAGGACAACAAGGCTTGCCGCAAGTTGCGTCTTCCCAGAAAATGTTGGTTCATGAGAACCCAAGCATTCGGTGCACTTTGTACATTGCTCAGTATCCATGGTATTGGTCTGCCGTTTTTAAAGTACTTGACCAAGGTCGGCCCAACTGGGTCCACCGGTAGGACCACCGGCCCCGATATTTTTCAAACTTTCTTTTCTCATATCATTGAGCACATGCTCGTACTGTACATGGCATGCATACTGTACATGGCATGCGTACTGTACATGGCATGCATGCAAAATTGCAAATGCTTCGGCTTACTGTAAACCGGCCAGGTCGAGCAAGGCAGCCATTCCATGCAAGTGCTGGTGCTGCTTTCGGGAATGCTTTGTCCTGTGCCGCGCTTATGTTCTCCGCTGGCGGGTACATCTCAATGAAACCTGTCGGGACGCGGAACGGCAAGTGAGGTTTGTGAAACCCGACTCCTAAGAAGAACGGCTGGGTGAGGTTCTTCGCGGCATAGCGCATTCTGCGAAGACCTTCGTCCAGTGTTTTAGTGTCGGAAAAATTGTAGTGTTTCGGATCCAGGCTACACCATGCTGTATTGTTTGGGCAATTGTGAGGATGAGGATTGTGGTAAGGAAACTCGTCTACGTCTGACCAGCTTGGTGGATCGCCTTTCGGAGGCAGATTGGGGTGGTAGAGCTTACCAACGCCGCTGGAGAAATATCCGTTGTTTTTGAAGTACTCCGGCATAGAAATCCAGTTCCGCCCTGTCGTCTCCCTGAAGTGATCAATGAAGTTCCAACACTCCGTAGCGTCAGGTCTGCGCCCCGTCATGAATGAGTTTCTGCTGGGAGCGCAAATAGCGAACTGGCAATAGGCGCGGTCGAAGATGAGTGATTTGTTTGCCAGCGCGGCAATGTTGGGAGTGTGCACGTAACCCTGACCATAGGGCTCCAGATCAGGACGAAGATCATCCACGACGATGTACAGCACGTTCATCTTCTTGCTCGGTTTCGACGCGGTCTGGGCTGAATGAGCTCCTGAAACCGCAGCTGCGAGGATAAACACTAACGGGGAAATCATTATCCCAAACGGTTCGGATCTCGAATAGCTGAAAACGCAGCGCAGGAGAAACTACCGCAGTAGTACTAGTAGGTGCGCGAACATTTGATCGATATCATTGCGCTCGTTTCTTCATGTTTGAATGAGGTCCTTCAAACAATACAAAGTACAGTAGTTCGTCCTCGGACGCGACGCCACGGAACTTCGGAAGCTTCATGTTCCATGACATGAGTCCATGTATAACAGTAATTATGTCGCTGTTTGAACCCATAAGGCATAATACAAAAATTATTAATTGAACCGTTTAAAAAAAACAGTTTTCGTTTATAGCGAATCAAATCTTGTATAGGGGCTAGGCCATAGCTAGGGCTGCAAGTGAACCAAGTGCACTCATAATCATACTGTCATAGGTCGCATGTCAGTCATGACTTGCTACTTGTATAGTGTGAGTGCATTTCTGTTATAACGAACGTCGGCTTCAAAGAACTAATTCTCCTGCACAATGGCGTTCGTTATAATCAGGAGTCCACTGTGGTATTAAGTTTTGTTTTGTGGCTGTATATTATGCGCTTGTCCTTCACCTGCTTTATGTGTGCCAGTACTAATGCTCAGTGCAGTGAGGCCCGGCTCCTTTAATACAAATAGGCAGAAACTGTAGAGCTGCCATCACATAATACGGTGAATGGTGCTCTGCTGCTTCTAGCCGCGAAGTTGACCTTCATGCATGCATCAGTTCATACAGCTGCAGCTACAGCGACAAGAACAGACAGTAAATGTACAATGCCAATCGGTAGAGCAGCGACTGTTTTAGCAATCAATAAAATATTGTGCGTATTCATATCGCAAACAGGGCAACCAAATTTGCCTGCGACCCAGACAACAGTCCCGTGACTATAATGATATAAATCACAACTGGGATGCAATCAATGAACAGGCGATGTGAATCCGAGAAACATATTTTACTGTAAATAATTCATTCATTCATTCTTACGAGGTGCCAAGATAAAATAAATAGATTTTGACATGGCAGACTTGAACATGACAGATACAGTTGGATCATGATCTAAAATACACAGCCTTACTATGCAGTGCCTTCCCGCTTTAGAAGCCGCATCTGCGCCTTGATCCTTGAAGGGTGGTGGCGTTCCCAGTACCTACCGGGATGCGGAAAACTCGGCCTCTAGCCGAGTCTGACCCGAACTGTAAAATTAAGTTACTATGCAGTGCAGGGAAACAAGTCCACGTGCAGTAAGACGCACACCGGAGTCCAACCAGCAATATTCAGCCTGTGCTACACATAATACGTGCATTGCATTGCCGGAAGCTGTAACTAATCGCTGCCGCTGTACTGGCTCCGTATGAAGTCCTTCAGCTGGGTGCTTAGCTGGCTGGCAATCTCCGCCTGCTGTGTTACAATGTTTTCGTTTTCATATGTGTTGAAGTTTGCCCCGGTGTCGTCATTGTGGTCATAGAGTTCTTTGGCAACGGTCTCTGACAGCTCTGCTCTGAGCGCTGTTCCATTCCAGCGAAACTAGAGCAGTTGACATAGAAAAATGAGAGAATTGCGGACATGATGAAAGACAGAGAAACACATCATTGATGTGGCACTGCGTTTACAGGAGCAGCATCCAACTCTAAAGCCATAACAAGTGCATCAATGTTAGAGTATGATGCTATTTTCACTGTTTTTTTCAGTGTATTTGTCACCCTTTCACCAGTGTTGATATTTGTACTGTAGTATGATTATCATTTTCTCCTACTAGAGAATCATCATTTACTTTTAAGTTTTAACCCAAAGGCTGGAGCCTATCAAGGAGGTTCCACAGTGGGAACAAAATAGTGTACTTCGATAGCTGAAATACACAGAATGACGAAGAAATACAGAGCACAGAGTCATGGAATACCTTTGCTCCGGAAAACCGCACGTAGTAGTGCCCTCCTGCCTATTCAACACTCCATGCAAGTGATAGTTATTGTAAAACTTAAAACATTTGAACAGCCACTAGTAATGGTACCTTTCACAATTTTATTGATAAAACTAGCAGATTTTATGGACATAACATACTTGTTTTTTCTAAGCCCGTTTAGCAGCAATGCCGTCCTACTCACCCATTCTGTGTATCTGTACTTGTCTGTGCGAATGCTGTACCCCATGAAGTCGATCTTGTGCTTGTCCACTTGCACGCAAGTGCCAAGGTCGGTCATCTTTTTTCCACACCTGCCCATATTCAAGTCAACACAGTGACAGTCACAAAACAGTACAGGAGGGTCGAAGAGCATCAATCTCCGAGTGGCCTGCAAGGCTTCTGTTGGAACCTTTCCCCTGCTGCCCGATGCACAACAATTCTCTGACTCATTTGCCTTTCATCTGTGTGACCCACAACAGAACGGCGCAAGCAAGGAGCATCTGAATGGGCCAGTAATTTGCCAACGCTTTGCCAGCAAACAAGATGGACTGTTACGTGAGTGAGAAACACTGCTAGGAACCGCCTAACCCCTTGTCCCCAATATTCATCCATGCTAAATGCTATACAATTGGTGACCCTACAATGATGCGCTATAAGCATTGCATGTGCTAAAGGCACTACATACAAGTACGGTACTACTCATTGAAAATCCGATTGAGTGAGTCAGTCACGATCCAGCCCTGCACCTGTAAGCATGCCAGTGCCCGCAGGTTCAGGGCTGCACCATGCTCTTCTCGTACTTGCCTCACACAATTGGATTTCATTGAGCAGCACTGCAGTACATGTTACAAGTAGAACGTGTGAATCACTGTCTAGATGTAAACGCGCGTGTGTGTGTGTGTGTGTGTGTGTGTGTGTGTGTGTGTGTGTGTGTGTGCGCGCGCGCGCGCGTGTGTGTGTGTGCGTGTGTGTGTGTGTTTGTGTGTGTGTGCATGTGTGTGTGTGTGTGTGTGTGTGTGTGTGTGTGTGTGTGTGTGTGTGTGTGTGTGTGTGTGTGTGTGTGTGTGTGTGTGTGTGTGTGTGTGTGTGTGTGCAGTTCTGAACAACATCGTACTTGGGAAATTGGGAAAAGGACGCGTTCTTCACGCCGGGAGAGTCGGATTTAAAGACCGGCGCTTGACTGTTACCGTCAACATTGCTTGGTGCAGGAAGACCTTTGGAAGGAAAACACGAGCAACACAGAAATAGACATGCCGATTGGCTGGGTTGCTCTTTGCACATTGCAATGAAACGTTCATCCAGAAACTACTAGGAGCGATGAAAATGGTCAATGGAGAAAACTCCCACGTTGACTGGAAAGCATGAGTGGGCATGTGAAGGTACAGGCACTGGTAATTGTGACAGGCACCGCTGTGGCCCTCTGACACTGTCTACAGCCTGCAACTGGCACCTGCTCTTCCTGTAAAGTGCAAATCTCTTTACTTCTGCATTCATACCTCCCCTGCTCCCCCCCACACACACACGCACGCACGTCTTATTAAAAATAAGTCTGCGGGACTGACTGAAAGGGAAAAGTCTGAAGAAGAAAAATGACTGTCACCACGGCGTACATTTTACTTTTTTAAAGTAATCTACATGACCATTGCTACTTTAGTTCTTCTTGGTTGCCGCAGTCCTTACCAGCTAGTTCAGCAAGTGTTGGGTACACATCAACTAGCTCTGCCAGTGCAGTTGTGTGCGTGCCCGAACATCGCTCAACGTCGGGCACATGCACCATCCATGGTACTCTCACGCCCAGCTCAAAGTTGGACATCTTGCACCACATGTTGTGCTGAGCAGGGAACAATACAAACGAGTACATCGTATTGAAGATTGGTGAGCAAAAAGGAGAGGGCAGAGATCTTGACAGTAAGTACAGAAAAGTATCACTGTTGAGTGTTCGAACTGTTACACGGTCACTAGCGGGAGGGTCGCAGTGTCATCTTGTGCATGCAGAGGTGGGATGACTTTGTTTCAAATTCCAACAAACACTGTGCCCTGCAAAACGATTTTGGGCCAGCGAGTTGAGACACTAGATAGCAGGAGTTCCACCAAAGGACTGCTTGGGCACTGGCAGAGCACAATCAAACACCTTTGTGTGCTTTTCGAGACACTGGAGCTGCTCAGTATCCACTCAACTAGTACTCAAAGCTTGACATAGTACTGCACATATTTCAATACAGGAGAACCTAGTCGTACAGTGGATATGCATTGGATACGTGCGAACTTACTTCTCCAAGCTGCCAGCCATGATCAGCATGAAACGACACAATGGTATTCTCTTCCAAACCAAGTTCCTTCAGCTCGGCCAACAGCTTACCGACCAGCGAGTCAGTGAAGCTTATTGCGGCGTAGTATCCACGCCGAAGACGCCGTGCTTCATCATCCTCCATTGGGAGTAGATAATCGCGGGCTTGTGTTACATCCTAAGCAACACAGTGTTGGCAGCACAGAGGGGAGTGGGAGAGGGGGGAGAGAGAGAGAGAGAGAGAGAGAGAGAGAGAGAGAGAGAGAGAGAGAGAGAGAGAGAGAGAGAGAGAGAGAGGGAGAGAGAGAGAGAGAGAGAGAGAGAGAGGGGGGGGGGGGGAGAGAGAGAGACGGAGAGAGATTATGTGCACGGAAGCATTGACCAATCACCCAGTAGTGTGAGAGTAATCCGGTCCCACCTCCCCCTCCTCCAAACCTGTTGCGCATTTCATGCCGAACCTATGCGTAAAGTTCAACCATACTACAGTATGATCGGGCGCCGTAGAATAGGCTGGAAAATGGCACAGATTGAAGAACAATCCAGGCTAGATTTTCAAAGTGATCCTCCCTGGGCTGCATGCATCTTTACCCTATAACTAACAGCCAGCCTCAGCCTACCAGGTCACATACTTCAAAAAGTAAAACATTGTTTATGTCAAAATTTACGGGATTACCGTGTTCCCGGGCATACCGTGATTAAACCAGCTAGCTCACACTTAGGTTAGGTGTGCTGCTCCACGCAGGGAGCAACACACGACAGCTCACGCTATTGTATAATTTTGACACTTTAAAAAATGCATGCACGGTCCTATAACAGTCATCGTTGGTAGCATACCTGGTATCTATGTCCTCCTGCAAGGCAGTTGTTCCATGCAATGGTGGGAGCGCCTTTGGGGAACGCTTTGTCCTGTGCTACACTTATGTTCTCCGCTGGCGGATACATCTCAATGAAACCTGTCGGGGAGCGGAACGGCAAGTGCGGTTTGTGAAAACCAACTCCCAGAAAGAATGGCTGCGAGAGATTCTTGGCGGCATAGCGCATTCTGCGTAGGCCTTCATCCAGTGTTTCAATGTCGGAAAAATTGTACGTTTTCGGGTCTAAACTGCACCATGCTGTGTTGTTTGGACAGTGCAGTGGTTTAGGGTTATCATAGGGGTAATCAGCTACGTCCGACCAGCTTGGCGGATCGCCATTCGGAGGCAGATCGGGATGGTAGAGCTTTCCAACACCGCTGGAGAAATACCCGTTGTGTTTGAAGTACTCGGGCATGGAAATCCAGTTCTGCCCAGTCGTCTCCCTGAAATTGTCGATGAAGTTCCAGCACTCCGTAGCGTCGGGCCTGCGCCCCGTCATGAATGAGTTTCTGCTCGGAGCGCAGAACGCAAACTGGCAATAGGCGCGGTCGAAGATGAGTGATTTGTTTGCCAGCGCGGCGATGTTGGGAGTATGCACGTAACCCTGACCATAGGGCTCCAGGTCAGGACGAAGATCATCCACGACGATGTACAGCACGTTCTTCTTGCGACTTTGACTCGCTGCTGGCGTCCACAGCACCCCGGCAAGCAGGGCCAGACACACCACAAAGCTCTTCGGCTCCATGTTCAACGCCAATTGCCTCTCTCCACGCTCCGATAGCGAGTGGGGATGCCAAACAGTTGCCAAGTCTTGTTTTGAAGAGTAGTAGACACCGAGATCACACTCGGACACAACAATAAAGTAAAATTGGACTAGGGCAAACTAATAAACAGTCCAGTTGTCACGATCTATATCAGTCAGTCGTGCATAGTGACGGTGATGGTACTGACACTGACAAGCTGATTGCGTGCATCCGCGGGCCGTTGACATCAGAACTAGCTTACTTGCTGGGTGGAGTCGAGTCGGAGCTTTAGTCTTTGTTGGCGTTGGACAACACAACGAAGAAGTAACAAGGTCAGTAAGTATAGTTACACCTAAGCGGAGGCCACTCACAGTGACTAGTGATGCATGTTCAACTAATAATATTACTTACTACCGGAGTGCTGAAGAGTGAAGACGGAAGAAGCAGTACTGTCTGTGCCAAGTCCTCAGATGGATCGAAGGTCACAACGACTTTCCTCACCGGCCTCGTCTCCCATATTGACCACAGTCAACCTTGCGAATACTAGCACAGTCAACTTGGCTAATAACGACTGCGGATATAACGACAATTCGCGAATAACGACAGAATTTTCATTGCCAGAGCAAAGTCCCATCCAACTGTGACACATTCAAATGAGACTTCGGGTATAACGACACTTTTCTGATGCCCCGCCAAGCGTCGTTATAAGCGAAGTTGACTGTACATTGTAACGACCCTCGATCGTGACTGAGACTCTGTGTATAGAGGCTATGCGAGTGATTTCATCGGGATTTTCAAACGGACACAACACATACAAGCATGAGTCAGCAGTGTTTCGAATGGGCGTTTTTAAAGTATGCAGTGTGACTCACTAGTGCAAGTGCAGCACTTCGCCGCAACTTCGCCGAAGCATCTCAACTAAGTAACGGCGGATTCTGCTCGAAAAGCAGTGAAATTGGAAGACACCATACAAACCTTATGGTGGGCAATTCCTCGAATTCTGCTCCATTTCTTTATCCACATACCAAACATGCATGAAACTTACCAGAAAAAGTACCGAATTCTGCCAAATTGTCTGCCGGCATAATCCGCCGGTCCCTAATCTCAACTGATGATATGATTGTATAATCTCTATAGGGGGCTGATATAAATTTCAGCTCATGTCCTGGTACAATGCCGGGACGGGATCATGAGATGGGGTCTTTCGATGGCGGCTTGATCCCTGATCCACTTGCTCTTCCTACCGTGCACACCCACAGTAGCATGTGTAATGACTCAGTCCCGTCATGTGCAGTGCACACTGGGCGGCCTCCCCGGCGATCATTGCATGCTCCAGCGGCAGAACCGGCCACTGGCAATTCGGTTAGTCTGGGTGCATGCCAAATGCTGCCAATGCGGCATTCTGATCATATCGTCAGCAAGACCCACCATATTGGCTATACTTGAGAGCATACACAATGCATGAACTTGATGTAGACAATTGTGTACTACATGTAGTCAGTTACTTCACTTTTTAAAGTGAAGTAACTGACTACATGTAGTACACAATTGTCAAAGTACACAGTTCAACTCAAGCCGGTTACTCAAGCCAAGTACCATCAGCATGGTACACACCATTGGAGTCAAAACGTGTTCACACAAGAGAAAGCCATGATCACCCATGACCTGCAGAGTCTGGCAACACTCAACAGCTGGCAATAAGGTCTATTTCCTAACCAGGGCGTCGTAGAATACATTCAAGAATAGGCCTCGAAGCATACAGCAAAACCAATTGAGAAAATGAAGATGACGACGACGCTTCAAATTTCCCGGGTCGTGAGAAAGGGACTGAAGCAATCCCTTGATCGTGAAATGTGTGACGTGTCGCCTCCTGGTATTCTACGACTCCCTTTTCCTAGAACACAATTTGTTCACTCTTCCTCCTTATCGTTTCCAGCAGTCCTTCAGTCTTACTAGAAGGACCTTCGCTGACCCGTAACAACACGGTGAAGCTCGGCACTCAGCTCATCGGCCAGGCTGGCTTGCTCCGCAGCGACGTTCTCGTTCTCAAATGAATCAAAGTCAGTTCCATCGTCACCGTGGTGATCGTACAGCTCGCGTGCAACTGCCTGGGACAGGTCTGCTCTCAGTTCAGTGCCATTCCATCGAAACTACAGACAAAACACAAGCACATCATTCCATTACATTTAATTGAGGGTGTCACAGGGCAGGGGGGGGGGGGGGAGGGGAGAGAGTGGTACGACCGGACCTAGGGCTTTGTTGGTGGTAGTGGTAGTGGTGTTCCTTTGGATGGGGATTAGGCATCATGTGAACAGTGAATAGTTTTAAAATGCAGCAAGAAGTTCACATGGATATTAGTATAATTATGTTCCTATTAGTATTGCCTGCGGAGATGTTCGCTCCACGGTGCATGCAATCATGGTACCCTACACTTACCCATTCAGTGTAGCGATATTGATCAGTGCGAATAGTGTAACCCATATAGTCGAGCAGATGTTTGTCTCGATGTTCACACGTTCCCATGTGTGTCAGGTTGGATCCACACCTACACACGCACACCGGCATACGCACAACGGCACACACGCACACCTCAGACCTCAGACCTGCCCATCGCGGAAGCGATGATAGCGAACAGCTATGTTAGACATAGCAACTTGTGCTGGGGTTACACCATTCAACAGCTTGCAAGGCTGATGAATTGACCGCCACTATTTTTAGCCTGGTATCCACCACACAGCTGATTGAAGTGACTTTTTCTGGCCAGTGAAACCCTATTTTTCATTTTTCCATTTTTTCTTTTTTCTTTTTTTTTACACACACACCACACCACATACTCCGGCATACACTGGCTGTTGGTAACCACCCAGGAGAATGAAAGAAAAGTCAGGAAGAGTCCGGGAAAGAGAAGAAAGACGTGTACGACCATAATCGTCGGGAATTGAACCCGCAACATCTCGATTGGAAATCGACTACACATACCACTGCACCATATGGGACGCACACACACACACACACACACACACACACACACACACACACACACACACACACACACACACACACACACACACACACACACACACACACACACACACACACACACACACACACACCCGCCCGCCCACCGGCACACACACACACACACCAGCACACACCGGCACACACACACACACACACACACACACACACACACACACACACACACACACACACACACACACACACACACACACACACACACACACACACACACACACACACACACACACACACACACACACACACACACACACACACACTGGGTCAGTTTTGGAGGATAGCTGAACTGTGGAGGATGTGCACACGTGTGGGCGCATGTGTCTATGTATGTACATGCATGTGTGTGTACGTGAAGGGGTTAGTACAACACAGAAGTACTGCAAGCATGTCTAGTCATCATCATGCAGTGTGCTCGTCGAAATGGTACTTGTAGTGTACAGTGTTTGTCACCGTATTGTCTCTCTCCGTACAGTCTCTCTCTCTCTCTCATCTGGATTATATGCGCATGCTCGTTGTAAAATAAATCAATCCTAGTCTTGTTCCGCAATGGACTCATGCGTGGCTTGCAGGCCGAACACAACATGGTGGCAGCGGTGGGATTCGAACCCACGCCTCCGGAGAGACTGAAGCCTCAATCCAGACGGCCCGAACACAACCTTACTCACTTGGGAAACTGAGAGAGCGAGACATTCTTGACACTGACGCCGTCGGCATGAAACACCGGTGCTTGACTTGTGCCATCCAGGTCGCCAGGAAGAGGGAGTCCTGTCATCGTAGAAGTTCAGGATGAACATACAGCACAATAATTATTACGAGTCAATACAGGCACACAATGTGACATGGCTACCGACACTACAGGTATGCCGCCACTGCCAGGAGACCAATCATGTTTGTAATATTCCTAAATCCCACAGTATCTGTTTGGTGCAAAGAGGTTTCCTTTACCCAGCCGGAGAGGGCTCAACGCAATAACGTGGTGCGCCCTTACACACAAGTCGCCCAGTGATTGCAGTGAGCAAGAAATTCGGACGGCGGTGACAGACTCTTCACACCTCCTCAGTGCATTTTGCAGATTAGCGTGCTTCCGAGTCTTGCGACGGGTATATACATGGCACATGGCACGTGGTGTGTATGTGTATGTGCGCACGTGTGTGTGTGTGTGTATGTGTGCCCATGAGCGCGTGTGCCCGTGTACGTGTGTGTGTACAAGTACGTGCATGTAGTCATACACATTTTGTCATGACTGTATGATACAGTATCTTACCAGCTAGTTCAGCAAGCGTTGGGTATACATCAACTAGCTCTGCCAGTGCAGGTGTGTGCGTGCCCGAACATCGCTCAACGTCGGGTACATGCACCATCCATGGTACTCTCACACCCAGCTCAAAGTTGGACATCTTGCACCACATGTTGTGCTGAGCAGGGGCAGCATCAAGAGTGCGGGGACACACACATAAACACACACACGCGCGCACACACACACACACACACACACACACACACACACACACACATGCAGCACACACACACCTCAGACCTCAGACCCGCCCATCGCGGAAGCGATGATAGCGAACAGCTATGTTAGACATAGCAACTTGTGCTGGGATTACACCATTCAACAGCTTGCAAGGCTGATGAATTGACCGCCACTATTTTTAGCCTGGTATCCACCACACAGCTGATTGAAGTGACTTTTTCTGGCCAGTGAATTCCTATTTTTCATTTTTCATTTTTCTTTTCTTTTTTTTCTACACACACACCACACACACACACACACACACACACACACACACACACACACACACACACACACACACACACACACACACACACACACACACACACACACATGCAGCACACACACACACCACACACACATACACACACATACACACACACACACTCACACACACACACATACAGCACACACACACACCACACCACACACACAAACACACACACACACACACACACACACACACACACACACACACACACACACACCTCAGACCTCAGACATGCCCATCGCGGGAGCGATGATAGCGAACAGCTATGTTTTTTAGACATAGCAACTTGTGCTGGGATTACACCATTCAACAGCTTGCAAGGCTGATGAATTGACCGCCACTATTTTTAGCCTGGTATCCACCACACAGCTGTTTGAAGTGACTTTTTCTGGCCAGTGAATCCCTATTTTTCATTTTTCCATTTTTTTCTTTTTTTCTTTTTCTACGCACCACACCACATACTCCGGCATACACTGGCTGTTGGTAACCACCCAGGAGAATGAAAGAAAAGTCAGGAAGAGTCTGAGAAAGAGAAGAAAGACGTGTGAGACGCGACACACACACACACACACACACACACACACACACATGCAGCACACACACACACACCACACACACATACACACACACATACACACACACACACACACACACACACACACACACACACACACACACATGCAGCACACGCTGAGCACACCAGACTAGTACTCTAACCCATGACATGTAGAAAGTATACGAGTATCACAATTATACCGTAAAGTATCGCCAGAGTGCCCCGTCTCGCGAGAGCGCCCTGTCTCGCGAGAGCGCCCCACCTTGATTTTACAGCCAGGGAAAGGAAAATCGTATGGCAGAGTGCAACGTAGTTTGTACAGCGTGAGAACCTTAGGTCACACTTGGCAGGTCGTTGTGTGGAGCTCGTGTCCGCTTGAAGGTACGGATTGACTGCACAATGCGTAATATGTGTACAAGGTCCGTGCCGTATGACCTACAGGCAGGAGATCACCTCCACAATACGACCACGAAAGGACGAGATGGGGGGGGGGGGGGGGGTCGGGGGGGGGGGGGGGGGGCGCCCTGGCGGTACTTTACGGCAATTGCAAACACGGCCTTCTGAGCCTAATTCAATTTGTCTCTATTTGGCCACGGTGCAGCAACACTCTTGATTGTGCAATATTGCCTATTCGTGCAGTCTACACCGCCAAGTACTGAGCAATAGAGTGCAGTAAGTCACATGTAAGCATCGGTAGTCTAGAGAAAAATTTCAATCAGAAACCCATTGACTGTACACCTTGCACTTGTTCCACATTATACTTGCTTCCTTTGGTACTCTTCTGCTTTGCACTGATTCAGATTGCAGCCATCGGACCATAATATTGGGCAGCCATGCCCGTTTGATACCGATGTAAAAATAAATACAAAAACAAATACATATACAGATACTGACCTCCCCAAGATGCCAGCCGTGGTCGCCATGCAGTGATATGATCGTCTCATTGGCCACGCCCAGCGCATCCAGCTCCGACATGAGCTGGCCAATCAGCGAGTCCGTGAAGCTGACGGCAGCATAGTAGCCACGGCGAACGTAGCCGGCTTCATCGTCGCTCATGGGCGTCAGGTAGTCGCGCCTCTCCGTGATATCCTAGCAACATACATCAAATTGCAACATGGAAAAATGTGGGCACAAGTTATGCGATCCAGTCCACAAACAGATTTTGAACAGTCAGATGTGCACAATCTAGCAACCGTGATACAAATTTTTCACCTGGCTCACCACCTGAGTTCTTAACACAGATCAATTTCGAAGTTGCATCACCCGTGACCAAGAGTGCATAACCCCGGGGTTATGTACTCTTGGTCACGGGCAATAAAACCAAGCATGCTGCCACACACAGTGTCTGCTCTAGGATTTTCAAATCAACCGGGTACACATGTACCGGGAGTAGTAAAACACCGGTATTTTATTACTCCCTGGCGTGTGCATGTATGTGTTTCTGTACCTGGTGCAACTCTTACAAGCGGGTCAAGGCCGGGCACGTACACTTGAGACAACCTTAACTGCATGTACATGTACATGTACATCAGGGAACCGCAATGTGTTTACGACTCCCTGATGTCCATGTACATGTAACAATGCATTCTGGGCAGGCACTCTGTCCGCGTGCATGCCTGCCGACTGTCAGTGTGTACTGTAGCGTTGGCACGCTAGTAACTCACACAGCTGCAGCGTGAATCACTTTCAATGTATTGGTCACGCGTGTTACACCGCACCCGTACCCCGCACTTGCAACTCTGTACCGTGCTTGCAGATCCATGACATGGACTAGTCTCACTGCGTTCAATGTTTCATACTGACCTCAGAAATACTAGTCTAGACCTTTTGCTGCACTTTCAACCACCTTTCTTTTACGCCCATTGCCCACATCGCATTCAGCTCCTTCTTCTGCATAGAACCAAATAGCATTCCTTGTGCAATGACTGTAGCCCACGCATCTACTTTGACCTTTCTTCTTCTCTCTGCTGAGCCTTTGCCGTGACCATTGCTGTTGCAGCACGTATGCTGTCTGCCTATAAAAGCTGCTGTTCACAATTCTCTATACGCCAGTTAGAAACTACAGTTAGAAAGGCCAGTTAGAAAGGCCAGTTAGAGATACCAGTTAGAACCTTCTTTATGTCAGTTTAGAGTTAGAGTCAGAGTTAATGTTTACAATGTAGTCTTCCGTTTAGTTCAGTAAGAATAATTATTAACAGTGTGTTCACTGAGACCCGTCTGCATTTGCCTCAGAGAGAGACTGCGGCCCGTTACAGAAATGGTGGCAGCGGTGGGATTCGTTACAGAATTGGTGGCAGCGGTGGGATCCGCTACAGAATTGGTGGCAGCGGTGGGATTCGAACCCACGCCTCCGGAGAGACTGGACTCCTGAAGTACAAAAAAAGTACTTGGCATGTACATGTACACTCCCTATAGGCACCGGCGGATAATGCTGGCAGAAAAATTGGCAGAATTCGGTACTTTTTCTGGTAAGTTTCATACATGTTTGGTATGTGGATAAAGAAATGGAGCAGAATTCGAGGAATTGCCCGCCATAAGGTTTGTATGGTTCTGCCAATTTCACTGCTTTTCGAGCAGAATCTGCCACCTTTTCGAGCAGAATCCGCCGGTGCCTAACTCCCAATCTGGTCACAGGTGACCCAGTGCCACGGTGTTCATTTTTCAAGCGGGTCCAAGTACTCCCCCCCCCCCCCCCCCCACACACACACACCCCAAACCGGGTCGCTGACCCAGCCCTAGGCCCTGGAGCAGACACTCAGTGACTGGTGTAGTTAATACATCATGCACACAAGAGAGAGAGAGAGAGGGAGGGGGAGCTGTGTTGCAACTCCGAGTTGCAACACAGCATCCCCTCTCTCTCTCTCTTGTGTGGAAGGCTCTGCCCTACATGTATATGAATATTGAGCACTCTTCGGACAGTGGAGCACGCTATTTGATTACGTAAAGACATCATACATGCATACAATGTATACAAGCAGGTACTTCGGGAAGTACACAATGTGTCCCATACAATGTAGTACCTCATGTTGTTGGTTAACAGCATGTAACAAGGTGGAGGACACCATGTTCTTGAACAGTGACCTTTCTACAACCATCCACCTTGTTACATGCTGTCGACCAACAACATGACATGGTGTGAACTAAACACAAGGTTTATCTAATACCCCTGTACTTCAAGTAGTACCTTGTAGCGACCGGGCGATGCTAGGCAGCCGTTCCATGCTATGGTCGGCGCGTTGCGCGGCCACGTCTTGTTCCGTGCGAGCGTGACGTTCTCGGCTGCCGGGTACAGCTCTATGAAGCCGTCGGGCGCGCGGAACGGCAAATGCGGCTTGTGAAAGCCGACGCCGAGGAAGAATGGCTGCGAGAGGTTGTGCACCGCGTAGCGCATGCGCCGCAGTGCCTCGTTCACCGTCAGTCCGTCGGCAAACGCGTCCTCCGCTCGGTCCAGGCTGCACCACGACTTGAAATCCGGGCAGTCCAGGTATAGTGGGTTAATGTAGGGGAAGTCCCTGAAATCGGACCAGCTAGGGGGATCCCCATTGGGTGGGAGTAGCGGGTGGAAGAGCTTACCAACACCGGTCGAGAAGTAGCCATTGTCCTTGAAATACTGCGGCAGCGTTGTCCAGTTCTGTCCCACAGTCTCTCTGAAGTTGTCCACGAAATTCCAGCATTCTGTCCTGTCAGGTCGCCTCCCCGTCATGAATGAGCTTCTGCTCGGAGCGCAGAATGCAAACTGGCAATACGCGCGGTCGAAGATGAGTGATTTGTTTGCCAGTGCAGCAATGTTGGGAGTATGCACGTAACCCTGACCATAGGGCTCCAGGTCAGGACGAAGATCATCCACGACGATGTACAGCACGTTCTTGCGACTCGTATTCCGAAAATCTCCTGCAGCACAAGTCACGCTTGTGTAGATTGCTAGCAGCAAACTGACGAACGCTACTTCATGAACGTGTTTGATGCTCTGCAGCCGGGTGGAGGCGCTCCATGCGGCCCATGGCCAAGTCTTTAGACGAAGCATCATGGATAGGAGACGTGTGGAGTCCAGCACTCGTACTTCACAGGCCAGTGGCAGCGTCTCACTGCAAACAAGGCGACGCTCACGCTTTGCAGAGTGCACTCTGTGCTCCTCAGAGGCTCAAACCTTTGCTTTTAGTCGCTATGTCGAACGGCCCGGGTCCTCAGCTACCCCCGCCGGTGCTGGGCACTGATGCCGCAAGAACCTTCCAAGTTCTTACCTTCTTAGCATGGTTTCGCTGGATCAAGGGTTGCAAACCAAAGAATGGGCAAGGTTCATTCAAACACCACCGCCTCAGCCTTGCTCGGAAGTCGGATCTGGCCAGGACTTGGCCTTGGGACTCGTAGTCGTACTCTTGGGAGTGCACTCCCGATCAGTCAAGCCGGAGACAGCGAGGACACAAGTCACCGGCAAGTGCTGTGGGCCGTAGATCTAGTTGCTTGCCAAAAATGCCGTCGATATCCAGTCTCACGGATGCCATGGAGACCATCATGGCGACGAATACTTCCCCCAAAAGTCACGAAAGTTCCGATTCCCGGGTTCGATCCACGGATCCGACGCATGACACGGAGAAACTTTCAAAAAGCACAAACAAAACTTACTCTTGTGTTGCACTACTCGGCACCAGACTTTCACGAGTTGTGTTCATCCACACGCAGTCGGAGCGCAGTAGCATAGAGCACCACAGCCATGGCGGAAACTAAAGCCAACCCCCGGGTCTTCTTCGACATCGGTATGGATGGAGAGAAAGGTCAGCTTACATACAATCGATTGTTTTTGAATTATTTCGATTTGGGGGGAATAAATATTTATGTGCAGCAGTATTTTGTCGGACTACACTAACGACAGGGCGACATGATTCATTGTCACATTCACGACAGCAATACGCAGAGGACTTGAAACTAGTGCCTCGTGCAGATTCTTAGCTATAGGAACAGCCGTTCGCCCCTGTAGGCTGTAGTGACAACAAGACAGAGATATTTGCATCACCACCTCTGCAGAGGTGGTGGTGCAATGATGGTTCTAGTATTAAACAGATTCATTATCTATTTCAATAGAGGTGGAAGAGTTTCTTTCATTCTATGGGTGGATGGCATCTGTTTGCAAGGATGCACCTGTTTACTGAGCTGCGTCCTGCCTGCGGGTCGTGTTTATCCAAGTTGATACTGTGCTGGTGGCTGTCATGAGTCCCAACCAACCACGCTTATAGGCTATTCATACTACGTTACAATACGCGTCACGTTTTGGAATACGACGTACTGGCAGACGTCGTTTTCATGCAGGTGCATTCACACAGGCCAGCACACGCTGCTCGTACAGCTGTGTGTACAGCTCCTTTTGGATACAAACTGCTGGGAACGACAGAACGAAACTCGGTACAGGGGTCTGGATACGTCGTCTACGTTTTCGTATCAGGGGTACGATTTTCCCGCCACGTTCCATGTTGTCATGGCTATCCGGACGAAAACGTCACGTACGCCACGTTCTGGGGGTAGTGTGAATGGCCCATTACCGTAAAAGTCCGTAAATAAGTACCTGCCCGAAAGAAATACCCCCTTCATTCTTTTGGTTCTGTCTGTTGAAGTCAAGTCAAGCCCGATAAACATACTGCCCGAAATAAGTACCGGTACGATTCGCACATGCAGCACGTAGCATGTACATCGACATGAAAATGACTTCTCCACTACACACAAGTCAGGTCCGAAAGTTAGTTTGTGCCCGAAAGTCAGTACCCGCCCGAAAGTTAGTACGGTCACTAAATTCGAAAGTAAATACGTACTTATTTACGGACTTTTACGGTACTGTAAAATCGGAAAGTCTAACGAGTCACAAAGTCTAACGTTTTAACGACCAATTGTTTTTCGTTTTTTGAAGAAACGTTATCGCGAACCCGGTTCAAGATGTCTGTGTAAAGATGCGCATACATCGATGCATGTTCTGGGTGGCCAGGTAGCCATCGTTAAACTTTCTGCACGTTATCATGCCAAAATTGCAAAAAGTTAAACTTTTTGGTCGTTGAACTTTCCGGTTTTACAGTATCTGTCCCTTCAGGAATGTGCGATTTCGCGGCCGCATTGTTTTCCACGATTTCAACAAAAGTCTGCGATATCCGCGATATTGACAAATCATCCGCGTTATTGTAGAAAGCTGTCCTTGATACTTGAAAAGCACCTGCGATATTCGAGTCTTTCTTTGGTTTTGTTTAGTTTTAGCACCATGTGCAGCGGCGCGAAACGCGATAAAAATCTCTATTCCCTGTCCTCAGTGAAAGCCGATTTCCAGGAAAAGCAACTTCTTCTATTGAAGATCGCAGAAATCGCTGTCATGCACATTCAACATTCGAGAGTTTCCACTGCACACATGGCACTGTGGGTGATTTATTATTTATTATTAGTTTTATTGATAAACTGGGTGTCACCTTCTCTGCAGAGATACTACCACTCACTTGTCCTCAGCGAAGCACACGTTCTGTTTTGTCATGCATGGTTTATGCTGTACTACTTGTACTACATGTACCAAAAACGGTCGCAATTTCCGCAACTTTACCACAGTATTCTTGCAACTTTTGGCAAAATCCGCAATATTCCCCCACAATTCGTGGCATTTTACCTCGTAACTTTTCCGCGATATTTCTGAAATTTCTCTGCAAGTTGCTGGAGGGACAGGCTAATGCAATGCATCAACCAAGCACTGTAACAGGCACATCTGCCTAATGCGGTGTTTATACAATACAAAATTATCGTGCTGTATTGTATAACAAACAAACAACAACAACAACAACTTATCTCTTATTGGCGATGGTGCCACCGTGAGAATAAAGAATTCGAATAACAACAACAACAACAACAGCAACACCAATGATCATTATCTTCTGCTTTGTGTGAGTAATCTAGAGTGAACATTGCTCCAGAATTACTGCCCATGGACAACTTGACATCAGTGCACAGATCTAGAGTGGGCACCTAACCCCGGCAGCAAGCGAACATGACATTGCTGTATCCGAGTCCTTCTGGAAAAGTGAAACCTTTGAACACAAGTCATCAGACATTCTACCACATTCTATCACGTTCCCAGTCAGGGAGTGAAAGAATTGGCGGAAATCAAGGGCTTCTGTCACTCTCGTGACGTGGATGCTTGTGTCATTCTTTTGTTCCTTGTATGCAGTTGGCCGAATTCTGTTTGAATTGTATGCCGACGTTGTGCCAAAGACAGCAGAAAACTTCCGAGCTCTGTGTACCGGCGAGAAAGGTGTTGGTATTGCTGGAGCACCACTGCACTACAAGGGATGTCCTTTCCATAGAAGTAAGCACCGTGTGTGTGTGTGTGTGTGTGTGTGTGTGTGTGTGTGTGTGTGTGTGTGTGTGTGTGTGTGTGTGTGTGTGTGTGTGTGGATATGTGTGGATATGTGTGGATATGTGTGGATATGTGTGGATATGTGTGGATATGTGTGGATATGTGTGGATATGTGTGGATATGTGTGGATATGTGTGGATATGTGTGGATATGTGTGGATATGTGTGTGTGTGTGTGTGTGTGTGTGTGTGTGTGTGTGTGTGTGTGTGTGTGTGTGTGTGTGTGTGTGTGTGTGTGTGTGTGTGTGTGTGTGTGTGTGTGTGTGTGTGTGTGTGTGTGTGTGCACTGTCTGTGTGTGAATATTGTGTGTGTGTGTGTGTGTGTCTGTGTGTGCACTGTCTGTGTGTGAATATTGTGTGTGTTTGTGTTTCTACGAAGACAGGGTGCTGTTGTGGCTCTACTCTGCTGTCTACTTGTAGCTATGCCTCAGTGCCGTGTTTTGAGACGTCCTCGTGTCCTCATGTATTGTGTGGCATTCTTTGCCGTGTCCGTGTGGTGTGTGGTGTGTGGTGTAGTTATTCACAACTTCATGTGCCAGGGTGGTGACTTCACCAATCAGAATGGCACGGGCGGTGAATCTATTTACGGCGAGAAGTTCGAGGATGAGAACTTTGAGATCAAGGTAAGCGCCAACTTGTCCTAGGCAGTACTAGTACTCAGTGACTGCGTTCGCATGTGCGTATCCAATGAGATGACAAACTCGCATGGTTGAAGCTGCTCATGATTGACTTTCAACTCATGTCGGTTGGAGACAGCCGACAAGCAAAAAAGGCAGTCAGGATAAGGGTCCTGGACAAAACCTGTCAGCCCACTACACATGTCTGCTGCTGTGGATTGCTGTTGTTGCTTGCATATGTTGCTTTCGTTTGGTTCTATATTATTTATATAAATTATATTTATCAAATAGTCTGTCTGAGTCTGACGCGAACCGTGAAAGAATTCAATTGACGAAGGCACATTCTGCTACTTCTGCTATTGTTCTGTTTTGCACAGCACGAGAAACCCGGTCTCCTGAGCATGGCTAACAGCGGGCCTGGCACCAACGGATCGCAGTTCTTCATCACCACCACGGAGACGCCGCACTTGGACGGCAAGCATGTTGTGTTCGGTGAAGTCACGAAGGGCATGGGCATTGTACGCGCCATGGAAAACTGCAAGAAGATTGGCGAAGGACCTGCCAGGGTGAGTGGACCGGCCTCCAACATGTTTGATTGGAATTATCTGGAACTCTTTTTTGATTAAACTGGGAAGAAATAGTGATTAGGATTCGAACAAGTTTTCGTACAACACTCATCAGGAATCGTCGTTGTACATGTACTAAAAGACATAGCAACACAATTGAAGTAAGAGATTTTTTGATTAGTTAAAGACTTAGTCGGAGGGAAGCATATTAGCACACGGAGAGACGAAGCCAGTTGTAAATCTGATGAGGCCTTTCGTACCATTACTTCTCAAACCAGTACATGGTGATAATGTGACATGTGACGAAGCACAACGATGTCAATTTTTACAGCATATTGGCGGTAAAATTGTGATGAAACGTACACAGGCTGAATGATGGTGTGAGTTACGCCAAAGAGTACAAGAACTATAACAGGGAGGTGTGAAGTCAGAATAGCACTAGCTTCCTAACAAACTCCTTCTGTCTGCGGTTTATCATGTGTAGCGTCACAGTCCGCCGAACCGGTGGAAATCTGCTTCGTACGCCCCCGGAGATACAGCGCACATTTTTCTTTCTTTCTTCTTTTTCCATATGATGTTGTGTCACCTTCAACTTGTGTGTGTGTGTGTGTACGTGTACGCGTACGTGTGTGTACGTGTACGCGTACGTGTACGTGTGTGTGTCATACGCAGCCCATCATCATTGCAGATTGCGGTGAGATATCGGAAGGACAGGACGACGGTTGTGTCATTGATGACGGTACTGGTGACACTCTGAACCCGTTCCCCGAAGACAGCGACTTTGACTTTATTAAGGTACACTACACTGTAGATTGGCATAGCATAGGGGCTGCTGCAGTAATGACTGTCAATGCAATGATGCAAGGATGTGATGCACTCGAGGATGTTAGGCACCTATTTGATTGGACGCATCGTTTCGGGTAGTATATCTCATGCCGTCTCCCCGTATGATACGATTCCCTGATGTCCGCTGTGCAAAGTACGACTGTAATGGACTTGGTATAAGTTATAATACTTGTGACTCACTGTCGACTGACTGTTGATTTCCCTTCTCTTGCCTCCTACAGGGCGTTGATGTTGTGTTAGAAGAGCTGGGCAAAGTGCGTCTGCTCGGTAATGACCTGTTCAAGCAGCAGCGGTACGAGGAGGCCCGTGCCAAATACAGCAAAGTTGTTAGGTGAGAGCAGCGCATTACCTGTTCTTGGAAAAGACGGTTTCATCTTCATTGATGTGTTTAGCACGTTGAAGTACTCTGAGTCTATGTTGTGTGTGTGGACGTCTGACTGGTATCAACCATGCACTTTTCGACAATAGTCCCGGTAACTGATAAAAGCAGGCCTGAATTATGCATTTCTTATGTCGCTACTGCTACGATTTGTGGCAGGAACTTTGAACAACGCCAATAGACCAGCGGAGTGTAAACTCACTTCACGCGTGCACTTTGAGTGGAGCAGTGGGCTTAGCGCGGGGGAGTAGGAATGTGTGGAGTGGGTGCTGTGTTGCACACCCTGCTGACACACTAAGTGTCACTTACACCGTGGCTGCTTGTTAGGCTGTTATGTTGCCAGGTGCTTGGAACTACCGTGGTACGTGTAGTACATTGCTTGGAACATGCCGATGACAGTTGCCTGTCACCAGACTTGAGGCATTTTTTCAGTGTACGCAAGCCTCTTGTACGGGCAAAATACACACAAGCACAACCTCAACACGCAGGAACTGAGCAGGAACATGCAGGAAATGAGCTAAAATGGAGGGAAATGAACACAAGCTTAGACTTAGAGGCACTACAATGGGTGTGCAGTAATTGTGTTATCGAAGAGCGTGGTTACCTTCCTACCTTACACTCTCGCTGAATGTAGGGGTGGCATATTTGCAGTTCATTTGGGACTAATTCACCACTATCTGTGTGTGTGTCATACCAGTGTATGAGTTATCACGTTGCGTAGCACCACAGCACTTCACCTATATGTACATTTGTATAGCAGAATCTAGGCCACTCTGGTCAGTGAGAGTGGAAGTCTTTGGCAACGTTATATGTTCAGCTGTTGCTCTTGACTGTCCTGTGTGACGTACCTAGTCGTGGAATGTGCACTGGGCAGCCTTATCAAACACATCATTTTGCACAGTGTTGCCTGTGCTGTTTGATGATCGCTAACGCATGAAGCCCTGAGTAGCAGCAACATAGCTTCAGTTTCCTTTCTTTCCACGTGTAGAGTGTGCCCGGGTAGACCTGAGTAGCGGTTTGAGATGGAGGTGGTCTGCTCCTGGGGGTATTCGTGGTCTCCTTCTGGGGTAATTCGTGGCATGCAGTATTGTGTAGTTTCGGGCACTGGAGACGTTCATGGAGCACCTGGCCATTGGCAGTGCAGGAGCTCTTCAGTATTTGTGGTGCTAGTGTGTGATCGCTGGGAGAGCACACATATCTATGCTATGCTCCTCTCGCTCTCCGATCGTTGTGTTGCAAGTGTGCCTTTGAAGCGGGCTGTGTTCCGCTGTTATTCTTTGCTGCTGTGTTCATCTGTGTATTTCTTTACCACCAGTGGCAAATGTTCGTCATGGTAGTGCTGCACTGCTGCTGCTTCTGCTGTTTCTGCTTCTGTCCTAGTAATTCAGCTGAGCATTGGTGTGTATGCTTGGTGTGTGTGTTTGTGTGTGTGTGTTTGTGTGTGTGTGTGTGTGTGTGTGTGTGTGTGCGTGCGTGCGTGCGTGTGTGCGTGTGTGTGTGTGTGCGTGTGTGTGTTGCTGTCCCGTACAGGTATATTGAACACATGTCTGAATTGAATGAGCTAGATCACAGCGGTGATGAGGAAGGTGAACAGGCATTGGACCGTGGCAGTGAGCTGATCGACAAGTGCCGGGCTATCTCCACTCCCACACAACTTAACAGGTCAGTCTACGATCTATCTTATCATTCTGTTGAGTGCAGTCGTCGACTTTGCAGTCTTGATCTTGATTGTGAAATGATTTCCTTTCCTCCTCCTCCCCTTTCTCTGTGATATCATATGTCTGTTGAAAAGATGCTGGAAGCTCAGATAGATAACCTCCAGCGTTGATCAGAGTGGTAGCCTATATAGGCCGCTGTAGTGGCTGAATGGGCTAATTTCCTCTGCGATGTGTACCACTTAATGCACGATGAGGGCTATGTCTTTCGCTAGTCCGAACTGAGGCATGCTCCGAGTGCTTGAGGACAGCTTCTCCGCTCCATGGAGGAGCTGGTGTGAGCTGCTACCTTATCTGCCGCAGCGTTGGTCATTAACACAGGAGCTCATCCTGCACAGCTCATCTTCTGGATTTGTGACTATTCAATGCTGACGCAAGTGGCTGAAAGTGAAGTACTTGCTGTTGCCAAAGGCCATCGAGTTCTTCCTGTTGCCAAAGGCCATCGAGTTCTCCCTGTTGCCAAAGGCCATCGAGTTCTCCCTGTTGCCAAAGGCCATCGAGTTCTCCCTGCTGCCCAAGGCCATCGAGTTCTCCCTGTTGCCAAAGGCCATCGAGTTCTCCCTGTTGCCAAAGGCCATCGAGTTCTCCCTGTTGCCAAAGGCCATCGAGTTCTCCCTGTTGCCAAAGGCCATCGAGTTCTCCCTGTTGGCGTGGAAGGCCATGTGAAGTGTCTCCGGCTTTTCTCCATGAGATAAGTCATAGACACAATTGTGTTATAGTCAAAATGGCACTGAGTCGTATCTGTGTTGCCATTGTGTGCTTTGCTGTTGTCTTGTAGTATAACATATCTGGGTCTACGCGTGTGTGTGTGTGTGTGTGCGTGCGTACGTGAATGTGTGTGTGCGTGCGTGTGTGTGTTCGCAGGGCGGCATGTTGCTTGAAGTTGAAGGACTGGGACACCTGTGTACATGATTGTACCGATGTGAGTCCTGACTTTAACCAATATAATAATGTAATAGTTACGTGCCCTCTCATTCATGGAGTCTCCACCGTCTCCCGACCGGGCCTTGGTCTGTGTCCCTGCCCATAAACATACCATTGTACATGTAACATTGTTTGCCAGCTAGTCAACGGTTGTAGGCAAGCCGTCCGTATCCCCGTATCCATGCCCTCTGTAAGCCTGGAGTGATGTGTGCACAGCAGCGTGCACACTTGCACAGTGCAACTGCCGACAAGGCGTACTCCACGCGCAACAGGAAAGTTTACTTAGCATCCGAGCACACTGTAAACCGCCCAATAGCTGTGTCGCTAAATTTTCGCGACTTTTCCGAACCAAAGAGTTTACGATGACCAATTTTCGCGGGCCGCTGGTCACACACACACACACTCCCACTGTTGAAGTTTGATTTCACGATGGTTAATATTCGCGTTCTGCTCTTCTCGCAAAATTAGCAAACACTAATACGTCGCAAACATTAGGCAGTAATACACACTGTTCCCCCGACAATGTCTTCGCAAACGTTTTTTTGTCGTCCCTGAAACGAACATCGTTCATTTCGCACTCGAACCCCTCCCCTCCCTCTGAGATGAACGCAGCTTGCTATGCTGGACGACGAAAATCGCATCCATGTATTTCAAGTACAGTGTGCAGTGTCGGTCGACTTGTGATTTTGGCTCGCACCTCCTCCTCCTCCCCCCCCCCCCCCCCCCAACGAATGATTTTCGTTTCAGGGATGACAAAAAACTTTTGCGACGATCACTATGTAAGTGTACACGACATTGTACGTCTTACCAGGGTGTGTACCATGGTGTACTAGGGAAGTCTGTCAAGTTCTATCCACTGTATGTGTGGGCTTGTGGTCTCGAAGCAGCCCACCAACAATAGACTTGTGCAGTATAATTATAACAGTGTACATGTGTGTGTGTGTGTGTGTGTGTGTGTCTGCATGCTGCATGCTGCATGCATTGTACTCTCTGTCCATGGTAGGTAATTGATCTAGAGGACGACAAGGTCAACATCAAGGCACTATTCCGTCGTGGTCAGGCGTATCTCGAGCAGAAAGACCTAAATGCTAGTTTGGTGAGTGATCTGGTATCTGTGTACACTACTGCCGGGCGCCGAAGAACGAAGTGCCGAAGAATGGGGTGCGGAAGAACGACCAGGCTAGGATTTCCCCAAGCACAGCATACCAATGTATACACAGTGACTCAACTGTGCATAGACTGTAATACATGAGGAAAAAAGAACGGTCTAGGCTAGGAGGCTGACTTCCCAGTTCTTCGGCGACCGACAGTACTATTAAGGAATAGCTGTGCAGTTTTGAAAGAGACTGTGACTTCTAACAGAAGGGCTTGCCTTGATTCCGGAGTTTGACTGTTCAAATGCCTTTTCACCCACAGAATTCAAAGAGAAAAAGGAGTAAAAAGGAGACCCTCCCCTTGGTGGTGACAGTCAATTTTTTCTTCAGACTTCCCCCTTTTCTATTCCCTCAGCTAGTAAACAAAAAGGAGATCATGTTAATAATCTTGGGGGTAGCCAGTGGTGCCTGAGCATGCCGTGAACACAACCATGATACACACCAGTTTGTAGGGAATCAGGACCCCGTCTGTCTCTATCTCTGTCACACAGGCCTAGCGGCTGGGGGTGGTTTGATTCGCACTTCGCGGGCTACTTGGAACTGGGCCAGGGCCGCGCTGCTCGGTCCTCTTTTACATTAACATGTTCAGGCTAGTCTGTTTTGGCCCATCAGTTGCCTTGTTGTGAAGAACCAAGCTTCTCTCTCTCTCTCTCTCTCTCTCTCTCTCTCTCTCTCTCTCTCTCTCTCTCTCTCTCTCTCTCTCTCTCTCTCTCTCTCACACACACACACACACACACACACACACACACGCACATACGCACACACACACACACACCGCACACCACACACCACACCACACACGCTTTGTGACCTTTCATGGTGACTTTGTGTGACTTGTTCTCCACTCCGGTTGTGTATTCTTCTCTGGCTGTTCCTACCACAGGCTGACTTTGAGGCTGCACATAAGGCAAGCCCAGATGACAAAGGTGAGTGTGTGGTGATCGGGGGGCTGTAAAAACCTGGCAGAGGACGCGGCGTACGAAAACACGGGTGGTGTGTGTGTGTCTCAGTATCCCTGGGGAGGCCCCTGGGTAGACATTGATACAATGTGGACCTTTAAGGTGGCTCATACCCAAATCGGAAAATAAAAACGGCCCGATCGATTTTGTTCAAAATTGCACGGCTCTTTAGTCCTACCAGAATACTGTCACTCCCGAAAAATGGGAAGGATTGAAACACTTCTTCATAGTTCAAACCCGATTTCAAATTTCTGGTATTTTGGAGCACTTTGCACAAAAACACATCCCAGCATTTTGCCTCTACGGTTGTATTGTTCAGACTAAAATGTTGCAGTGTTCTTTTCAGTCATCTGAGTGGTGACTTCTGCAGTCAAGCCAAGCCAAATAGGGTGGCTGGGCTTTCTTTTCAGGGTTCTTGGCTGCCCACACTAACAATCTTTTCGGTTTGAAAAGCAAATATCGGTACTCAGCGGGGTGCTTCCCGAAATTGGCCCGATAGATTTTCTTCATTTCTTCAAGAAGTACAGCCAGCTATGTGGTTCATATGCTAGACATGAGATATTTGACATTGAATCAATGTGAAGTACCTAGGAGCACGGTTTACTGAATCTAATAATCTAATATCGGCTGACGTGTGAGGTGGACCAAAACATTATAGGCACACATAATGGCCCAATAGATTTCGTTCAAATTTTGCAGAGGTATACTTAGATAGTAGACACCTTTAGCAAAAAACGTTATGTTGTAACGGTATTATCGTAAGGGAGAAAATACCCTGATTTGGGTTCGACCTTTAGCAAGATGCACGCTATTTTTAGTAAGCTGTTGCCACGAGAATAGCTTTGATTTTGCGCGGTACAACCATTTTTGTCACCATATACGCGATACAAGGTGAAATGCGTACGGACTATGCAATATTTGGCCAAAACACGTACCGTTGGTCACGACGATAAATCAGCCCCCATAACGTTTATACGCTGCAGCTTCAACGCTATTTGGGTGATCAAGGTACGAGTACCGTTAAAAATTGCGTTACCGTTGTTTGCTAAGGGTGTCTAGTAATGGGAAGGGTCTTCAAAGTTATAGCCCCCTGCAGCTACCAGAAGCATTCTTTGCCAAGTGCTCTCAATAGAGAGGTTCCGGATAACGTAATTACGTTAGTAAAAAACGTAGTCGATCTACGGAAAGTTTTACGTAAACTGCATGCGCATCTGTGTTCCGCCATACGGAGTTTTCAAATCACGTAGCTGCCCTTGGCAACTCCGAACGCGGCAGGGTACGACCGGATCGACTTGGGGAGAGTCATAAATTTGTACCCCAATCCACTTACGGACCAGCTACGCTATCAGAGCCCTATCTACGTACTCTACGTAGACAACTTTCCATAAGTGGATTGCAAACTCGCGAATTCACGGGTTTTCCCGCCCACTAACGTAAAGTTGCTCAACTTGACGTAGTGCGGAACCTCTCTATTTTGTCGATTTTTTGGGGTAAATTTACACATTACTGCCATCAAGAATATTGAAACTGCGTAATGGATTTCCTAAAAATTTGGCAGGGGTGTTCCCTTGATTGATGAAAAGCACCTGCCAAGTTTCATGTTTCTGCTCCCACCAGAACATACCTTTTGAGTCGATTATAGAAGCTCTGTCACTGGCATTGGCGGCTTCTGCATGTCGAGATAACCTCGAAGAGCAGTGGTGGGCACATCCTAATGCAAGGATACGATCTCGTAATCTGCGAGGTCCGCTACGCAAGAAACCATGGGCCGTCTTCTCGACAGCGACGGCAGCATCCTACCAGCAAAATCATTCCCGCGGGCTGGGCATGACTATACACTTTTGTCCACGCTCGCACCAGTCGGAGTCCCAAACGAATCGAGATTCTGGTGGCCAAGCTACTCGTCTTCTGTCGGACGCATGGCTGCATGAGTACAAAAAATGTGACTTACCAACTGTCGATACAACAAAAAATACTTCGAAGTACCCAAAACTAGGGGCGCGTTTGGTTGGTACGAGCTAGAACAGGATTCACCAGAACAGCGCGTTTGGTTGGGACTGCACCTGTTCTGGGTCGGCGAGAACATGTTCTGCTTGCTCCGGCCTCGAGGCCGGAGCAGACCGAGCAGTTTCACTTTTTCACAGTGAAACCTGGCGGGAACATCAATTTTGGTCCCAAATGATCACGTGCATACGCTTTTGGGTTGGACTCGTCGTACAGTACACAGTGACCATGGTGACCCATACACATTTTGAAGAATGCACCAAGTTTGGCATACTTTTCACAAAATATGCTCTGTTTCTGGAGTACCGTTTGGTTGGCATGAGGCTGCTCCATGTGCACCAGCTGCTCGATCCTGTTCTAGATCGTACCAACCAAACGCACCCTAGATGAAGAAAGGAGCCTCCAGTTCACTAATAAGCACATGCGCTTATTTGTGAGGGTGTGCTTATACCCGGATATAGGCACAATTACGTAGAGCGAAACCTCCCTATATATTGTGGGTAAAAAACCTCCTTAAAAAATCACCATATTTCAATCCCATCCACGACCTCAACATAGTTTTGTACCCCTGGGTCAAACAGGATCCCTGGTCGTATTGTGTCATACCAGATAATTATGCCCCTGGTGGATGTGTGCATTCCCTGGGTGATTCATTGCATGTCCCACAATGTGCAGTCGATCTCCACCTGCCTGGAGCCCTTTTATTTGTCCTCCAGTTTTCTCTTTCCAAGACTGTGAACGCCTTCTCCCCGGAGACTCAAATAACGAGCAAGTAGTCCATGTATAATGCCTGGCTATGTTGTGTGTGTGTGTGTGCACCCCGATTTGTGGATTGTGTTCAGCTGTTCTTGGATGGCTGCGGAAGGTGAAAACCATGCAGCAGGAACTGAAGGACAAGGAAAAGAAAATGTACCAGAAAATGTTCGCCTGATTGCGTCAAAGCCAGCCAACCCCCTGCCCTGCATGTAGACGCCGGAGACAGCAGGGCTGCGGCACCTTTCATACTGTCTTAAAAAATTTCCTGCTCATGTTTTCATGCTGGCTTTTCCTCTCTCTCTTGGTATTTTTGCTTTCAACCGAAACATATTTTCATTGTACATTGAGTTTTGTAGTGCCGTAGACACCTGAAATATGAACTTGAAAAATTGAAACAGAAAATTTTAACAAAAACAGAAATGATATGAACGTTATTTGCAACAGATGTGTGTGGTGGTTGTACCGTCAAGGCAAGAAATAATTCAAGAAAGGGCATCTAAAGAATAAAACAGCAATGCCCAGCTAGCGATGGTGGTGACGGTCAACAGATATCTATTTTTTCCAGCACGATAAAAAAAAGTATGTACACGTCATGTGTCGACACAATATACAGCACGAGGGGACGAAGTTGTTAGATAATGGGTATGTTATTCATGTTCAAACGCCGGTTGCTTGATGGATGCTAGGTGTTATTGACAGTGCGGCGGCAGCAAAGACGGGGCTGCATTTACTGCTGAGCACACTCTTGCTGATTACCACCGGCCTGCAGATGAACAGCAACATAGACAACGTGCCTATGGGTGGTCATTACCGGTAATGATTCATGGACACGTTTGCATAGAAACCTGGCAATGGGTAGTTATCAGCAGCAACGTTTCGCGGTCATGTTTGCACGTGCAGATGGACAGCAGTGGCAATTGACCTTAAGAACAGCAACATAGACAACATTGCAATGGGTGGTCAGTACTGTACCAGCAATGATTCATGGTCACGTTTGCAGGAACAGCATGGGTGGTTATCACCAGGAATGATTCGTGTGGTCATGTTTGCACGTGCAGGTACACAGCAGTGGCAATACTTGACCTTATGCACGTTGTACAGACCCGGTTGGGTGTTCATTGTGTGCTATGCATGCGTGCTTGACCAATTTTACTATAGCAGCCTCAAAATTAATGGCAAACATCGCTTTTACAGCTTTTTCACTTTGGCTAATGAATAGCTAGATCTTTGTCAGATAAAAGTTCATAATAGTCACTATAATGCCTTCAGGGCCCATTTCTTAGTGGAAATAGCAGTAAACACAATATAATAGGGTCCTGCACATTCAACACCCAGCCGGGTCTACGGGATTCTACGGGATTTCGTGCAGCTGTAGAACGTGCATAAGGCTCATGGTGGTCATCACCAGGAATGATTCATGGTCACGTTTGTGTGTGTGTGTGTGTGTGTGTGTGTGTGCAGATGTGCCCCGTGGCTGTAGGAAAGGTGTGACGACGCGGGTTGCTGTTCATTACCAGTAGAGCCTGGCTGGGGTCAACATTGCGTGATTTAAGGATACTGTTAAGTAGTACAGTGGAACTCGGATTGGACGTACCCCCCTCGAGTGGAAAAAAAAGTACTTCGTATCCGAGGTACTTCTTATCCAACGTTGACTCCTGCGGGCCGCATCAATATAATACATGTTACGCTCAGTATGGCATTATTTCTCTATTTGTCGTCACTGTCTCTATATGCCATCACCTGTTTACTTCGTGCCTATATGGCTTCACTTCGACTTTCTATATAACTCCAGACGCGACTTTCCCTATATATCTGTACGACTCCAATTCAGATTGCCAACTTCTCCATACAAAACCTGAGTCGCAGTTTGCGATACATGCAGACAATCCATGCCTAACCTGCGCTGTCAAGTAACATGCATACAGTGCAGAGTATGTGGTGCAGGTACTCTCAATCTGTGTGCACTTCAGTCGTTTTTGTTGCAAATGGGCTTTCATGCATCAGTCTCAAGAAGGATATGTGGTAAACACCCAACCTTCAAAGTAAAAATGTAATGCTAATAAAAATCAAAGACTGCGGCCGCGGCATTTGCTGAAATTGCCATCATCCGCGGAAATCACGGAATCCACACTTTTGCCCGCGGAATCTGATTTTTTTTAGGGAAAATTACTAAAATACTCAGAAAGCAGCAGAAACATTACTTTGCAATCTGTTTGAGCACATTGCTCTTGCCAGTGTAGGGGCATGTTCGATTGTACGAATCCATCAGCCCCGGACCCGGATTCGCCAAATTTGTTCATGTTCGATTGTACGAATCCGGATCCCGAGAGCACGGATTCGGATCCAGTCAACCCACCTCCCAGAGACGGATTCGACAGATTCATTTCGATAGTACGACTTGCACCTACTCAAAACTCGCAATATGCGTACACTAGGTCAAGAGTTTACCACAACGCGTACAGATACTACGGGATGAGCTGTAGCAACGCGGTTGCTAAGGCCTTGAAACGGATTATCGGTTGTGCACATTCGATTGTATCCGTCCGATCGAAGTGATCTGGTCGGCGGGGATCGGGATCCAGTTTCTACAATCGAATGCAGCGTAGGGGAGTGCAGGCCTCTTCAAAATTCTTCACTCTAAATTCAATTTGTAAACGCAAAGTATTGTGTGAAAAGTACTCCTTCATGTTCATATCCTCTACAAGGACTTGAAGGAGGGTGAAAAACTTGCAGAAAGTGCCGCAGATGTGTTGAACTCTGGGGGTTATGGACTCTTGATAGCACTCAAACAGCTACTACAGGATAGCTACTGCAAAGAGTTTACCCTAAGATCTGCCCCGCAGTGTAAGCAAGCAGCTCTTCCTAGCCAGGGTATTTAAAAGCAATCCGTGAACAGATGCTCGACTCCTGCAATGCTTCTATGTTGCATTGATCAGGACTTACCCTTCCGCCAGCTCTTGCAGGTAGACGGGCGGCCTGTAGCAGCAACACAAAGAAATAGACGCGTCATGTCCTCCTCCTGCAGTACTACTGTGCACTAGTCTCTGCTGCTAGGTCACGTATTGAATATTACGAGCCAGAGGACTCAGCAAAGAGAATTCCCAGTCCCAGCAGTATACGAGTGGATGGCAAATATAGTATTCCCAAGTATAAGATGTACCTTCTTACAATACATCCCAGGATCGAAGAAGGGAATGTGCCTTAGAGAGAGAGAGAGGAGAGAGAGGAGAGAGAGAGGAGCGGAGAGAGAGGAGAGAGAGAGAGGAGCGGAGAGAGAGAGGATGTCCAGCTTGACCCATGAACTCACCATTCCTTCTTCGACATCCCAGGGTCGAAGAAGGGAATGTGCCTTAGAGAGAGAGAGAGAGAGGAGAGAGGAGCGGAGAGAGAGAGAGAGAGAGAGAGAGAGAGAGGAGAGAGAGAGAGGAGAGAGAGGAGCGGAGAGAGAGGAGTGGAGAGAGAGAGGAGAGAGAGAGAGAGAGAGAGAGAGCATGTCCAGCTTGACCCATGAACTCACCATTCCTTCTTCGTCATCTTCATCGTCCATGCCACCAAAGCCAGGGAACATTCCATCCATGTCCATTCCCTCGCCATTGCCATCGGCCTCACCGGTGAAGAACAACACCGCCTGCATGAGTCATAATTATAGGATACACATAGTGCCACATACACATGGTACACAGTGTAAGTCATACAGCAGTACACACACATGTGACATGGCACAGCCTGCTAGTCATGCAGGACCTGCATAGCCCAAATTTGCTAGCAATTCTTTCAGCAAAATATCGGATGTGCAAGTTTCCGGCAAGTTTTGAGCAAAATATAGAGTTTTGGTGGGTTTTTCGAAAAATCCAAGGCTTCTTAGTAGGGGTGAAACAATTATACCGAATATTCGAATACTCGTTTGGATTTTTCAACTATAATCGTACTCGGAATAAATCAGAGTACTCGCTCATACATGGCACATGCATTTACCACAGAAGTCTGCAGTTTCAGAGCAGCAGTCAGCAGATATTGATGTGCAGAGTGTGTGGTGAGCATTTGTACACGAGTAGAGAGAGCCCAATAGGCCTTGGCGGATAATGCCGGCAGAAAAATTGGCAGAATTCGGTACATTTTCTGGTAGGTTTCATGCATGTTTGGTATGTGGATAAAGAAATGGAGCAGAATTCAAGGAATTGCACGCCATAAGGTTTGTATGGTTCTGCCAATTTCACTGCTTTTCGAGCAGAATCTGCCACCTTTTCGAGCATTATCCGCCAGGGCCTAGAGTCCAAATGACCCACCAACCAATACACCAGAGAAAAGGACTGCCAATTGGTTCAATCAGGGTTGCACGTTGTACCATGTGATTTTTAAGGCCCTTGGTGTGCGATTTTTAGGATATCAAGAATACTCGAATACTCGAATATTCGATCGGAGAAAATCAGAGTACTCGAACTCGAGATCTCAGTGCCAACTTTCACCCCTACTTCTTGGGGACTTCCTCAACACAATCGGTCACCAAGGTTGAAAACAAGAACAAAAGTTGTAGAAAACAGACTCATGGCTACATTTCAGTGGAAAGTTGAGCAGCAGCAGGAGCTCAATCAAAAATATCGTCGTCATCAGCGACAATTATCGTTGAATTTTCCCTAAAACTCATTTCATCTTGAGCAAAACCAAAGCAAAATACCGACGGAGAAAGGAAATGCCAAGCAGAATATCGAAAAATTTGTGGCAAAATATCGATGTAGGCCGAGCAAATTTGGGCCATGACTAATGCAGGTACACGCACATGGTGGACAATGTATGTCTTAGAGTAACACATACACATGGTGCACAGTGCGAGGTACACACAGTGCACAGCCTGCTAGTCATACAGGTACACACACACATGATGTACAGTGCAAGTCAAACAGTTACAGGTACACACACATGGTGTACAGTGCAAGTCATACAGGCACACGCACACACACACACACCTGTCCTGTAGAGTCACTACCGCAAAAGGGTCACGTGATCCCATCACTGGGAAACTTGAGAAGAGAGAGAGAGAGGACACGACACTCGATGACGCTCCAGGTGCACGGGTAGTCGCATCCGCTTGCCGCATATGCACACGTGCTGGAAGGCTGAGCGCTCCTCTGCTGTTGGTCTTTGCGCCACCCTTGAACAGCGATGCCTGCCCCGTCCCCGGACACCACGAAAGCAGCGACCACACCTGTCACAATGCGCGGCACAACATCCCTCCGCCGGTGCCGACGTTCCGGTAGCTCCACTGGACCAGGTGGCACTGTGGCATCCACCGTTGAGGCACACACATGCCGGACCAAGCCGCCGCGGCTTCTCAGCCACCGCCCGCACTGAATGGCGCCCCGTTGCTCAGACACAGGCCGCGCACGCTCCTCCAGACACTTATGCCGAGCCATGTCTCCTTTCCGTGCAAAATCCCGTCCGCATACCGTACATACCACTCGGGGCGGAGGCTCAGGCGCATTGTCAGGCTTTTGGTAGGTGCTGCGCCACTCCGCGCGGAACTCACATGCAACATCATACCATGATGCCTCCACGCCACGGGCACGTAGATCCCGCGGCGTGGGCCATGTGCTGGGCAACGCTGCAAGAAGGAGCCAAACAGTACCCGTTTCGGGATGCGGTTGTCCGGCATCCGCGCCACATGCCCCAACCACTCCAACCGCCGATGTGCAATATTGTCTTTAACGTCTCGGAGTCTCCCCAGCGCACCAGCAGATCTTCATTGGTGATGTCTTCGTCCCACATCCGGCTTCGAGAGACCCCGAGGATGGATCGGATGCAACTCATGCTGAAGGTTGAGAGCTTCTGCAGGTCATGTTGAAGGAGCATCCAGCACTCAGAGCCATACAACAGCAGGGACAGAACGCAAGCATTGAATACGCACCACTTGGTGTGCATCAGCAGATGTGGATTGGAGAATACAGACTTCCGAAGAGCACCACAGGCCCTGGAGGCTTGGGCAATCCTTGCGGCGATGTCCCGGGACGAACGGCAACCGCGGTCCACTACAGAACCGAGGTATTTGAAATGCGGTACGCATTCCACCTCCGCTTGACCAAGTTGGAGGGGAGCGCGGTCAGTAGGCGTGATGTCGGGGCCAACAACTACAGACTGAGTCTTCGTTGCACTGATGGTCAAGCCGAATCCCGACGCCAACTCGTGAAGACAGCACAATGCTGCCCCCGCTCCAGACCGAGTCGTAGCGAATAGACCAGAGTCGTCAGCAAACTGGGAATCTGTTAGGCAATGGTGTTGGTCGTCACGGCAGGGTTTACGGTATAGATGCTGCTGTATGCTGAGCGGAGCTCGAAGCCAACCCCGTCAACTCTCCTGACGCGGTGTTGCCACTGGGTCATCACGGCCCACATAAAGATATTAAAAAGGACCGGCGCCACACACATACACACACACGGTGTACAGTGCAAGTCATACAGGCACACACACATGGTGTACAGTGCAAGTCAAACAGTAATAGGCGATTCACACGACAGGCAAATCCACGTGCACCGGAAAGTTGCTATGGTATTTTACCTGTGAACGAGAAAAGTGGCTGAACGTGCAAGCGAGCTGGGGGCCCACTTTCACGATTATGGTGGCATGCACGAGTACATTTACACCAAAAAGCGCGAAACCAGACTTGATTTTTTACGCGGCTCTTTTCAACATGATTGTATGCTTGTTTCGAAAATTTGAAATACCCATGGCTACTGACGGGCGAAGCATTCAAAAAATGCAAACGTGCCTGTCGTTGAGTGCAGCCGTGTGACTCCAAACAGTCACTTTTCTAGTATATCACTCCCTGTAAAACGTGCAAGTGCCTGTCGTGTGAATGGCCTATTACACACACACATGGTGTACAGTGCAAGGCATACAGGTACACACACACACACACACACACACACACACACACACACACACACACATCGCAGCGATGATAGCGATGCTACAGCAGAAGCCATAGCAGCTTGTACTGGGATTGCACCATTCAACAGCTTGCAAGGCTGAAGAATTAACCGCCACTATTCAGCCTGGTCTACACCACACAGCTATGAAGTGGCTTTTCTGGCCAGTGAATCCCTACTTTTTGGGCTTTCATTTTTTTCACGCACACAGTCACACATCACACCACATACTCCGGCATGCACTGGCTGTTGGTAACCACCCAGGAGAATGAAAGAAAAGTCAGGAGGAGTCTGAGAAAGAGAAGAAAGACGTGTGCGACCATAATCGTCGGGAATCGAACCCGTAACTTATCGATTGGAAATCGCTGCACATACCACTGCACCATACGGGACACACACACACACACACACACACACACACAGAGCGAGGCATACAGGCGTACAGGTAATGCAATGGCACAATGCCAGTAGCGCACACGCGCACACACTTGACCCGTGGACAGAAGTACAGCTGAGATCATGCTGGACTATGGGATTTTCAAACGGAAGAATGAAAAGCGGCATGGCCGAGCTGACATAGTTGCATGGTGTGCAGGTCAACAGTACTGACCTTGGGAATCAGGTTATCGCGGATGAAACTCGCTGCTTCATAGTCGCTGGCCACTGTCTTGACGGCCTGCATAGACAATAGACAGCAACAAGACAGCCAGCCGGGTATGATCAGCTTAAACCCAAACTTATGGGCGTGCACATATGCATGCACACACACACACACACACACACACACACACACACACACACACACACACACACACACCGTCGCTAAATGCATTGGCAACAGTGGAAAGGACACACAAATAAAATACAAAAAAGCCTCCAAAAAGAAACGGCACCTTACCTCTTGTTGCTCTTCGGTGAGCTCCGTTTCGTCTTCATCTTCCTCCGGGACTTGAAGAAGCAGAAGGGACAGAGAGTAACAAACCAATACATGCACAGGAGCAGAGGACTTGTGCTACAGTCATGGCAAGCACTGCACATGGGGTACGGACTGTCTTATTGGTTATAGCCACTTCAAAGAAGTAAGAAACTAAAGCAGGTGGCTGTTGATGGCAAACACACACGTCTAAATGGATCATGGATGTAGGATTCTCGATCACACTAAGGCAGGTGGCTTCAAAGTTGAACGACCGGGGTCGGTGCCCTTACTGCCTAACGTTAAGGGCGCGTTCAGACTGGCGTGAATAGCCGCCGGAATGCTGCAGCGTGATCGCGGGAACCGCAATGCAATCACACTGCACATGTATCGGAGAGGACATGTGATACTTTGACAAGCTTGGACAAGATTTTTACATAATCAATCGACATTTGAAAAATTTGATTTGACTCAGTTTGAGTTGGACATCAAAATAAACTAATTCAGTCTGTTGAGATATTGGATCATTGTGCTTTTGCTTGTGCTTGTCGACGGGAAAAAACGATGTCCGGAGTGTTTGGTGCTTGGGTGGCATTCATCCGCTCCGCGATCAGAGTCTGCTTCTCGTTCACAGTCAATGTTTTGCCTGCAGAGCCTGCAAATATCACCACGTACAGCTCCATGAACTCCCTCTCCTTTGCCGAATCGAACAAAGATTTCGGCATGATGTGAGAGGTTGGCAGTCTAGAAGCCAAAACCCAAAAGCATGCAGTCAGACTGAAAGAGTAGAGGCTGAAATAAAAAGAAAAGACGGAACATGCAGTGCAAGGATATCAAAAGTGCTCCTGCGTGCCGCCGGAATCTGCATTCCACTGGCCTGCACAGTGGTGGGAAACCTTTCCGTGTTTACGCTGGCAGGAACGTCACGTGAGCGATACACCTTGACAACTTTCACATTCCGCTTGCTTTTCATGCCAGTCTGAACGTGCCCTTAGGGGCCGGTCACACTGAGGGAAATTTTAAAATCCGTGGTTACCGATAGTTGCCGCTGAGCGGGAGATTTGAAAAATTTAATCCACACGATGAAAATCAGCTCAAGGCCCCGCTTTTCCGCCGAAGATTATAATCATCCGCGGCTTCCACTGGATTTCTTTGAGTTTCCTTGTTTTTATTGCGTTCTGAAGGGGAGCGATACTCTAGAGGCTGTGCTGATGCAGCTCTGGCCCAGGAGCGGGGCTGACAGACTGCCAGAAGCGAATGGTGACAAAAAAAAGTAGCTCGTGTGGGTGAGATTATTTTCATTGTGCGTATCCAGCGTGGCCGTGATGAAAAGCAGAAAACATTATTCCCGGTTTATAATCTGAAGATTGTTCCGTCAATGTGACCGGCCCCTTAGTACGTACATGCACTGTTGTTCACGTACACACTGTGAAAATGAACCAGCAGTGCCCCGTGGCTGCAAGGCCAGTGCCCCGTGGCTGCTTCAACAACTTCAAACTCCACAGCAGTAATATCAGGTGCTTACGCTCAGGAGGCGAGAAGAATGAAAAGAAGGTCTCCGCGGGCACTTGCTTGGTTACCGTCTTGCCAGGCTGTCCCTTACCTGAACAATAAGGGTGAGAGGCGGGCAGAGCAAAGCAGGCACACGCACAGACAAGGAACAATTTAAAAGAAACCAACCAACAGCAGGATATAACTTACTAGCAGATGCTGACAACACACGTGCAGTAGTCTAGACCATCCATAGCTCCATAGCAAGGGACACACATACACAGGTGAGAAGGTCACAGAACACAAACGTACCCTTGCCCTTCTGCTTCTTCTTGACTGTCTTGACGGTCAGGTTGTTTCCCTTCTGCCAGTTGATTTCACAGCTTCACAAGCAAACATGCAGCAAAACAAAACAGTGTAATACATTGCTGCTCTATATACTCACAAAGCAAATTGAAAAGCTTACACTAGTCACAGCACAAGGCGAAGCAACAGTAAGCTTGACAGAGATGAGGGACGGTGTCCAAGTAGAAGATGATGGTTTAGTTGAGAATGAAGAGTTTCAGCCTGCAGGCCCTACTTTGTAGGCGATATTCGGCGGGAACAAGGGTGCCAGTGTACACCGTGCAGTGCTGTGTTCATCATATGTGGTTTGGCGGGCCTAGCTGCATGCACTGTGCATGCAGTCTGTGTGGCGCGAACAGTCACACCACGGAGGCGAGAGTGGCAGGCACACTTTGGCCAGCGACAGGCAACAGCTGGTTGTCAGCTACAATGTAGTGCTATGCTGCAACCAACCACCACTCAGAGCACTACATACACTCAGATAGTCTCTCTATGTGGGAACCAACACAGGCAAGCCAGGCAAACCATGAACTTACAGAAACACTGGAAACTAAGCGCGAACTTCACAGGCCATTCACAGCTCACATGCCAGCCAGCTACATGTACACTCAACACTCTACACGCACCGAAATTATTATAGCCAGTGAGGTATTGTTCTCGCCACCAGAAACAGAGCAGAGTCTACCACATACGTACACACAGCAGCAGCAGTGTGAGCTGTGAGACCACTCCTGGTTGCTTGCTGTATATGCAATGCTTAGGGTGCGTTCTTAAATCCTCTCGGAAAAGTTGGAGACTCTCCGAAAAGTTCGAGAGCTGTTCTTATATCCTCTCCGACTTTTAGGAGGCTCTCCAAAGCTCTCCAAGCTTCAGAGATGGTTGAAACTTGGAGATTCCCGCGGTTTGGGATCAGCGCATGCGAACTACGGCTAAAAGCCACGTGTTCATGAGTGTACGCATTTCCCTTTTCGCATACGCACATACATTCATCACTCAAGATCGCGGCCCCTTTGGCGCTTCACTTTGCTTGACATGTGCAAAATATCTCCGAATTCTTCGAGACCCGTTCTTGAGTAATCCCAGTTTCTTCGACTTCTCTTTCCTTCTTCTTCTAGAAGCTAGAGAATATAAGAACGCACCCTTAGACTCAGCATAAAAGTGAAACACGGTGCCGATAACGATTACTGTAAAGCGATAAACTTTCGCGAAGCGCAAATTTTGCGTTTTCACTTTTCAAGAATTGCGCTGGCTCACGATGAGAGTTTCGCAATTTTATCTCTTCATTCGGATCTTGTACTGTCTACTATCAATGTACAGAGCAGTTTGCAGTGATTTATATTCGTGAATGTGTGATGATCGCGAAAATAGCGAAAGTTTCTCACTTTACAGTATGGAACACACATGCATGCACATGCACACACACACGCACAGTGCCACACACACACACACACACACACACACACACACACAAACATGCACACACACACACGCACAGTGCCACACACACACACATGCACACACACAGTGCCACACACACACGCACACACACACACACGCACAGTGCCACACACACACAGGAAACTAATAGGGACCTTCCTCCATTACGCAACAACTCACCCAGACACGCCTATGATCTGTGGGCCGTCAAAGCTGAACGGATCCTCTTCATCATACTCTATCTTCATCTCATAGTGCTTCACAAGACACTGCGAAACAGACGCCACAAACAAACCCCATTGATCACAAGAAAAACAGCAGACGAAAGCCAACTCGAAGACCCATGGGCAAGTACATAGGGACAAAGACCAATCTGCTCGTAGCACCATGACAAGTGAAGTGGCGACACAGATGGCGCGAGGGACCACTATGCAATCGCTGCACTGTACTGAGCGTGTTTTTGCACTGCTCGCCATGTACGCCCAGTCATCAGTGGTGATTTTGAGTACGCAATGGTAATCGTATCACCACTAGTTATAACAAAACATACACGGCTTACTGGCAACAAAGCCAGCTGAATCAAGGACGCATCACACATCAGATTGATCTACACAATTTCACACAACACTCAACCTCATCACAATGGGGAGGGTGAGGAACATTGCTTCTCTTTAGCCAGTAGGTACTCCCACGCAGGATAGGCGTAGGCTCGCTGTCTCTTCTTACCTCATTTGTAAAGTACTTGTTCTCAGAGAAGTGAAAGATGAGATCAAATCCCTGATGGAGAAATAGCACAGGGCACAGAGATGATTACAATCGTCAATGAAACACGAGCACATGTGCACACCCACGACACAAGACCGGCCGCCACCCTGAATGAAGCAGCTCAACAGGCACAGCACATGCTAGCCTAAGAGGCGTCACGGATCAACATGACCAGCTCACTAAGCTTAGTCCCTACCAGCAGAACACCTACACCACTATGGAGAAAGGTTCTAGGTATTGCGGCAAGTCAGCTAGGGTACAGAGCATTCGAGGAGAGACAGACCAAGCAGCAGAATACTAACCAATGGCTCCTCGTGATGCTTGAGCTCGATATCTGTCAGACAGCGCAGCAGTGGTTCATCTGTCTCCTGTAGAACACACAATACACATTCCCAGACACATACAGACAGTGACACACAGACACACACACATCCACAAAGACAGTGACACACATTGACACAGACACACACACACACCCATGCACGTTCACACAGTGTCACACCCATGCCCATCCACACAGGAAGAGCTAACACGATATGAATAGCTAGCCGAAGATCAACTGGAAAGGTGACACCAACCACATGTACACAGCACATACCTGAAACCAATTGTTCCTTCATTTCGGACAGTGAATACCGGAGTAGTCCATGCTTTGTTACGGTGGTGAATGGTAATGCGCGAGTGGAATGAGTTAGTCAAGAACGCGGCATGATATGGTGTACAGGGTGCGTTCTACTTTTGTCTTCAATTAATGGCCGAGCGAAGTAGCTAAGTTTTCTCACTCCATTGCTTGGCGCAAAGTGTCCTGGATGCGCGTAACAACTAACAAGAGCACTCCACCATGAGATGTGAGTTTTCGCTGTCGGCGCAGCAGACAGCAGTCAACTTTGGTGGAGGTGTAAACTCGTGGGCGCTTTATGTATAACTGCTGATGATAGAGGACCTTACCTCGATCATGTCTGCAGTGACATCAATGTGCTTCAATGCTGTCAGCCAGAACTCGGGGATACCCGCAGTGTTTTCTGAAGCATGCAACAGAAACGCACACACAACCAAACACAGCTCTTAGCAGTTTGATTTGATTGGAAGTAGGGCCACCGTCCTACACTGGTGAACGCAAAAAGCACAGATGTAATAGGTTCAAAGAACATCAACACCGCCCAGCAAGACTACAGTCTTCTTACCATCGTATTTGACTTTGTCTGCAGCTGATTCGTCTTCGATTGGCTCACCAAATTCATCCACATCCATGATCTAACAACGACAGTAAACACACACACACACACGCACACAAACACACAAACACACGCATAACAGTTTTACAGTTTCCGTGGGCATTCAAAGCAAAATACTGTATGAACCTTACCAACCAAATCACATAAACTCCACACTTTTTGTTTGTTGAAATATGATATGAGTGAAGACTGTGAGAGTAAGAAAGTAAGAGAGAGAGAGAGAGAGAGAGAGAGAGAGAGAGAGAGAGAGAGAGAGAGAGAGAGAGAGAGAGAGAAAGAGAGAGAAAGAGAGAGAGAGAGAAAGAGTTGAAAGATAAGCGGTGAGAACCCATGGAAGGGGTGGCCTATGCCATCTGACAGAACAGCTAAGGGCCCGGTCACACATGCACTGGGGTTCCGCTTGGGCGGCGAGGTTCTGCGGCAGCGAGACTGGTGCATCTCCAGCGGAACCATGTGTGTAAGGTCCCACATACAGACAGGGCAAGCTCGTGTTTTGGCGGAAAAATGAGAGCGAAGTGGACGTGGTGCACACGGTACGGAAAATAGACGAGTTCAATGACTATCTGCCGTGCATTTTTGTTGCATGGACATCATACGTATACAAATTTCTCGTAGCAAGTCCATATTCAGCAGACTGGTGTATTCCGCTGAAGCGAAACCGCAGAAGCGACAGTGCCGCCCCAAAATGTTTGAAGGCAGCGGATTTGACCTTCCACTGGAGCGGTAGTTTCGCTTTTCGCAGTTGCCATGGTATTTTCTGCTGATGCGGCGTCGCTTCAGCGGAACCGCCACTTTTGAATGCATGTGTGACCCGGCCCTAACAAGGGGGGGGGGGGGGGGGCATCCACAGAAGACACGTACCTTTGCTCCGGATGACTCTTCCTCATCGTCCATTTCGTCCTCGTCATCCTCGTCCTGCTCAAAGTCAAGCTCTGCCTCCTCCTCAGTGGGCTCATATGTGCCGGTGACAATATCACGACGCTAAAATACACACAACAAAATATGATAGGTTCACACACCCACATCACATCACAACACACTTAACACGAGGAGAGCGTACGGCTACCGGAGGCTCCTTCTGAACTCTTGCTATACAGTCAAACCACATACCGTAATAACTTATCATTAGTCTGTTATCTGCGTGGGGGTACGCCACACAAAGGTAAGTGCAGTTGCACTTACTGAAATCCGACCCAAAGTGCAAAACTGGCACCCTGGAGCAGTTCCGATTGCATCACTGTACTGGCACATGTGTACGTCCAGCCGCATTCGTGCCATTTCCTGGGGCATCAAGGGCCGTGCAAGTTGAGGGCACCTAATATGCACGTTGGGTCGGATTTCACCGAGCATAATCGTACATGACAGTGCTGGCAACTGAAATCCGACCCCTGAGCGGTGCGCTCACATCGCAAAGACCCAGCACGGGATAGTAAAACTACGAAATAGAGACCGCTAGAATGTGAACGCATCGCTAAGGGGTCGGATTTCAGTTGCCAGCACTGTACATTGTACAAATACTACATGTTGTACAGAGAATAAGTATCACATTTGAGCAGAGGCGAGCTCCACACAAGACCAGTGAGCTGATGTAGAGCCATATGTGACACCAGTACGCTCAGTTCTCACACCGTACAACCTTAGTTGCACTCAGACACACGATATTCCTCTCGCTTTCCATGAAGCAAGATGACGTGTTGCGCGGTAGAGCAGGGACCGGGTATACGCAATGCGATGCAGCGGCTGCAGGGCAGAGTTTCAACTCGCTGCGTGTACCTCAACATCATTGTATTTTCAGCTCAATGGGGGCTGTGAAGTATGACGTCACAGCCACTGCCAGCGGGGCAAGCAACTTCCACCTTATGCTGCTAATCGGTCAATTTCATCCCATCGCAAAGAATTTTATATCCCAGAAAACCTGTGAAAGACGTGTTGAATGGTGCACTGTTTGTTGGTATCCGTGACTGGTCTACATGTACATGTACATGGCAACGTCAATTTTGACACCCTTCATCAAAGTGCAAGAACTAAATCGAGAAGGGCGTACGGTCCAAACAACCTGGACACTTGCAGAAATATGTGAAAAGCTGTCAGTCGACAGGACTGAAATGAATGTACATGTAGTGCAATGTCATGCAGTAGCATGTGAGAGCTAATGCATGCCATACTGACTCACCTTTACGTCATTAGGGCGGCGTAGCTCACTGTACTTTCGCTCCAGCGCCTGCACCTCCTCATAGAACTTAGCCTCCAGCTTGAAGTGGTCTGCTTGCAGGTTCTTCAGAGCGCGGATGCGGCCTTTCATTACAGCTGGCATACTGAGAATGGTACACACGTACACACCTCGGTTATCACCTCGGCCACAAAATTAATAGTGATAATTCAATGCGATGCCTAGCACAGCTACTTGCAGCAGAATGACACGCCTCGACTGCCTGCAGGGGTGAAGACTTGTAGACCACAATTTCACCTGCTTCTGCATCACACAGCTTGCAGAAGTGCCACATACAGCAACACACCCGCACTAGCATACCCCCCCCCCCCCCCCCCCCCCCCACACACACACACACATACATACCCTCGAGGTCATTCTCCGTGTACATATTTTGTGATGCACGAACAATGTTGTCTCCAGGAAGACCAGGCTTTGGCAAAGATTGTCCAACAGGCAACTCACAGTACATGATACTCAACACAATACACACCACTTACCTATCAATGTACGATGACTGGGCACCCACAAGCGATTGAAGTTCGCTCTGAAATAGAAATCAAAAATCAGTACACGTATAATCATGGATACATGGTGGAAGCAAATGGAGAAGGGCCCATTGCCCCTCCCCACCTCCCCCATACTCCACAAACAGTTCAACAAAACCAGAGTGAGTTCTGAGGAACATTCCTGGATCTTTCGGATCTAATAATAATAACAATAATTTTCGGATCTAGACTAGTGTTAATTTTAGATAAAAGCCAATATACAGTGTCAGAGAGTACTCGATCAGCAGCAGATATTGCCACAAGTTACTTGCTCAACTCAGGAGAATACTGCGGTCGCGAGAGGCTGAGAGCAAGGTGAAATTTCATGCAGCAAAAGAGGTGCTATCAGGCATCGCTGGCTTGGATGATAAGCACATACATGGACACAGCGTGGCCTACTTACACCAAATGCTTGCATAAGACCAGGGTCTGCCAACAGCTTGCTGGTTAGCTGAGCTATACACACGGACGAGCAATACAACAAAGCAAGAGTGAGCATATCACTGTGAATGACATTCGTCAGAACAGTGAGAGCTAAGTTGCACCGCATCTGCCCAGCCATACTTTGTGCCAAGGAGTCGTAGCATCTAAGGAGCTGACACGGGCACATGCAATGTCAAATGATGCGAGCTTTGACCCAAGCAGCCGATTCGAGTCGCCCTAGGTGTAGGGCGAATTCAAGCACACTCAAATACGCAATCGTTGGCAGCATGGCACTTGGGAGTCGGGTTATGGTATTGATCACGATCATACCGGTACATTGCAGACCACGAATCAGTAGATTATCCAATTCCGGGGACCAAACACGTATCGTTCTCGGGTACCATCATGGGCTCGTGCCGTCTCCCTAAATACAACTTCCTGACGTGCAAATTGGAATACTAGTACTCCTACAATCCCCAGAAATGACGTCCTAGCACACCCACACCCATGCTCACAGTTCCTCAGTCTTGACCAAAACACATGACGAGCAACACAACCCTTACATTTTCCAGCTGCTCCGGCACCAGGCATCGGCGCATCCACACTGCAAGAGAAGGAAATCAAGCACCCAATACATGCACACAGTATACTATACTGCAGTACAGTGGGAATCCCATTCGGCTGTTCAATAATGCAACATATAATGTAACCCCTTCGTTGTTCGCACAGTAAAACCTGGTTTAAGCAACCACCCCGCGGTGCAAGCAAAAGCGGTCGTTAAAGCCAGGTGGTCTTTAGAACCAGGTCCCAGTGTCTGTGTAGAACTGTCGGTGCATGGAAAGATGGTTGTTAAGAGCAGGTGGTCACTAAACCCAGAGGTCGCTTAGTAGCCTTACACCAGGTTTTACTGTAATTATCGGTGTGTGTAATGGCTACCGAGGATAGCCATGTGTTGGCTGAGAGTGCATGGAGGAGAATAGGAGGAGAGCTTGCTGTAGTATACTGCAGGACTAGATAATACAGGCGTCATTTACCATGTGACAAGCACGAGGACAAGGATAACCAAGCAGCAGCGATTTACGGCAGACAAAATAACACAATCGCTGCACTGCTGCAGGGAGTCCTACGCTGTCCAGCGATAAACTTATGCGATGCGCACATTTCCGTGTTTTCAACTTGGCCGGACCACCTGAAATCCCTGCGCTACACCCCTGAGCTTGGTTCCAAGTAGAAGTGAGCGGTAAAGAGGGACTCTGCACTTTGCATTGAAGAAATGACCGACTGAAGCACAGAGGACATTTCTGAAGTGGAGTCGAAGTTGGTAATCGTGGCTTTTCAGCTGTTGAATGAAATCTGAGTTGAAAATCAATAAATGGATGGCGTACGTGCATTCATGCTATAAAGAACTTCGGCCATAAACAACTAATTATCCAGCATACCAGTACATTGTACCTGTATTGGTGTTCGTTATATCGGGGGTCGACTGATATGGACATGACCTACTGTGAGGGGATAATCCGATATATGGTTTTACAAAGCCAATACTGCAACGTTTACTAACAATTCAGTCTCATATTCCCGAGCTCTGCCTCTGCACTACATCACTATCAGTCCCATTATTGACTATGCCGATAAGCGCACCACAACATATGCATGATATAGCAGAAGGAAAATTACATGTACTAGCAGAGTACTATGACTTGAGAGAAGTTGAGGGACTCGAGTGCACGAAAGCACAGGGCTTTCACTGCAGCCTAGCCCCGTCAAAGACCATCAGCCAAGAGTCTCTTGCAGATGAAAACTCTAGGATCCCCCCAAAACGTCATGTATACACGACTAGAGGTCCTCACCTTGTTCCCTCGTCTGAACTCATTTTAGGCTGGGATTTTACTTCGAACTTCTAAAAATGAGTTGACCGAGCAAAGAGAACGAGTAAAAGCCTGGCTTGAATGGGTCAAACTTTAAGCACACCAAGAAAAACTACAACAGGATCGTACAGGAAGATCTACAATCCAAGGAGTTCTTCAGCTGCTCCCACGCTAAAATGGATTCCACAATAAAATCAGGAAAGAGTATAGTACTTGCCTGAACATGAACCAGTAGAATTCAACAGCAGTACAGCTACTTTTTTTGTAGCTACCGGTACCGGTAAAAGATCGCATGGCCTCATTACATCAGCACAAGCAGGATCTACAAACGAATTTTTTCAACAAGCGAGATATCTCGCGCCACGGCGCAGCCGGCCACGAGACTAGACGTGCACGATACGAGAAAGCGAAGGACTAAAGGGACCCTCACTTAATTTTTTGCCGACTACCCGCCAAAAAACACATTTCGACACGCGTGTGTGTGCTGGACGTCTGCGCGTGCACAAGACGTGTGAGCTGGCTGACAACTTGTGTGACAAGTGAGAGCCAGGGAGTCGCCAAGTACCGGCGTTTGACGACTCCCGGCCTGGTGAGAGCATGCATGCATGCATGTCCAGCTGGCGGGAAAGGGAACCTATTTTGTGGATCGATGGGTTGAATGTGAAATTGTGGATCTACACGAGGTTTGTTTTGATGTTCTGATACTTGTTGTAATGGCTAGTGATCTTGCAAACTGTTTAAAACTGTTACTGTGACTTTTCCAAGTCCTACTGATATACCTTGTCAAATCAGATGCCCTGTAGTAGTCTTGGTGGAAGCAGACTGGAATGCGTTGAATTCGTAGCTTCTGAAATTGAAATTTATTTTTTCTTGAGTGACACTGACAAGCGATGGCATTGGCGACAGGAGAACTTTGCTTCCTTCCAGGAGAGCTGCATCGCAGTCGGATCCTGTCCATGCACATGCGATCATGCTGTGTTGTAGACAGTGGAGAGCTGATTTTCACCCGAGAAAATAGTTTTGAACATTCATGAAGAGGATATTGTTGCTGTAGCTAGCTGACAGACATAGCCTGTGGCAGTGGTGTATGGAATCAGCTTGCAAGGTCTGTAGCAACTTGATCATGGCAGAGAACGAGCTGAAGCGAGATGTGAAGGGTGCCATGCAGCTTACACTTGTGCATGTTCTACGTTACTCTACGGCGAGGAACTACACACACACTCACTACTGCTCTCGCAAGGTGATTGGCTTCTCTCCAGTGATTCAGGCCGCCTCAAAGCATGGGTCCACTGCACTTTGTCGCGGAACACATCAACATGCCTGTTGACGTACACTGGAAAAGATACGACTCCACGATGAGGACCTGTGTAGCAACTTGATCATGGCAGAGAAGGAGCTGAAGCAACTTCCATTGGCGCATGTTTTTTAGTTTTAACGGT